GGTGTTGTCAAGCATAGTGCGCCGTCTGGGCTCTGGGCAGGATTTTTCAGTTTCATTATTTCAGAATTCAATCCTGGGAAACATAAGAGACCGCTGTAATCTGTGATATATAAAGACATTAAATATATTTGAGAGTACTTGCTAGTACTCGAAAAAAACTTTGTTTATATATATATATTATGTGTGTGTGTATATATACCAGCAAATTTTGCCTCAACAGAAACTTTTGAATCACCCTCTATATTGCGTGAAGTGGCACTGGCGCCGACACTGTACTCTCATTTTCATTGGTTGATACCGACTTACTCCACGTGACGTCACTGAAGATTTTCAAAATGGAAAAACGAACACCACCCTCTCCTCTTCATTAGGTACATCAAAATGCCTTTGTCAAGCATGACATGCAATCGTTTCGCCTTTTTTTGAATTTTAAAAGACTTTTGTGATATTTTAAAAATACAATAGTGCAAAAACCATCCTCAAATAGTGGAACTTGTCTTCTAATAGAAAATTAATCACGTTTAAAGTCATCGAAATTGTGAGAGCGTGTGTTGACTTCAGCAGTCAAGAAATTGGTTTTGAGTTGTTGGATTGGTCGTCTCGGTTAAGTAAAATATTAATGGCGTCCGTGTATATCGGCGTACAAATCTGTAGATTCTCGTTTGTGCTGTGAATAGTTACCAATGATTTGTAAATTTCATTCGCGATGGAACTAATTCAGTTAGAAGGTAATTTTCCTCACTTTTTTTAAAAGTTACGTTTCGTAGTGCTCGGGTATATCCGTTTAAGTTGTTGTGACTTCGTCTTGGTTAACCTACTCTTAAGTGTCAAAATGGATCCATAAGTGTAATCATTTTTTTCTACATTGCAGATCTCTTTCCTTACATCAGCCGAGCGAAATGCACTTTCCTCTTACGACCGCTAATATTAGCCATCGTTCCGTAATTATCTTCCATCCCTAGTTTTTCTTCGTGGTTTATTGCGGGCCTTTACTTACTGGGAGCTCTCCTCTCCTCCAAGGGAAGATCCCTGGATTACTTGCCCCTGGTATGATCATCATGATGCATGGACATGTTTTAAGATAAACTACTGATTGTATCTCTTTGAGACTGTCTCAGACTGAAGTTCTCGAATACATTCATCCTCTTTTTAAATTTCTTTGACTGGTGAAGATCCTACTTAAGTCAGTTGTTCTCAGACTAACCACTGTACCTGATTATCATGAGTTGTAATCTCAGTCAAACAGTAATTTTTATACCATCGCAGTAGCACAAGCTATGAGATCGAATCATTCCTCTTAATTTCATCATAGATATTTCAGCGTGCCTCAGTTTTTTGCATAGTGTTTGACCCTTTTGATTACTTTTTTCTTCTCTATTTACGTAGTTATCAGCTACTCTCAGTCGGTCGAACCTAATTAGAACTCCATCAGAGATGCATCACAGTCTCTATCTCACCACCTTCTAGTGCTTTTATTTATGAGAGGCTTGAATGTCCAAGCTAATCACTAATTGGAAGACTACTACCTCTGAGGTTTTAGAAAACATTGTCAGATACACCCCGAGCATTTGACTAGAATAATTATATTATTTTGTAACACAAGGTTTGAGTGAGGTATCTTTCCTAATTTCCCACACGATACAAGTCACCTGAGGAATTTTTAGCAGGTGTCCATGCATCATGATTACTGAAGTGCACTTCTCATGCCATGGCAGCGAATTTCACAGGCTTTTTCAATTTTCATAATTGCTGCTCCAAGGGATATGTCATTTATAGCAATTCATCTGTGAAGTGGGCACTAAAACATAGATTTTCTGCAAAGGTAGCTCATCTGCTAATAAAATAATTTGCATACTTTCATGAAATAATAATTTTCCCCTGAGCTCCCTGTCAGTTCATGGGAAGAGATATTCTGTGCCGTTCCTGACAAGTTTATTAAATTAACAGTTTTCACTTGATTTGAGATTAAAAAGTGACTTTAATGACAAGAAAAATTGAGTTCATTCCATATGTTTGCCTTAACATCCTGAAATCTGTCGCCAAAAAATATCCCATGTTTGCACTGCTACAAAATTCCAGCCTACACAAAGTGTCGATCTTGCAATTATTAAGTTCTCGATTTTAAGCCGAGGTTTTTCTTTTAATTTTAGAATGAATCACCATGTATTGGAGGTCCCTCAAACATGTCGAACATATATTTCAGATGCACAGTTTCTACGCCATCCTAGGAAAATCGTTTGACCAATGAGAGAGAGTATTTTTGCAATCTTTATAAAGTCCCAAAATTGAAACGAGTATTTCTGCCCTAAGATGCTGGCCCCTCCCAAAATACGATCTCAGAGTCGGAAGAGGGTAAGTCTCTTCCTTGTCCAACTATCCCATTTCCATTTAAATGTTTGTACATTTCACAGCTAAATTTTAGCCTTCCAGTTGTCTTATTTTAAATTCTTATTTGATCTTTCCTCGCATTGGAAAGACTTAATTATTGGCTGTCCAATTCCGATTGCAGCGAAACATCAATTTCAATGTGCGCAGCTTAAGTGAAAAAGCTTTTGATCCATCGATTGTCATAGGCCACCGATAACCTGAGCAAGGTTTCTTGAGGAAGCTATTTTGACAATACAACCATAAAAACTTAGCCTGGCTTTTCAAAATTCCCACCCTCATTTTATTGGATTTTTTTTCCCCTACAAACAAACCAGATAACCTGAAATTTTCACAGAAAATACCTCATGTATTTAGAGAAAGGAAATCATGAAAGTTTTCAATAATTGATGTTCAGTATTCTACTTAAAAATTTGCAAAGGGAGGGCACAATGGGTCTGCCTCCCATTTGAACCTTTTTGGTCTTAAAAGAAAACTCAGGTTAAATTTAGACTGCCATGTTTTAGCATTTTTCCCAATAGGACTCTAGAATGCCCCTTTGAGCCGCAGGAATTTGTGATATAAGTACTTTTTCCTATGTGAAATTTTGCAAGAATAAAGATGGTGCTTCTGCTTTTCCCTGAAAGGAATCCCCAAACACCAAAAAAGCAGTCAAAGTTGAGGCTGAAATGAAGGAGGGTAGATTTCCTTGAAGGGAAACCACAACATAGATTTTATGGTTCGAGGGTCTAAGCTAGGATAGGAGCAAGCAAATATATCGGTAGGGTTGCCACTTTGTGTCGAAACTCTAACGCTGCAGATACGACAGCACCGCTAATGTATTTGCTCCCCATGTGTGCCTGGATATTCTGACAGAATACAGAGGTGAACTCTAACCGTAACGTAGGTAATCTCCCCCATTATGACTTCAACTTCTAGTGCTTATTTTAAGCTTAAGAGTTTGTTTCAGAGAAAATCAGTGGCACCGTCATATTTCTTGCAAAATTTTTCCAAAGGATTCAAACTTAAATCGCAAAGCTGTGTGGAATTCAAGAGCTCCCTTAACTATCCCAGCAGAAAACTGTGGCATGCAAAACTGACCTATCGCCATGAACATGCTTCTTCTATTGTTTACTAAAAGTCGAGAATCCAAATTTTGACAAATGTGTAGTTTTCCTAATCCCAGTTGTCCACTCCTCTATTACCATGCTTGTTTTTAAAGGTTTTAGTCCAATTGAATTCTGTCTCATTAATTTTTTCTGATCAGTCACATATTTCGGGAGCTGTCTTCGAAACAATTACTATCACTTCACTATCTCCTGTCTCTTGTTTCCAGCAAAAATCATGAAATTAAAAGAAATTTTCCATTCCAGTCCAAGATGCCCAAGTTCTTCAACCAGACAATGTTTCTGCCCTCTTAATGTAACCTTATTCCCATGAATGGTGAGAGCTCTCAGTGAACAAAAAAATACCTGGCAAAATAAAAAAGAGGGTGACTGTCAATAGTATTGAGAATAGTACGGCAAACTCCATGTAATAGAGAATTAAATTTAATAGAACAACAGAGAAAGAACATCTCTAACCGAGCAAGTCATCCATTGGGTGCGTCATGTTGCATCATGATTTATTTGGTTCTGAAAATGAATTTGTCTATTCATAATTATTTGGCTTTGAATGCTTTGATTAAGTACCTTTACTTTGCATTCTCTTGAAAGCTGAAGCACACTCTAATAAAGCTCCACCATCATTCCCTCTTATTTGAGAAGTATTCGACTAAAAATATCCTGGCATGTAATTATCTGTGATCTAGTCTAAGATTAATATGAAATTGTGCTGCAATATTTGATTTATTAAATCATCTTTTGGAGCTAGAAAATTCTTGACTTAATTTTTAAGTTTCCTTGCAGAAGAAATATTTATTTCTTCCCTCTCAATGGCGCAAGCAAAAAATGCAGCAGAGCACATAAGTTGACTTTATATTTGTTTTTGCAGATTGTGATTGAAATGGACAGTGGAAAGTCTAGTTCTCCCCTCAGTCGAAACGAAGCGGACGAAGAGATGGAAGTAGGCGACTGCTCTGAGGAAGCCGAAGAAGAGGAGGATGAAGACGAGGAGAATGAAGAGCAAAACGAGAACGAAAATGAGGAGGAAGACGAGGATGTTGTAATGGCAGAGAGCTCAGCACCTCCACCCTCTGAGCCCACTTCATCACCACCTGGTACAACTTAAAATTTTTTAGTACCGTTCCAAATGAATCTCAGCTGACCCTAGTCGAGGAATGATTAAGTCCAGCGGCATGATTATCGAATCTATGTCGATATGACGCGACAAGAATTGGCCCTATCTTAACCAATTAATTTATTGAATTTTGATGTCTTTTCATGCTGCTTTAAACTTTCATTAATGAGCCGGCTGGAGTCCTGAGTTCAAACTATGGAGGCGAGCGACAAATTTTAATTCAAAAATTTTTTGTCATCGAGATGATCAGATGTTCATTACATCCTCAACATTTGTTTATTTTACTTAAATTTGATCATCCATTTTTATCCAAACTACGAGTCACTCGTTCATTTGACATCCTCAGCATCTGTATTTAGTTATCAATGTGCTTCTTAATTGTTTCAGTAACATACGAAGGGCTAGCTTCCCCTCTCCGCCTTCATATCACATCAAGTGGCAAACCTCTTAGTCTTCACCGTGGTCGGGGTCGCCCGCGAAAAGATGCCAGTTCTGCCGCAAACTCAGGGAAACCCAAAAAATTGGGGCTTAAATTAAAACGGTGGAAAAGGTATGTAACATGAAAACAAATTGCATTCAAGTCCAACTTTTAAAAAAACTGAACCTAGTTTTTGATTTATTTTAAGAAGTAAAGCTTCCTTTTAAACTAGGGAGTAAACAGTAAGTAAGTGGCTATTGTGAGGTTAAACTGGTCGGAACGGATATATACGGATGAAACAGTAGCAACTTATCTTTGAGTACCTTAGTTCAGTGATATGAAGCTTTTTGAAGGATACAAGCTTCAATTTAGTGAAAACTGTTTTTTTTTTTTTTTTTTTTTTGGTTTTTTTTTTGTGGTAAGTCTGATTGGAGGAGACCAGTTGACTGGACTGGAAGAAAATCCAACTGTCCAATTTCCTACTTATTGGTGATCTGACTCATCAAGATTCTTTGGACATCTATTAAATCATTAATATCCATTTTTAACCACCGTGACATCACATCTGCAACAGTCTATTGACTTTTCAGTCAACGTCTTGAAAATACTTGCTGAGAAATTCTGTAAGAAGAAGTTAAGGATAACCATTCATGAAACCAAATCAGTAACAGAATAGACTAACAAAGAGCCGTATGCAAAAACGACATTTTTCGCCCCCCCCCCACTAGAACTTATTCAAACTTCGTCTATCAGTTACTAATACTGGAGCGCTTCTTTCCCCAAATTTTCAGACCCCCAAAAAATTTTAGGGGGGGTAGAAGTCAAAACCTGTGAACCTCGATATCTTTCGAACGAAAAAAGATATTGAAGCCCGGTTTGGACGAAAAATCGTCTAAAATTGCATACTTTAAGATTCTAAAGGTCAAAATCCCAAAATTACATTTTTAAGTTAACTTATGTGCTTTTTTTCAGTTTTTGAGGAAAAACAATTTCTTTTAAACAGATTAAACTGAAATTTCACATTTTTTGATTTGAACCAAAACCAGTTTTTTAAATTGCTCATCTTTTTCCGCATCCAACGAGTGGTCGTATAAGCTGGGGAACCGAACGGTTCCGGAGTTATGATCGATTGAAGTTTCCGCTCAACGCGCGCCGACCGATTTTCGCGTGCAAAAAAGTCGGATTTGACTGTTATTCAATCAGATTGAATGTTCAAACTGAGCAAAATGCATTATTACTGACTCTTGAGGGTCGCTGAGTTCAGAAATTACAGGTACTTACAAAAAATTCACGTTATAAAATTACAGCTCCGTAGCGCTATTTTAGAGGCCCACTGAGTGCCGACCGGCCGCTCAGTGGTCCTGTACGGAGCTGTAATTTTAAAAACGTGAATTTTTTGTAAGTATCTGTAATTTCTGAACTCAGCGACCCTCAAGAGTCCCTAATAATGCATTTTGTTCAGTTTGAACATTCAATCTGATTGAATAACAGTCAAATCCGACTTTTTTGCGCGCGAAAATCGGTCGGCGCGCGTTGAGCGGAAACTTCAATCGATCATAACTCCGGAATCGTTCGGTTCCCCAGCTTACACGACCACTCGTTGGATGCAGAAAAAGACGAGCAATCTAAAAAACTGGTTTTGGTTCAAATCAAAAAATGTGAAATTTCAGTTTAATCTGTTTAAAAGAAATTGTTTTTCCTCAAAAACTGAAAAAAAGCACATAAGTTAACTTAAAAATGTAATTTTGGGATTTTGACCTTTAGAATCTTAAAGTATGCAATTTTAGACGATATTTTGTCCAAACCGGGCCTCAATATCTTTTTTCGTTCGAAAGATATCGAGGTTCACAGGTTTTGACTTCCACCCCCCCTAGCGCCCCCCTAAAATTTTTTGGGGGTCTGAAAATTTGGGGAAAGAAGCGCTCAAGTATGAGTAATCAATAGACAAAGTCTGAAGAACTTCCAGAGGGGGGGCGAAAAAAGCCGTTTTTGCATCAAGCTCTTTCTAATGGAAAAAATGAAGAAGAAAAGAATGTTGAAGTAGGTTTGTAATATCTTGAACTAATGCCAATCCAATGCTTTGAAATTCAGCGAACCGTCAAGCTACTTCATCTTGGAGTTCCGTAGCAAAGTGCACAAAGAAGGCAGGAGAATTAAACACCTTGTTCATTTTTGTTGTACGTATTCATCTTCATGGGAACATTTCATTTTTTTTCAGTGGAATGTATGTACAATCCCGGGAACCACCTTCACGGAGAGATTCGAGTGATACACTAAACACCTCTGTAGATTCTTGTCAGTCCGATTTAACACCTGATGGAGTTGAGTCGTCCATTACTGATGAAAAGCCTGACAAAACTCCGATTGATGACAGAATCACTCTATTTCAAGAACAGTGGTAAGAATAATTTTTCAACTTTTGATGTCCTTACCTCAAGGTTTTTGAAAATTTCCTTGTTTATGTGCCCATAATGAGTTGGTCACTCTGGGACAGTACAGTCACAAGCCTTGCATTTTGGACGGTGTGTATTCATAACGCTGTTGTATAATGGAGGTGCTGTCCGTGGGTTCTTCAAGGCACTAATTGAATCGGGACTTGCGAAAACTGCTATTGTCCATTTTTTCAGTCCTCTGTTTTTTTGAGTTAATAATTCTCTTGGTGTTGGATGCAAACATGTAAGTGGCGTTAATACTTGTCTCCGAGTCACCTTAATCCCAAATTGAGTCCTTTCATCACTCGAATGGTTGTATCATTTCTTTAAAAGTTGGAAAAATGGACATTAGCGGTTTCCACAAGTCCCGATTTAATTGTCAAGCACTAAATATGTATGTTACTAATGAGAACTGCTAGCATAGCAATGTTTGGCAGAAACTGTGGTTTGAAGAATTTGAATCTTTCTGCTTTTCTGCACTGTCTTCCAGCTTATTTTGATGAAAAAATATTGGCAGTGAATGTTTTAAAAAATACGAACTTTCAAGCCAAAAAGGTCATTGTTATTCTCTTCCAAAATTACAATGTTCGGAAGTAAACAAAACACCATTGTCTATCAAATTTTGTGTTCGTCCTTTTGTGACACATGTTATCTAATAAGCAATAACTTAGGAGCCTTTTTTCAAAACTTTCCGTGCAGATGTTCAATGATGTCGCTTTCATCTTAAATCGAACCTTATTCTGGACTCGTGTAATAACACTAATGGTGCAAGTCCACAGTAGCATGAAAACTTATTGTATTCCTTAAAAGGGACTTTGTCATCTGTATGAATGCCTCTCCTTTTTAGGCCTGGGAAAGTTTGTGCCCTTTGTAATTTGGGCGAACGAAGTCAACTTGGTCAAGGTGAACTGATGCGGCTCAGCGTTCCTGAAGGTTTTGTGATCCCACAGAAAGATCCATCAAAAACAACTAATGGGTTCATGTCTCCTCCCTCCGATCTCTCAGATGCAGCCCCGTTTTCGCAGCATGGTGACAAATCCCCTAGATCAACCAATCCGGCTGTTACATTTAGGAGACAGAAAAGTTGGGCAAAATCAAAGTAAGTAGTTGTGGAAATATTTTCATCGCAGTTTTAAAGTCCTGGACGTACACCATACCCAAATATCTGTCCTATGCACCAGAGAGAAAAAAATGAATCTTGCTGTGTAATATAAAATTACAAGTATATAATGTGAAGACACGCACTTTCCCTCCCTTGCGCCTCTCTGCATTAGCAGCCTAAGCTCCTCCTGTATCACTGTGCGCTTCATCCGTGTGCGTGCTGGTTGTCGCTGATAACTGAGGAGTACCCCTCCTATTAATCTCTTAATATGAATCCGTCCTTGTACACCTTGCTGTTACTTGAGGAAAGCAGGAAAAGCCACTTATAGTTGTTTGTTCTCAACTCCATGGTAATTGCCCTGTAAGAGCAATGTCTAAATGTACATCAATACACAGGAAATTCACCACTGACAATTTGTGGAGTTGGCTAGTCAGATACCTATGCATATCACATGAATCTTGAAAAGAGGATATGAATTAATAATTAATTCATCTTCAGTAATGCCCCTTACCAAAAGAACAAAAAAATTTAGCTAGAAGTCTTCCTTCTATTGTGTGGTCTTTGTTATCGCTAATGTTTTACTTGAATAATTTTCAGAAATACATCCTTGAAAAACCAGTTCGAACCTGTAGATGAGCTTAGTGTTGTTGGGTACAATGATGAAATAGATCCAGCAACTCTGTTTGATTCAGGTTTGTACTTCTATTACTGACCGATACTTTATTTTTATTGAAAAACATAATTGTATTCCTAGTTGCGCATCCCAGTTTGCTAGTTCCTGCTAGCGCATTTATAATGACATGCAAATGGGTCAGTATTTAGTGTAATTACGAATCGTAAAGTTAAATTAAAAATCTATGATGTCATGGTTGCATCATATCGTGAAAAAAGTGCTCCTCCTCAGATGTTAAAGGAACCTATTTTTTATTGTAAAGTTCCATGATTTCTATCAGAGCCAAAATTCTACCATGTGTGTGTGTGGTTTTAATACATGGTTCAATTTATCATTTTCTTATACAAGTGACAAAATTTTGCAAACGCTTTCAAAATTATTAACATGTTACACCCCGACACATTTCTAAACCCTGAAATCAAAATGGTTAAACACTGAAAACTTGGAAAGCTAGCACTTAGACCGAAAACAGCTAAAATAACAATTGTAAAGGTTTCATTTTACCTAAGAGCATACGTAAATGAATGTACCACTTGATCTAAACAATATTTTATAAAAATTTAGTCATTAATTGACATTTTAGAAGATGTTTTTAAATTTTGATCGATGTTATTAGGTATTTATAGAACAATAATCTTAGTCTATTTGTTCAAAGATGAGGGTTTCTTAAACTTTAGCTGCGCTCATTCTATTTCCAGCATTCATTTTTGTTCCAGCTCTAAAATCAAACTTTTTGTACTTGATTTCAGGTGTTTTCTATGTGCATCAGTCGTGCGCCTTGTGGTCAGAAGGTGTTACCAGGAATGCAGATCTTCAGTTAGAGAATGTTGCTAGCGCACTCGTCTCGAGTGCCAATAGAAAATGTAATGGATGTCTGCATTATGGTGCTTCTGTTGCCTGTAGTTTTACAAATTGTTTCAAATTTTTTCATTTTCCTTGTGCAATAGCAGCTGGTGGATTCCTCCAAACTAAAACTTTAACACTTGTTTGTAACTTACATTTAGACCAAGTGCCATTATTATGTAAGTATACTGATTTTTCTCCCTTTTATTCCTTTCAGTTTTCATACAGTTTCTCTTGTACTTTAGGTGTCCTGTATTCTGAAAATGAGTCTGTTGTTAGTTAACCCATTGACAATTATTTTGCTTAAAACATGCAGAAGTCAGTAACTTTAAATATTTCAAAATAATCCGTAAACCAATAATTTAGTGTTGAAAATCGGAGTATCAAACATTTAGAATATGTTTTTTGTGGAAACAGGAAAAAACTGAGTTTTAACACTTTTTCATTGTAAATTTATGGCTGTCTGAATCACAGAAATTGCAAACTGAACATATCATAAAAATGTGATGTTATTTTCTGCTCAACAATACAAAAATTCTAATTTGTAACCGTAATGAAATAATAATCGGCAGGGCAAAATCATTTTAGATCAGTTACTACTCGTTTAAGAATTGATAAAAATGCGATCTGTCATGGAAATATCCCAAACATTGATGCCAAGTCGACGGACAGCCAATTGATCAACCAAGTTTGAGGAGGTTCCCTCAAATAGACCCTCCTTTCAGACATATATAAGTATTAACTGGTAAATGATGATCATTGAGTGGTAAAATTCAGCATATCATTCGTTCAGTAAAAGAAATAGATGCATCGTCTTTAAAAAAAAAATTAAAGGATCTGACCCAATAGCCTGTGGAATCAAAAATACTTTTATTCTTGTCACAAGAGAATCTTCCTGATTGAACCTGCATTTTTCTAATGTTGATGCAAATCTCATGATTATTAGAAATATTAGTTAGATCTATGGCTTACTTGCTAACATTTTCAACATTTACTGTATGTATACTTGTTCCATTTCAAAAATCCAAGCATTTTGGCAAACCTTTTTAATTTTAAGAAATTGACTATTGCCAGAAAATGTTTAATTTTTCAAAAAATTGAAGAATAAAAGTATTGCTCTGTCAAGGTGGTTTTTCCTGGGTTCTTGACAAGGTCAAAGTAGCAGGTGATTTATTGCAAGGTTGAGTCTTAGATCTTGGCAGATTTTGACTTTTTAACTTATAGCCCCTGCTCATGAGTCACAAGAATCGAACGTTACAAACGTTAAAGAAAAACGTTACATTCTATTTAGAGGTTAGTAACTGTATGGAATGCAGGGGGTTTTTTTGCAGAAAAATCTAGCTATTATTACTCCGAATTTTCCAATTTTTTTGGTCGGGAATCATTCTTCAGACTCATATGTAGGAGCTACTAACCTTGTTCTGGCTGTAAAGTCAAAGTCTATCAAGATATTTATCCAGTTGATGCTATTTATTGCATTCCAGTTCAATCGCGCCAAGAACCCTCAACGAACCACCTTAATTTTTCTAATCAAATTTCACAAAAATCATTGTTTTATTTTTCAGCCAACGTTGAAGTAACTTGCGGGACTTGCTACTCTTTGGGTGATGTATCAAACTTATTAATGTGTACAGTGTGCGGCAATCACTATCATGGTCTCTGCGTCGGGCTGGCTTTACAACCTGGTAAGTCGTCAAGTAGACTTTTCTCTCAATCTGTGAATCAGCATCTATCAAAGTTTTCTTCGGAACAAAGATCCAGCAAAATTTGCTTTCTGCTTCAAAAATTAAGTTATTTGATTGAATCGCTTTTATAGTATTTATATAAATTTTTCATTGAATCAATATTGGTATCTGCGTTCCTCAAGTGACGTAAAACAGAATATGTTATATTGTGAAATTATGATTTTTAAAAGTAGCTACAACTTTTTTGTCCCCTGTTAAAGTATTCACCTACTCTCATTCAAATGTGTTGTATCATAATACGTAATGGATCATCATGATTTTAACTTTCAAACATTTACTGAAATTAAAGCTTCCAGCTAATTTATTTATTCTGTTCTCCAGGCACTCGAGCTGGTTGGCAGTGTTCAGAATGTCGAGTTTGTCAAGTTTGCCGACAACCAGAAGAATCTACAAAAGCAATGTTCTGTGAAACATGTGATAAAGCTTACCATCCAACATGTCTGCGGCCTATAGTAACGTCTATTCCTAAATTCGGGTGGAAGTGTAAAGTGAGTATTAGTTAAATTTTAAATTTAATTTTAAATATTCAATGACAAGCTGGTCATAATGGTTAGTTTTCAGTCAAGAACAGTCCTTGTCAATGTTCTATTCTCAGTTTGTGTTACCATGTGTTTTCATTGTAAATTCAAGTGATGAATATATCCACCATAGAACTAGTCGAAAAACTTTCCTGATTTTTCATCCCTATGTAAAGAATAATTTATGACAGTTTCAAGCATTAGCATTGATTTGTTCTCCTTCGATAACAATATTATGGGAGTGGAGTTTTTGAGACACAGCAAACGAGAAATGCATTCTATACTTTATTGTTTTTGGTGGATTCTTATTGGTAGAAAGGCATTGTTGCCCCTTTATAGAAGAGAAAACAATCTTAATAGCAGGAAGCCGCAACAACCTCAATCGCATCTTTTTAGCATTTTAACTTATTTTGTTGTTCACCAGTGAGCTATTAAATTAGCACCGAGAGATGCAGAAAATTCTAGATCACAGCAACTTCTGAATCCCTTGATATTTTCCAAAATTTCCCCAAAATTGCTTATTTTCAGAAGTTAAAGATCATCTCACTAGAAAATGTTCCCAAAATGTATCTTGATCTTCATGTCTGCTGTTATCTAAAAAAAACTTGGGATTTTGCCCATTTTGATGCAGAAAATACATGTGCTATGTATTTATAACGTTTAGTCTTAAAAAATCCAGTTTTAGCTTCTTCGCTTTTGCTAGTAGGTACATTTTTAACATCTGTTTCGGAATTTTTCAGGCTTGCCGTCTATGCAGTGATTGTGGTTCAAGAACTCCTGGTGGTGGCCAGTCATCAAGGTGGCATGCCCATTACACCGTTTGTGATTCATGCTATCAACAGCGCAACAAAGGGTTCTCTTGTCCGCTTTGTCGTAGAGCGTATCGTGCAGCAGCTGTTAGGGAAATGGTGCAATGTTCCAAGTGTCACAAGTAAGATTTCTTCTAATCTTTTTATCGGATATGTTCAAAAATTAATCTTACTTCTAAAGTAGGATCAGAGGTCCACAGTACTTTCAAGAATATATGATAGTTGATCAATCAACCTATAATTTCTGGATTCGAAGGCATAATTTTCAAAATTTCCTCAAAGTCAAGGCATGTTGTAGTGCATCAGGTATTTATGTTCAGTCAAGTTAGGCCGTTACAGCTGACATGATAAGTGGGCAAAACTCATTATTTTTTTAACAGGAATGGACCACTAGACAAGATATGAATTTAAGCAATCTGATACATGTTTCTTAACCAGAATTTAAGGTAGAACACGATTCGCACAACGAAAATTACTGAAACCAACTCCTAACGAAGATATTAATGTTTTTATTTCACATTGGTTACGAGGAATTTGAACTGCCCGCTCAAAAGAAACTCAAAGCTCTACGTGAGTCAAATTGCGCACTACAACGGTTTCAGCAAGCTTCTCAATCAAGCCATTTTTATTTCCAACCATGTGTTGTTCAAACTATTAGAAATTTGCTATAGCTGAGCCAAAGCGTCAAGATTGAGGTTGCCAGATTTTCATGCCAGAAACTGTCATGATAATGTTTAGCAAGCGATGTGAATCATGTAGAGCATTGAGTTTTAATGAGTGGGTGGTTTGAATTCACGCACAAGGAATCATTAATTATCTTTGCAAGGAGTTGATTTCGATAATTTTTGCTGTGCGTATCGTGTTTTACGTGAAATTTTGGGAAAGAAACATGTATCAGAATGCTGAAATTCGTACCTTGTCTAGTGGTCCATTTGAGGTAATCACTCAGAGTGTGCTGATGTAATTATGAAGAAAATCTTTTCACATCAAAATCGGAACAAGGTCTTGGGTTTGATTGTGACTACTCTTTAATCCATAAATTCTGTTACTATTTATATTTCCACTTTCAAATCTGAAGGATCAGATTACCTCATCTACTATTATCTCATTCGTTGTTTGTTTGCCCTCGTAGATTTGTACATGGCACTTGTGATGCTGATGCTGATTTAAAAGCTCATCAACTAAGGAAGGATGCCAATCCGGACTACGAGTACACGTGCCCCAACTGTAAGAATGGACAAATATCAGCAAAACGAAACAGCATCGAAGATTCCATGATAGACTCAAATTTAAGTGCTTCCCAAGAGTCCTTGTATTTGAATGAAGATGAATATGAGTTTGTCTATGATAAGGTGCGTCAAAACCTATCTTGTTTTTTCCTTAAATGTTCCCTATGTTTGCGTTGCCTTGTGCATTGAGGAAAAAAAAAAAAAGTAAGCTTGCTGATTGTAGATTGATCCTTTTCTTATAACAGGATAGCTACACCGTTTCATGATTCACTGCAAGAACTTCCTTTAACTTTTTGCTGGTCGTATCAAACGGGCTCTTTGTTAACACAGCTTCTATTATACACATTTATCTGCCAAAATTTGGTCTTGGAGTCTAAAATTTAATCAAAGGTTGGGAAAGTCAAAGCAAAGCACACAAGTTACGTAGCAAATGTCAATTGAGTTTAGAGGTGTAGAAAGCATGAATTCTGGATCAAAACTGAACCCCACCAACTCGTAGATTCCCCAAATGGCAACCTTGAATGGAATCTTTTAGTTCTCAATAATATATGAGATGAGAAAAAAATAGATCCAATAATACCACTGTGCATAGTAGGTTAATATAAAAATTTTGCCTATAATTTGACTCGTTGACGTTAAATTCAAATTTAGTTAAGCACAAGATTCATCAATGTGGTGGCAACTTGTGACTCTCGAAACTGTAGACAAGTAAAATTCTCAATTTCACCAGCTTTTTTGCCTGCCTCTGCACAAATAAATTAATAAATGTATTTTACACAGCATATCATTTGATCTGCTGCTGTTGATCCTTTTCAAATCTTTAATCACTTTCTCCTCAACTCCAAAAACTATTGTTTCATTCAAACTCATTGAATTTGTCGAAAATTTCAGAATGGCAGGGACTCGGACGACTTTCGTGGAGGCTCAGCTGCAGTTGGTCTAGGGAAAGGCAAGCCGTACTGTGCTAGTAAACTTTCTAAGAAAAAACTGGGGTATATTGCAATGGGTGGCGGTGGAGGATTGAAACCAAAAGGAATCGGCAAAATGACATCTATTATGGCTGCTGTAACATCATCTTTGCAGAAGAAAAATCAAAGGTTGGACTTCCGAAGCAAGCGAGGTCCGAAAGCTAAAATGCGGGGCATTTTTGGTGTGCCAGGTGTCGGGCTCCAAGTAAGTACAGGTTCTCATGAATGAAAACAAGAATTCTTAGTGTTTTTTTTTTTTTTTTTTTTTTTCAAGGAATAGGAAATAAATCATCTTCCTTTGGAGGGTAATTGACAGCACTGGCTACTGTGTTCTATTCGATATTGCATTTACTCTATAAATGAAGACTAAGAGAAAAACAAATCAATCAGCCCCAGTCATGAGTCCCATGAATCTTTTCTCATAAAAATAATACATTAATCGAGGAACCAAAAAAAGATTGTCAAAATCGGAAATCACTCCATCAGTTCAGCTTATTAAATGTGATATAAAATAGAAGGACTTTAATTTTTCCTAATAGTTCTGCCCTGGTTTTTTCCAAATTTATGGATCTTTAAGGACCATAATGTGAACCGCTTAAAAATCAAGACTTTAAGTGGAACACTTCCAAAAAATGTCCTCTGTTAAAATGTTTCTGTGTACCTTTTTATCATGTTTCGATCAGCATAATTTTACATCAGGTCCTTTGAAAACTGTAATTTGTCGAATGGTGTTTCTAATTGTTAACTTTTCTTTTCATTCAGAGGCCGAGTGCTGATGCAAATCAGAATAAATCGGAGGACGATCCTCTCGGTGAAAATCGCCTTGTTCTCTGCTCTGCAAAGGACAAGTTTGTTTTAACGCAGGATGTTTGTGTGATGTGCGGAGCTCTAGGAACTGATCAAGAAGGCTGTCTCATTGCTTGCGCTCAGTGCGGTCAATGTTATCATCCGTATTGTCTGAATGTCAAGGTAAGATTTCATTTAAGGTAGTGCCAATAATTTACTTCTTAGTGTTTGGGGCTCTCCAAGTGCCTAGTGATGATGCAGTAATTATGTCAATGCCATTTTTTTAAAAATTGATTGCCATCCATGATGACAACTATAAGGCAGATTCTGAGCTTAAGCATTGCTGTTATAGTTCGCTGAGGTGGTTTTTTTCAATCTATGTCCTCCGTTTGACGAAATACAAAGTTAAATATCCCACCAATTTTAAGACCTACCAAAATTATTTCTTATCTTTGATAATACTAGTTTTCTTCTTAATTGATGCTCATCTCTGATGACAACTATAAGGCAGATTCTGAACTCAAACATTGCTGTTACAGTTCTCTGAGATGATAGTTTTCCCACATTCTTACTGCATTTATCAAAGTACATAATCAAGCGTTTTGACTCACGAATTAATTTTGACTAAAAATGCTAAAATCAGTTACTTTGAACAATTCAAAATAATTCTAAATCTCAATTGGACTGAGTTAAGCAGAATGGAACCAACCCACATTTTGGAAAAAATTGAGTTATGAGTGGTTTTGAACTCAACCACTTCTCTACTATCTATCGCCGAAAATTCAAAGTTTTTGTTGGAGCAAATTTTGCAGAAATTGAAATTTAAGTTTATCTTTTACATTGAGTCTTATGTAGGAGCCAAACTTTAAACCTCTTTTTCTCGGTTCGATCCCGATGTGGCTTGGTTCCTTTCTGTTTAACTCCGTCCAATTGCAGGCATCAAAAATCGGTATATCAGTCATTCCTAAGGTTTGGTTTTAGGGGGAAACAGGAACACAAGTCCTGATGCTTTTGTTATGTTATTTAATAGCTGTCCAAATCATGATAGTTGCATAAGGGGAATGCAGGAAAATTTAAGGGTGTTTCATGTTCAAGCGTACAATAATACAAAAATACCACAACCAAATAATAAATTATGGTACAGAATAAGTTTTAGGCTGGTCACACTATTCATATAAACATTGACAAGAGTGTGATCTACTGTGAAAACATCAAAGTATCATAAACATTATTGCTAAGTCACTCCGAGCCGTCACTTCAAGTCAATAGGTTGATAACACGTTCATAACTTTTGCAACTTAAAACTAATTACCTTGGGACCTTGAATGATTGGTGTCTATCCCTGATGACAACTATAAGGCAGATTCTGAATTTGCATTGCTGTTTTAGTTCTCTGAGATAGTTGAACCTTGCTATAAATAAATTGGTCGAAGGCAAATAGTCAGATCAGGTATTTTGTCAAATGCCTCGGCAGTCAAATGCCTAGGCAAATAGTCAAATATATTCTTACTTAGATTGAGATTTTGATTTTTTACCTTAATTTTAGACAAAATAATTCGTTGCTCCTGTAAGAAAGAATTCTCTGTTAAAATATGCCGCACACTATAGTATTTTAAACGATTTTAAGCTCCTAAATGCACAATTTTCATGAAATTTTCAGCACATCATAAAACAAATAATTTTTTAAAATTTTAACATTGAAATGTACTAAAGGCATGAACTCTTGGCCATAAATTTACAGAATTCTGTTAACAGTCAAAATTTGACTACCGGCCTAGGCATTTAATAAAATGCTTGATTTGACTAATTGCCTTCGACAAATATACTGATTCAGTTCTGTGTCTTCCGTAGGTACCATCTGTGTGGTAGATAGAACTTGTGTCCCATGTGTGGATACTCGTTTATTTTTGGCTATCTTGGGAAGTAGACCACTTTCTGTATCTGCGCATTTATGTGGCAGTGAGGCAGTCGCTTACAAGTAGGGAGTAATCGAGTGTTGACTCATTAGATGCAAGTTCAATCTAATTATTTCCGATGGTAGTATTGAAAGAGGTTGTTTAATTATTTGGATCCATTTTTATGCAATTGAAGCTTGTTTTAATGGAGAAATGTCACATTTAAATTGAACAAGAACTGTTCAAGTCACTTATTACCTCGTGTTGTGTGCGTTTACAAAATCCAGGCATCTTTAACTTTTCCCTCTCTCATTGCAGGTAACAAAAACAATTCTGACAAAGGGATGGCGGTGCCTGGACTGCACGGTTTGCGAAGGCTGTGGTCAACGCAACGATGAAGCACGCCTTATCCTGTGCGATGATTGTGATATTTCTTACCACATTTACTGCATGGACCCTCCATTAGATTATGTTCCTCGTGGAACGTGGAAGTGCAAGTGGTGTGCCCAGTGTCTCACATGTGGAGCCACCGATCCCGGTTTCAATTGCATGTGGCTGCGAAATTACACTGAGTGTGGGCCTTGTGCTTCGCGGACGTGCTGCCCGTCATGCTTCGATTCGTATTGTGATGATCAACTGATTATTAAATGTTCTCAATGTGAACGGTAAGGACATACTCCTTTAACCAACGGCAAAAAATGTGTCTTTCATTTCAGCAATGCATTTCTCTGTCCAACTCCCGATCCCAAATATCTGATGGTTCTGAAATATTCATAATTCATGAGTGAGCAGTGTCTTTGAGGAATAAATTATTTTAATGCAGCAAATCAAGTCGAAAGTGGTGAAGTAAGGAAATAAATTTTGTCACTGAAATGACCAAAATTCAACATTTTTACACCAAATTCTTCTGAAACTTCTTCTTCAAGTTCTTCTGCAAGTATCATCATTGAACTCTATAAGGTCTCTCTTTTCAGGAAATGTTTAGGCCAACCTTGTTAGTGGATCCTTGGAAGAAAAAAATAAATAAATCTGACATACTCTAAAAACTTTCGTCCCTTTAGCTGAAAACGACCCCTACGGTTCAGGGATTCAATTGAGACTCTCTGCGTTGTCCATCTCACTCTGGTTCCTGAAAATGGTCAGCAGTATTTTTTTTCAAGTGTTTGATGTAAAATTAAAACTTTTCTTATGATAAAAAATTGTTGAACATGTTTTGATGATAAAACGTTGTATATTTTGAATTTTCATAATTTTGTGGAGTAAAAATTTCTTCTCGGTGGAGATAATTAATCTAATGCTGGGCCTTTTTACAGGTGGCTTCATGCTAGCTGTGATAGAATAAATACAGAACAGGAGGCGGAAATGTGTTCATTAGCAGGTTACAATTGTATTCTGTGTCGTCCTCGTGATGTGCCTCCTCCTCACCTCGTACCAAAGCCCAAATTACCGGAAAAGAAACCGGCTAAACCTAGACCTCCAACTCCAGTCAAAAGTCCAGGTTTGTAGAACTTAAAGCTTATGAACGAGTGTTACCTATAATTATAACTAATTTTTTTTTTTTACTTTCATATATAGTTTACCAAATAATAGATCATTCCATTTTTTTCTTCGTGCGCAAATGATTTTGACAGTGATAGTGCAAAAATGTGTATCTTGATTGCGGTGTTTTAAAATGGCTGCTCTTTTTTATTTTTTAAACGGAGACCAAACCAACATCAAGGCTTGAAAATATGACAGAACATTCTTTACGTAGAGAAAAAAAAATCACCGAAGTTATAAAACAAAAGATGTCTTGTAGCGTCCCATGTACAGAAAATAAAGTATGACATGAAGTCTACGACGCCGCAAGCCGTGATATGGGTTTCTGAAGTTTCACTATAAATATACCATTTCTTTTGGTAAGTCCTCCGTAAACCCCTGTTTCTTCAGAATTAAAGTCTGTAATGTGCCAAAACTCAGCAAGAGATTCAGAACCAGGTTTGATTCCTCTCAAATTTTCAATGTCAATGAGTGATTTAGCAGTATTGAATGCAGGGAGCGTTTCTGCGCAAGCTGTAGTCATGGAATTAAAATTTTAAAATTCGTTTTTCCTTTGAGATGTAATTTTTATTTGGCAGCCGTGTTTTGAGCGAGTGGCTCATCACATACCAATAATGAGTCCCGCTTGAAACGCGTCTGCCCAATAAAAACTACATTGCAAGTGAGGAACAAATTTTAAAATTTTAATTAATTGATATAGTAGTGTCTTCCTAGTGTTAAACATGTCCATTGGTATACTGGTTTTTAATGAGAAACTGAAGTCTCTTACATTATGCAACTATATCATATGGCTCGGATTATCAAGTAGCAGGATGCTTTTACTTTAATCTAAAGAAATAAAAACTTTGCTTGGGAATCTTACATCACACTAATCAGAAAGCTCTCATGATGAGCTAAGTGAGAGGTATTTTGCTAATATTGGTCATAATTGATCATGGCTCCACTAAAATTTGTTGACTACCTCAGTTTTAGCATGTTTTCAGAGTGCCGCTAGATGTATCAAAAGAAATTGGGTGGTAGTAAGATATAGATGGTTGATTCCATGCGATGATGAAATCATATGACTCTTTTTTTTCCATGTTTTCAGATCCAGTAGTTGTAGAAACCCAGCAAGAATTTTTTGTGGATGGTGTTTGTCTATCAAAATCTGGGTTAGATCAAATGCAATCTCATTCTCTGATGGACCAAAGTCTTCTACCCCCTCAACGAAAGAAAAGAGCGTTGCCCAAAAAATTATCTGAGAAAGATGCCAGTATTTTTGCAACAATTGAGTCAGTCGTTTCTGGTGGAAAACCCAGTGATATAGCAGCAATGTTGGCAAACAAGATGGATGTGGATGAAAGTCCGAACAAAGAAACTCCGACGGAAATCTACAAAGAAGGAATGGTTGTTCAACCTGGGCCTGATGGCAAGCCTCCTGAGCCACCTGAAGGGTTCACAATTTTCACGACTGAAGCTGGCGTTATGGTGCTGCGGCGTAAAAGAGTCAGAAATTTACAAAGGCTAGGTGAGATTTTTTTTCTTCTTATCTGTAGCGTAGTGAGAATAGAATGCGGATCTTCCCTGAGAAAATTTTAACCTCTTCGAAGTCCTGCCGCTACTTCTTTCATTCATATTCAACCATCCTAATAACATTTATCGAGAAGAAGGGAAAACTGCTGAAATTTCTCATTCTTTACTGTAATTGTTCTCCTATCCAAGAAATAATTTTATGCTACCAGGTAATTTTTTCCACTATAAATTTATCGTATTTAGAGTGCATTTGGCCCATTAAATTTTTTTTTCCACTATAATAAGCAGTCTTACATGTACCCGAGCTCATTTACACCAACTGCTCCCCATTCATGATTTTATTCAATTTACTTATCTTTTCTTTCGTATGAGCCAACTATTTTCAAATTTACTCGTTCCTCTTTAGTTTTCTCAAAACCACAGGATGCTTCCTCGATATTCACCCAATGTTTAAAACATGTTCGTCTTAAAATGGGTATTATCCATCAGAGATACTAGCATTTTAAAATATTAATTTGTTTCAATTTAGGCATTGGCGGCTTCAATGCACGTGTTCGCAACAACAGGTATCACAAAGATCAACAAAAAGATATCGATGAATCTTCAACAGGAGACTTTAATTTGTCTCTCACTGACGCAGATGCAACACCTGTCGCCACCCCAACAACTCCAGAAGCAACCGATGTTAACTCTTTGGGAGATAAACCTAAAAGGAAACCCCAAAGAAGAAAATTAAAGAGTAAACTTGCTGAAAATTTTCCCTCTTATTTACAGGTATGCAAAATGATTCAAACTTATAAACTTATTCACAGTTTTCTGTTGTAATGAATCCTCAAAATTTTGTTAACTGTCTTTACAATGCATCCTACAAAGTTTTAAGGTACGGTAATTACGGCATTCATGGCAAGCGTTGACAGCAAATGACAAAAGAGTCCGGGAAAAATTGTTAAGTCACCTTTATTTCTTGAATGGGTTTGACGCTTCAAACAACAAATTTTGCCTGAATAGTATTTAAATTTATGTCTTTTTAACCATCTGGCGCATTCTATATTGTCAAGGAATTTTACCGAAATGTGACAGGGAAATGTGAGGGAATTTCAATTTCTAAATTCTGTGGCAATCCTGATAATGCATATGAGGAGACGCTTCAAGTCCCAAATCCTGATAACTCCCATCGCCTTAATTATTTGCCAGTGACAGATGCATTAAAAGAAAAAAGTTGAGAATTCTATCATAGTTTCTATCATGTATTATCTTATTCATTTTTGCTCTCATGATAAGTGTCAAATTAAATGATTTATCATTCTGAAAAATTCCAGGAGGCTTTTTTTGGAAAAGATCTATTAGATACTAGTAAGGAGACACCTGGCGAGTTAGAAAGCAGCAGCAGTGAGTCGGAAGAAGACACAGTTAAAGTCACCCATGATATCACACTATCTCAGGTAAATTTTTATCACTTAACCTCTTCACCTTTTGCCTTCCAGGCTGATGGATATTCTTGGGTCGTTTATTTTCACTATGGAATATGAAATGGAATTTTCCTTTTTATCAGGGTCTCTGGTGGCATGGAAAACTAAGGAAGTCAGGAAAATAGGAACCTGAAAAAGTAAAAAAATTCATAGGGAAAGTCAAGAGAATTTTGGGATTAGCGGTGGTCGGCTCAGTAACTTCAGCTGGTGCACGATAAAGAGCGCGAATATCTTCAGAAGTTGCCTTTTTACTTAATTTTAATCTCTGGGAGTGTAGATTTTGTTCTTAGTTTAGCAAAAGTTAACGTACTACGTACTTACGTACGTAGTTTACTTTGTAATTGGGCAACTTGCCCGTTTTGTATAATAAATAAATAAATAAATAAATAAATAATTAATTAAATGAATGAAAACCTAACGAAAGGTTTGGATCAGAGATCAGGGAAGGTCAAGAAACAAGGAAATTTTGGTGTCAGGGAAAATCAAAAGGAAAGTTAGGGAATTAGAAAACGAAGAAATGTCGAAATCCCTAATATGTGCTGTTTTAATGCCTTTAGCTCCAGCTGTAATTTTCAGGAACTGTACTCTCTAATTTATTGTTTCTTTGATATGTATCATCATAGTACATTTTATAAGGTTTTACGAGTTTTTAAGGCCAATGTAAGAATGTATCATTGACCACTGCAGCACTGAGTAGCACATTGTGGTGAGTATTTCATAGCGAGGAATGGATTATAGCAGTAACTTTTCCATCAGAGAGCACAATTTATTTATCAAAGGTGGTGGAATAAAGTCGAAATTCTCTCTGAAAACCCAATTTTCAATTTCCGATTTGTTAATTTTTGCTTCAGAGATGGCCAACAAGAAACTCAGAGGGTAGCGTTAGGCATGATTAATATTCAGTTCTCCATGCGAAGAGAGAATGTAAATTATCAAATCAGGATAGCTTAATCTATTTCATATATTTGTCTCCATTTGTTAATATAAAATACAGAACGCATCAAAATGGTTCCAAACTAAAAAAATGTTGAAAATTGCAGGAGGAGTTGAAAATTTTGGAAGAGGCCAAAGAAAAGCATGAGAAGGAATTGCAGGAAAAACTGGAGAAACAAAGACAGAAAGAAAAAGAAGAAAAAGAAAGTATGAACGAAGCAGCGATCAAGAAAGAGAAGGGAGAAGATGGAATCAGTTTGAACGACAGTCAGACCAAGCCTGAAGATGGGGTGGATGATGAAGAAGACGACGAAGAGTCTTTGAAAGATATGTTGCCGTTTGGAAATCTGCTGGACAACGACATTGTTAACATGATGAATGAAGACGGTGTCAAACCAGATACAACAGGTTCTGATGGTGAAGAAACTCCTTCCCAATCCAACTCGGGTATGTTTGATTTTTGCTTTAATTTTTCTTCTCCCCCTCCCCCCCCCTTCAACAATTCTGGGTGTCTACAAGTCCGGAAATAGTACTGATTTTCTAAGGGCGGTCCGGAAGTGCTGAAAATATGCGGAAATTCCGAAAAAAGGTCCGGAATTTTTTTAAATTTTTTGTCATTTTTGTCGCAATTTTAAATTTTTGAAATTTTTCTAATTTCGTCAAATGGAGGTACTGAAAAAGTACGGAATGTTTCTGTTGGAGGAGGTACTGAATTTCTCGAGAATGTACTGAAAAAGTACTGTAAAAGTACTTATTTTTGACCACCCTGTTTTAGTAGACACCCTGTAATTAAAAAAAGTTGAGATCAATCAGATGTGCTTTTTCGAATTTTTAGTGGATTGAAGATAATTAAATAGGAAATTGTTCGAGTAATTGAAAAAACAGTCTTGAGTAAAGTCGAGAGGATCAATTAGTCATGATAATGAATATCATTAAAATTAAAAATCTAATCTCAATCAAACGGCGCAACCTCGTATTTGTTTACCCCTCACAATGTGTTCAACAAGGGTGTAGAAAATGCCTGATCTCGAGATCTTGGGACTGCAGAGAATATGAAGCAAATTTTGGGTCATGAGGCAACTTTCATAAATGATTAATTTTCTCTCTTTTTTTTTAGTTAATAATTTTTGAAAGTGGGGCAAATACACACTTTAATAGGAATAGGTAATACATTTTCAATTTGTTAGAATTTAGAATCTCAACTGTGCTTTTCAGGTTCCAAAGATGAATTGACGGACATTTTCAATTCTCACTTCAACCTCGACTCGATTGTGCGGGAAACCGGTTTACCAAATATGGACTCCAAAGATGTTGAAGAGATCTTCAAAGATGTGCTCACAGATGAAGTCGTGGCCAGTGTTGAAAATGCTAATTTGCCTGCCAACCCCAACCAAGCCACGAACCCAGTCAATGTCTTCTCTGTCACAAACCAACACCAGCCAAACATGAATATTATTCAAGGACCTCAACCAATTATGTCGCCTTCCTCTAATCACCCTGGTGAGTGAATACAGCTCAATGATGAGGGTTTTTATGCGATGTAATTTTATAAAAGGAAATGCAAAGTTGTTCTGTCAATTTGTGCCGATGGATTCCTAAGTATTTTTTCTCTCAGCGCCAGGAGAACAAGGAAAAATGGTGAAACCTGTGATTTCATGGGTTGTCAAACTGTACATCCAAATTTTAATTACCATCAATTTGCGAGTGATGACATGAGCTCTACACTCCGCTATTGGAACAATTGCGCTTGAGATCTCTGAGCCTTGTCTGGTATGAGACGTTGCATCAAGTTTTGAGATTGTGTTGGCTCAATCCAGCAGACAACTTGAACGAGAGAAAATGCTCATTTCTTTATTTTTTTAAATTTGTCTAAATTTCACTTTAAGACTTGTTTTGTATTTTTCCTCTCCTGTCAATTAGTTTTTGCTGCTATGACCTCTCTCCAACACTGTTTTTTTCTATTTTTCTCAGCCCTGCATCAAGCCGTTAGTCTACCCAGATCTCAAATCCCTGCAGCTCTACCTCCTGTTGTGCATTCAAATTTGCCCTCACCTCTCGGATACCCCTCAGCATCACCATATCATTCTGAATATAGCAAGTAAGTCAACAAAATTTTCTAAATTTTAGTATGTCATCAACGTGTTATATTTTCTGAGCCACCATTCTGTAAACACTCTGGCATTCTTGATAATGCGTAGAAATAAAAGCCAGGCGGACATTAATATGCAATTTGCATTTCTTTGACAAGGAAACGAGGATGAGGGCCAGTGAAAGCAATTTTTGAGATAAAGCCTGGGGTTAGGGAGTCAGGCATTAGTTTAAAGTTGTATCCTTTTCTTTGCTATCAGCTTCATCAGTTGCCATATTATGTCATTAGAGTAGGATGTTCAGCATTTTCTTTGACTGGTGTCACAAGAAAAAGACAGAGCATCGTGTAAGCAGCTAGAGTACAGAACCGTTCAGTACCACACAGTTGCCATTTTTGTAGCCAAGTGGTGATCATCAGTTTCATCACCCTCCAGGTTTGATGACAAAGCAATGACTGCTTAGAGAGCTTCGGTCGGCGTATGACAATTGCTGGATTTTTAGTGAGCAACATATGAAAACTTTGGCAGTAATCTCCCATTGATCAATTTTTCAAATTTCTCAAGAAAGGCGACATTCAAATTTCTCTCATCAGTATCTTAATGATGCCAATGGCAGCAAAAAAACTATGTTTTACGACAGTGATATGGTAGAAGAAATGAGTGGAAGTGATAAATATGAGCAGCTAATGTCAAAGAATGTGGATCTTCCATTATGTCATTGCAAATCTCTGCTCTTGTTTTATTTTTATTTTTTTTTTTTTTTCGAAAAAACTAACCAACAAGTTGTAAGAGTAATACCTTGATACCCTCTCAAGATTTATGAACAATCGTAGAAAATTTACTTAAAAAATTTCAATGCGGTAGGGTGTTTACTTCCCCACAAAAAATTACAACCAAAGAAAAAATAGATGGCGAAGGTTAAATTTTTATAGGCTGGTTCTACATGAACCCATCCATCTATGAATCCAAGAGAATTGAAAAACTTAAATGGTTAATTTGGATGTTATTTTTTTCTCTTCTTTAATTGAATAAACTTTTTCACGTAACTTTTTTGCATCTTTTTTTGTAGCAGCCCTCAATTCAGTCCAGCCTCGCCCTGGCTGGGAAGTGATGAAGGCGATAGTTGTTCCACTACTCAGCCTGCGGGTTCAACATCTAATCAGCGATCTTCCCACCGTATGGAACAGGATGAGAAACTTGGGCGGAATGCAACAATGGCCTCTGTCTTATATGCCAATCTCAACCACCCTGAATGGATCAAACAATATCCAGGTATATTTTAAGGTTTCCAGTTTACTGTAAAATATCTGTTGCATTTATTAGTATCATTTGATACTATTATAGCTATTTGGTAGACGCATCTCATTACTGTAAAATTTTGTGTTATCGCCACTCGAGTTTAAAGAAATAATTAAATGAATCTCTTAATTGCATAAATTCTAATATTTTTTACTGCGCCATTGCTCTCAATGCGATCTCAACCCACTGACTAGTTTTACTTTCAAACTAAACTGTTGGAACAGAGCGGAAAACTGTCATGCAATATAAAGTTAAGTTGGTCACATCTGCAGAATAAATATTTAAAGGCAACGTAGGTTGTCAAGTAATGATTGAAAGATTAAATCAGTGGCACCGAATCTTTAGGGGCCATTATTCACTCCAGTACTGACGCTGTGCAAGAAGAACGAGTTCAGCAAGTCAATTTTCTTTGAAGAGTAATGAACAACCTCAATACTTGATGTTTGTTTCTTATATCAATCATGTTGATTTCCATTTCAGCCTGGTCTGAGCGCTACAAACAAATTCAAAAAGTCTGGCGGGCCCTTCCTGCCGAGAAGAAAACATCATATGTTAGTCAAGCGCGAGAAAATAGAACCAGTATGCGAGTGAAGAAGTCACAGCAGGTAAGATTCATTTTGACAGTTATTGTATCTAGCAGTCCCTCGGTGCTATAAATGACAGAGATGCTACCGAAGCTCGTTTGAACCGTGAACAAACTACCAAAATCCAGCTTGATATAAGTCACATTGTGCGCTTGATTACACTTCAAAGAGTGATAACCCTCTCACGATTGTAGTTTTTCCCTTGTATGATTTGTACCCAAACGACCTGACCCGTAGCTAATTACAAGCTAATACACCTGTTCTTGTGAGTCGTGTTTCATTCACAGTTTATATCTGACAATATTAGAATTGTGTTAGAAAACATTTCTTGGTTAGCCAACTATGAAGGAAGCAACTATTTATTTTGTTCTACAAGAAATTAGTAGAATAGTGAATGTATTGAAAGCAGACAATCGCTGAAGAATCTCTTTTATCCCCTGGCGTTTGGAGTAATTTCTCTTGAGGGTAGCGTTTTTTGGAAGGGCTCAGTGCCGTTTCAAAATTTGACAAATGATCGAACTTTTAAGTTTGTCTGCAGCTTGTCATATCCTTAAGGCAAGTAATTAATATCAAAATTGATCCTGCGCTAGGAAGAAATTGTAGCAATCTAATTTGAAGTTCTCAACATTTCATATCATGAAGCCAATTTTAAGGATTGAATGCATTTCTTATTTCTTGTGGGAAGTTTAAAGAGAACAATTTTCACAATTATCTTTGCCACTTTCCCCATCTTATGTCAAGAAGTTGCTTTGTCTTTTTTTTTTTTTAACAAGAGGGTATTTTTACCTCTTCACCCACTATGGTCCAATTTTATTACAATTATTATTATTATTTAATTAGAATTCTGGAAAGTCTTAAAAGAAGTTTTTAAGTTTTGTGCGTTTACATCACCCCCAATCAATTGTATTTCCAAGCACCAATTTATTGACACTATTCTTCAAAAGCCTACTTTTGTTTTAATCATCAGATTAGAGGAACTTTCAACAGGAGGTTTTGAGTTGTGCGTGTCGGTAACACAATAAGCAGGCTAATTTAGATAGGTGATGAATGTTGGTGTCGGTTTTCGATTATAATTATTTTTGAGACCAACTATGCAGTGTTCAAGACCAAGAGAAAAGAGACTACGGACGTTGAGAGTAACATATCTGTGTGTCTTTTGTGTCTGCTTTTGTCTTGCTTCTCACTGGGGATGTCCAGTCACTTCGAATTTTAAATGTCTCCTGAATTTAACCACTGCAACGAGTTCTGTTATTTGCACTTTTCCTTTCCCATGTCATTCATGCGAACGTCTGTCTTTTGGTTTTTTTTTTTTTTTTTTTTTTTTTTTTTTTTTTTGTATACTCGTGGTGGATACAAATTGGGTGCAGTGAACTAAAAGCATTTAAGAGGTTTGGCTCTTGTGGCTTGGGGTCAATATGTGGAGAGCTCGGCACACGCTATGCATCTTCAGAAAGTGGGTGTTGGTCCTAGTTTACTTATATGTTGGTTGCGATGGAAGATACAAAAATAACACTCTATGCTCTGATAAAATTTCTAGGGAATAATGTTGGATCATCATGAGCTCTTTATTTTTCCATGCCTTAAACAATCTCTGGAGTTATTTTTTTTACACAAGCCTTGAGCTTTAAAGTGGTTGAAAAAGTGGACACCATAATTTCATTCAAATATTGACTCAGAATGGGAAATAGATCAAATTTTATTTCAAATGCCAAGTCTCTGCAGTTAAATAACTCATTCCTGACCCAGCTTTAACAAGTTGATGTGGGAACGTTAAATACACTGTCAGGTACAAAGTTGTAACAATCATTTGTCTGAATAGTTAGTCTAATGATCGGCAAAAGATAAATGTCACTCTGAAAGTCTTCTAAAATGCCGTGAAGAATTGCCTTTAGACCTGACCAGGAACATGATAATGGAATCAAGACCACTCTAACATTTTTTTGACTGCATCAAATGACAAAATGAATTTATTGAAGAAAAGAAAATTAAATAAAACCTGAAGGTTTATCCAAATTGAAAGTACCAAACATTCGCACCTACTTGATAAATTTCTTGAAACTCAGCAAATACATCATGTGGACTATTAATGTAAGACCTGTACTGCTGAAATCTTCAGCACATTCTCCTGTGTAATTCTTTCTGTTTTGAGTGTGCCAATGAAATAAGATTGTAACCCCTTCGTATTTCATTTACTCCTATCTCATCCCTTATTTTTATTTTTACTTTTTTTTTCTGTCCACTCTGCAAAATTAAAATCAGATTCCGAAAACGGAGACGACAACAAATAACACAGGAACAAATGTAAGCTTAGCATCGATGTCGAATGTGATGAGAAACGATGCCACAAAAATGATGCCTGTTTCATCATCTTCCTCATCATCATCATCGTCAGCTTCCGGAGAGGTGTGTTTTGACGAATCTTGTGCAGCTACCTCCGATTTACAATCATCACTATCACTAACATCTTCTCTCACTGCTGCTGCTGCTACATCCACTGCACTCTCTGCTACTTCTACTAACTCTAACGCTGTTGGTGATGGAACTATTCGTTCTCCGATATCTTCTACGCCAGATGATAACGGGAGCACTAACACCACCTCCCCTCCTCTCCCTGAACCTGATAATCTTTTTTCCGAAACAGATGTTTCCATCAATCTCCCATCAGATCCTATAATCAACTCCAATCCTCTCGCAGCCCCAAACACACTCACATCGCAAGATGCCAATAATAGCCCCAATAACTCGATAACTACAAATACGTCAATGAGTAGCCCCAGTAATAGTACCTCTCAATCAATAGTCACTCACAATAAGTTGTTGCCCAATCTGGCATCACCTGTGAAGGAGAGTAAATTCATTCAGCAGATTTTTCCAACAACTATTCCATCTCATCCGTCAACTATTCAATATATACCGGTGGTACCAACAACAACTGTCGGTAACACACAACAAGTGGCAAATCTACTAACTACATCCAACCAGCCGAATCAAATACGATTCCATATCATTTCTACAGCTGCTCCTAAAGCCGAGAGCACAGCAAAAAGTAGTGATAACACTTCGGCAACAATCCATTATCAGTATATTGCCACATCTAGTAGTGGTAACTTTAACAGCAATAATACCAACCCAACGCAGACCCTGCAAGGTGTAGAAAAGTCAAACTCCAGCAACACAATCCATTACCAACCCAATAATATCAAAATAGTCCCCTCCTCAATCCTAATACCCTCCAATAACGTGGCACAGCAAACCAACAGCAATGTAAATAACGCTAGTACAGATGTGAAAACAAGTAATGAGTCCAGTCAGTCGAGAAATATATTCCATATTATAACTTCCAACTCCTCTCTGAAAGCTCAAAACCCTTCCAATATTTTGCAAACATCCTTGGCTGTCACTAACAACAGTTCGAGTGATTTCTCTGTTTTGAAAACGGTCAACAATAACATGACTGCAAATCAGGACACCCCCGATCAACAAATTCGTGTACTAACTCCCTCCGAGATAATGAAAACCCTTCCTTCTTTGGGACAAGAGAGTTATGATCCTTCTCCACCAAATATGGTGAGCCATTCAGCATCGCACGTTTCGAAACATATTTTGTTTTGGTTTTTCATTTATCTTTAAATGTCTCTGGTTTAAGTTTCTTTTTGGTTCGTGGAATTTTGTTTCGTTCTGCTTATTGATGACTGATCAGTATTTTTCTTTTGTGCTTTTAGAAGTTCATTTCTTCTCTCTTATTGCCAAATGGTGTACGTGAAACAGTGTTTGCATAATAAAACTCTATTCGGTTTTTATTATCTTGTTTATCTTAAGTAACAGAGAAAGAGAATGATCTCTGCCGTGAGGCAAAATTACAGGATCACAGGATTAGGATGCAGATCCTAATTCTGTCGTTACAGCCAGAAATTTGCAAGTACTTATTCTTTAATCATGCAGACACTTTTTCTCCTATACGTGCCTACATTCTGTGTGTGTGTTTTTTTTTTCTTTTTGCTGGCTAGAAGTCTTGAGATATGCCTTAGGTTTCGAAATATCTTTTATTGTCATTATGTCATCATTTATCGTAAGTCATTATAAACTGAAATGATGGCTAAGAAATAGAAAAGGGTAGAAATTGTAAAATAAAACTCCTAAAGCTTCAAATTTTATTTGAAAACTGGAAGTTGTGGCATTTTTGCTCTCTGTTATACCAAAAATACTGCGTTTTTTGGACGATATGTTAATGAAACAGGAAGATTTCCCATGATCTCTTTCTTATTCGAGTTTCTGGAGGATTCCGAATCGTGGTTTAGTGGTGCTCAATTTTTTCTCAATATTCTAAGAATTCGCTCCCCTAACCCAGTAGTGCAAACTTTCCTGCTTTTAAATTGTTTCTTGGCTCCTTCACTTTCCATCATCAACCCTTATCTGAACGACTTCTCTTCCTCTCTTTAGTGAGCACCAGAATAATTAAGTTTTAGCCTCTCATCGTATTTGTGTATCAACTCACTTGATACACACAACTTTCTGCGTTTGTATTAATTTCATCAGCTATAATTTATCGATCTCCCTCAGCTTTAAGAGACCTTATACTCAACATTGCTCTTAACTCCCTCTCTCCAATGCCATAATTGAATGTTAAAAGTTACTCTTTCCATCGAATCTACGCTCTTAGCTCCTGCTGACTGAAGCATTCCTTATCATGAATAATCCAAAACTCATGTTTTGGTCAAACGAATTAAAGTAGTATAGCCTGTGTCACACTATCGAAATACTCCATCAAAATGTCAAGGTCAAGAACTGTGATTGGTCCAAGTCATCCAATAAGCCAATCACAATGCCTGACCTCGATATTTTGATGGCTGGTTTTGATAGTGTGACACAGGCTAATCAACCCAACAGCATCAAATGTTGCTTAGTTTCCCTTCTTGTTTAATTTATTCAACAGATATACGGGAATATTTTTTTATCAGCTGCGAAGAAACTTTCAAAGCATTATGGTTTGGTTCTCTGTTGAAAAAATAAAACTTTGGAGGTAACTAGTCAAAGTGAAATGCAGTCAAGTTAAATCCTTTTATATCTTCTCCTCAATAAAGAGCATCTTTCCTCCTACCCTCTCCTACCTTGGACAATCAATTCAAGCCAAAAAATAAACTAAAAGAAGATACTTATTTTGGAAAATTAAGCCCTTCAATTGTTATTATCTGATTATTTTTATAACTCCAATTTACGCACATTACTTAACGCGATGTTACCCTCATGTCACCTTCATACTTTTGCACCAATCCTGGTCAGATCCCTATGAGTAACCTAATTTGTATTTTTTTATTGTAGTTTAAACGGCTTTCTTTTTTTTATGTACTTAATCCTTCTATTTGTTGACACAGTGCATGCTATTTTCTGATTTTTTTTATCGATGTTGTTTTCCTTTGGTATTTTTTCCTGGTTAAAAGATTTCCATGTATGATATCGGTTCCTCTGCATTATAAGTAGTTATACTATAGCTATGAATAACTGATTTTTAATTATTTTAAAGAGACCTGTTATTTTTTAGTGTCCTAAATCTCTGCTGCAAACAGTATACAAGAAATCCATTGCAATTTTGCGTGTGTGCAACCTTTGTAGGAGATTGTAAAGATCTTAATACCATAACCAAAAAATTCTAATTTGATAAATCATTTTTTACTTTAACACTCATTATCAGACGAAACAAGTGATGAGTCCAATGAGAAATTAGCTTTTTAAAATTTCAAAACCTATCACTAATTTACCTTCTCAGCTGTACTCGTGCTTTTTTTTCAAGCTGTATTCAAGCTGTGTTTTCCTATTCTTGCGGTATGGAAATGTATTCAAAATACATATCTTAACGAGAAATTTTACTGCAGAGAGACCCCATGAAACTTGCAGGCTGTGTTAAATTTCCCCGTTTTTTTGGCTAATTAAAAAATTCAGCTTACTCGGTAGCTCTTAAGTTTTATTCAAAATTTATCATCTTTTAGGTACCTGAATTATAGAGCCTGAGGTATATAGGTCACTTTATTCATTTGAGTTTGCCGTGTAGTCTTTGTACTTGAAGACAACTTACATTCATTCCAGCGAAGTTTTTCCATTTCTGTTTCTTACTTTCAAGTCAAATATTTTTCATTTGTTTAATTTTTCCAATATTGCATACTTTCTCTTCTCTGATCTTTTTCCTCCAGAAATTCTGTTTTTTAATGCATCTAGGCTTTAGGTGTAGGTATTTTGTACCTACTATATTTTAAATAATTCGAGACTGACTAATCGTCCTTGATTACTTTTAGTTTTTCTTTTTGATTTACATACAGCGTTACAGTTTTATAGTTTATTTGAATCTTCCTCTTTTGGGAACGTAAAGTTACCTAGGGGTTTTAACCCTTTTATTACCACAAAAGCAGCATCTACGTTGAGCAAAACTGTATCCTTCCCACAACGATTCTACCATTACTCAGCAACCGCTTCTCAAAAGGTACTCGAAAGTTATTCACATTTATGGCTCCATCTTTTGAGGAGAATCTAAATTACAACTGTAGACTTTTCCTGACAGTGCGCTCCAATATGTTTTGTGACAACCAATTTCTGTTGTGGAGTATGCGGACATAGAATTTAAGCTGGTAATGAAAGGGTTAATAGTGCATCTTTTCTTTTTTTACCCCTCAGAATTTTTTTTTTCATTTCCAGTGTTGGTTTTTTGTTAATCTTGTTTCATCTCGGCATTTTCTGCATGTTCCTACTCATTCATATTGCTCTCTTCTGAGAAGCTATGGGCTTGCCCTTGGCAGAACTCATGAAATAACTGAAATATTAATTTTTCTGGTCAAAATTTGTTCTAAATTGATGTCTTACTTCTTCATTGTTCTGTTAGTGTTTGACTTGGATCTTATTAATTCGTTTCTACAGTTTTATGATCTCTAATTATTGATTCAACAACTTGCTTGCATCTCTCTCATAATAGTTTCACTAAAACTTACTTTTACAAAGTGTGTTTAGTTAGCTGTAAGTGTTCTCTTCTGATTTTAAACATCTGAAAATTGAATTTTAAATAACGAAATTTAAAACAGATCACTTTTTGCCTACGTCAGTAGCAATATCTCCAACATCCCTTCAGCTTGCAAGTGGAGAATTCTTAGTTTTTTCATGTTTCACTGAAAAATCCTCTATTTCAAAAGATCTTAAGCAATTATTCTTTTTACTCTTCAACATTTTTTCAGATAAAAAATTCCGTTCGCATTTAACCATTTTATCACGTTTTAGGCTCTTTATTAGCTTAAATTGAGGCGGTGGGTGCTTTATGAGCATTTCTTGGTTGCCATGTTTCAGAATATTTGCTAGTATTTCATTCATCATCAGAAAGTGAATGCATGGATTTCGTTGTTTTTACTGAATATTCTCCATGATATCTTAATATTCTGTGGAATAAATTCAAAATGAGTGTCAAAGATTCTGAAAATTTGCAACCAAGAAGTGCTCCTCTTTCACCCAGGGCCGCAGTTACTTTCAGAATGCACAGTAAAAGGAAAAAAAGTAATAATTTTATCTCTGACAAGGATCTCCATTGATAACCTAATTTCTTGATTTGAAAAAGTACTCATGCATATAAATAAGAATTTAGCGATTCATCCGTATTAATCGTGAATTTATTTCTAACTGAATCATTTTCTTTCCCAGGAACAAGATAAGTTGATTGCAAGCCAAAAAACCAAAGAAGCCGAGCAAGAGAGACAATGGAAGCAGCTCCAAGCTCTTCGACAACAACAGCAGTCATCTCAAGATCAGCGAAACCAAGGTAATTTCTTTTTTTTTTTTTTTTTTTTTTTTTTAATGAATATGTGAACAATTACTCCATCCTCTTCAGGAAAAATTGCATTTTTCAAAACAACAGCCAGGTTGTCTACAAGTCCGGAATTTCTGGAAAGTCCGGAAATAGTACTGATTTTTTAGGACGGTCCGAAAGTACTGAGAAGGTGCGGAAATGCCGCAAAAAGGTCCAGACTTTTTTTAAATTTTTTGCCATTTTTGTTGCAATTTCAAATTTTTGAAATTTTTCTAATTTCGTCAAATGGAGGTACGGAAAAAGTACGGAATTTTTCAGTTGGAGAAGGTACTGCATTTCTCGAGACTATACTGTAAAAGTACTTATTTTTGACCAGCCTGTTTTAGTAGACGTCCTGATAGCAGACACGGTTTTTTGCAGTTTGAAACCTGAAAATCCAGGGACTTTATGGCAACCTGGGGGGGTTAGGAATTTTTTAGAAAAGTCAGGGAATGTTGCTAGTAATGCGTCGGTTAAAGAAACTTCAGCGATTTGAGAGAGTCCGAACAACTTCTGATTGCCCTTTGCCTCAATTGTAATTTCTAGAAGTGGAAATTTTTTCCATAGTTTAACAAAGTTAGCATAGTTAAATGGAAAAAATTGAAGTGGAAGCATTGACTAAAGATTAGGAAATATCATGGAAATCTAGAATTCTGAACTCGGGTATTTGGAAAATGAAGAAATTAGATCGGGAGAAGATGGAAGATGTGATGGTACATCAGTCCAGTGTTGACGGTTGAATTCTCGCATCTATTCTCAATTTTTGTATCCCCCGCCCCCTCCTCTAGAAATTGTATAATATTTCTTTTTTTTTCTTTTTTCAACTTTTAGGATTACAAAGGGTTGTTCATCGACCCCTTGGAATTGATGCCAGTAGTAACCTAATTCAGTTCCAGCAACCACCACAACCTAGTCCAGATGCAATGGTCTCACCGCAGCTAACCTCTCAACTTCAAGTGGCTACCAATCAGGTAACAATTTAACTCTTGAATCGCAGTTACATACCAGCCCTTGATAACACATTTTTTCTGATTGATGAGTATACTCTCCACGGGTAATTTTTGTTCATCGTCCTCTTTTTTCTAAATACATTTAAGTTAGCTACCCCTCCTCTCCCCTCCGGATTAATCCATTGCAACAGTCTTAATTATTTTTAATATCCTCTTACTTCATTTGTAAAACAACAATTTAGCTCCCAGTGTTTCTAATTTTAGGAGCATTACTAATCAACACTAAAATGAAAAGCATGGCCAACAGGACACATTTTTAGATGATTATTTTTCCCTTCTTGTATTAATAGCTGGTTTCATTGGAACAAAACATTTTTGTTACCTTATTTTTTGTACAATTTTGAATGTTCAACAATTTGCAAATTAATCAATCCACATCAACTCTTTCATTGCCACAAACACGCAAACATGTTTGAAAAATAGTTAGTTAGTTAATTTATTGAAAGATATTCAGCGTCATAGGCTATTAACGTCTTGAAGATCGCGACTGATAGGAGATCCCTGAGGGCAGAACAGCACCTGCTTTCATCACATTAAACAAGTATACGTCTTTAACGACATTGCTTCATATCACATAGCCATGCATCATCTCCAGTATGAAACATGTATGCTTTATCTGACAGCTAAAATATGGAGGGTATAATTTTGGATGTCCATATGCGCTGCTCGGTCAACTTTAATAGTTTTTTTGTCAATGAATAAGATTCAATTCTCCAAATATGATTCTGAGACCAGGACTATCGACCTATCCTCAAACCTTTGTAAGACTCTTTTCATGCTAACTTCATATTAATTTCCTTTAAAGGACGCTGGTCATCATCCATCGCTCACCTCTCCCAACATGATGCAGCAGCAACGTTCTCCCTATGCACCACCGCAATCTCCACAAATGACAAAGCGTGTTGTCAGCCCTCAGCAATCACCATCTGCGTTTCAAGGAACGTTTCCACGTCCTCCAGCTGTTTCTGCGTCTCAAGATGATATTTTCAGCCCACCTGCAGCTCCAGTCCGCGCTCCCTCTTCGGAGATGTTCAATCAGAACCCTGTAGTGTCTCTTCCCTCCGGACAGTTCAAGCAGCCGTTTCAAAATACAGTGTTCAGTACAGCGTCAGCACCACTTCAGCATACTAATGGTCAGAATGTCAACCAACAGCTCCATGACCTTCTGCAGCGACAACAGCAATTCAAGAAGATTGATTCTTCTTCGAACATCATCGACTCAAACATTATGCAACAAAGCGTTTGGGGGCAAGGTGAGTTGATCTTTGATTTCTTAGAACAATTTGATTCAGTTGTTTGAGAATAGTCACTGCCGTTTCCATCTTCTCTATCTTGAGTGTAACGCTCACTCACCACTCTCATTTTATTGTGGTGAGAAGGGAGTGGTTGAGTTTCTACCTGAGGATACTAAAAGAAGAAGTCCGTCAATGGAAGGTTTGTATCGCTGAGAGCTTTCCTCTTAAGTTTAGCAATTTATTCTTTGATTTCTGAAGGAACTGCTCAGTTCTATTCTTCTTAAGATTTTCATTAGAAAAATGTAATATCAGTCTCCAGCATGATTTTGAAACTTTTTCTATGGTGTGTGCAGGATTCCGACAATTTCAAAATAGTCAGAAAAACCAGCAAGAAATACTTATTTTCTACGTTGAAAATTCATAAGTTTTGTGGACATTTTTTAAAATCTTGTCGACCCAGAGCTTACAGAACAAATTTTTGAAAAACTGAAGCTGAAAATGTGTTGAAATGGCACCTAAAAGTCCTCGGTTTTTTTCAAAGAGCAGGCACTTATTTAATTTATATAACAAGTTGGCAAAAGGATTGATCAAAACTGAAGCATGTTTGTAGCCATCCTGAGTGTAATCTTTCATTTGGGTGGTATTACGTTATTACAGTATATCAGCTAAGGATGAATGTTTTTTTTTTCCCCCCAGACAATCAAGGTCAACAACAAGTGCAACAAACTCAACAACAGCCGCAACATCAACAGCAGCAACCACAACAACAAAACATCATCTCCGGTATAGAAGCACAAAAATCCCAACTAGAACAGATCACTGTTTCTGGTGTGAACACCATGTACTCACAGCCTTTCCGACAACCTTTACCTCCGGGCACTGTTATCAATCGACCTGTTATGCAGCAGCAGCGGTTATTGACACCGCAGCAGCAGCAGTTACTCATGCAAAGATCTCCGCTCTTGCAGCAGCAGCGAATACTGGATCCACGTCTCCAGCGAACCATAGGATTCCCTGCGCAGCAACAGCAGACCATAAACATCAATCAGCTGGCTAATGCCGCGAGGCTAAATAATCCGCAAAACGTTCTTCGCGCTCCTGTTGATTCTTATCCGGTCACTCAGTTGAATCAGCATCAACAAGCTGTGCAATTTAATGGTAAGTTAAAGTATTTTAACGAATTAAAGTATTTTTTTCTCATTTAATGGTAAGTTAAATGGTCCTGTTTAAATTAATCAAACGAAGCCATTGTAGGCATTTGTAAGTAATTTACCCGCTTAGATAAGATGCAAACTGTTTTGAGAATTTATTTCAAGGGGTTTTTAGACAGTATGTCGATAACATGCGTTAAAAATTCAGCATGAAGCTGAAAGTCTCAATACTGACGGAAAAAGCTCGTATGAGCACAGTTTTCCCTCAAAGAGATAAGCTGTTTGGTGCAACACTAGTTTTTTTTTCACACCTTCTTCGTTCTTTTTCACACTTCAACACTTTTTCCCTGTGTATTGAGGTTTTCAGCTTTATGCTGAATTTTTAACGCACGTTGGCAACAAACTCCAACATAGTGTCTTATGACCCTTGCATCCACTGCAACCAGTTTGAAGACCTTTAGAGCTGACTTGAATAGGTTTTCTTTTTTTGTGAAATGAAAGAGTACAATTAGCAACTAACATTGCTTTCGAAATTAATGAATCCAACAACATACTTGTCATCCCATCAAGCCGGCATCTGACTTGTCATATTTTTCATTGTCATTCTTACTGTAGTCACTCTCCCGATTCTCATCCTCATGTGGGTCACTCATTACAGACTGGCTTTCCCTTCCCCTTTCCAAAAAGTCGCTCCATCATCAGTTCGTGAAGTGAGCAAACATTTGTTGTGGTCAGGAAAATATTGTGGGCATCATCAAACAATACTCCCAACTTTTCATGCTTTGAATCGATTTCCAAGTAAGATTTTGAAGAAAACACAAAGATATTTCATTCCAGTTCAGTCCTTTTCCGGGTGGTCCATTTCAATTTAGTTCCTGACCGATGGAGTCTCCTGTCAGGATTGTTTATTGAAGTAGTCATCATTAATTGCGATAAAAATTGTTTAAAATTCAAAAAGTAAAGATTTTTTTCAGTTCAGTTTTTTAAAAAAAAAAATTCCTCTATTTTCAGACCCCAACAATCCTAACCTTATGATCCGCAAACCCGGAGAAAATGCAGGCGACAGGAATTTAGTGTCTCAGAGCGGACCTAACAATCAAATCCTCAGCCATCCGTCTAGTAATCGTAAGTATTATTCAGAAATAAAAATTTTAATGTCTAGTCAGCTGCTAATTAAGAAAACAGTTCTTTTAGTTTTCGGTATCTTCTGTTTGAGTGTAGGCGGCTCCTAATGAATGGTAGATTTCCCTCATAGGGCCCTTAAAATCACTGTGGCAAAAATTATCACTTATCATTATAGTTCATCTTCTACCCACTAAGTTGAAACAAGTTTGACCAGCGTTTAATAGTGACTAATATAGCATGAAAACAGTTTTTTTTGTAGAAAGAATGTGACTGTAAATATTTTAAACTTTAGTGGTAATTTGTGTTTGCATTTAGTGAGCCCATAGTGCAATCCGTTTAAGTACCAAACTGCATTTTTTTCCGTAGAATCCCATGAAACAAGTGAAATTCCGGACAGCGTGACTGCAGAACTGGAAAAGGAGCGGGAAGAAGGTGTTGGACAAAGTAGTACCGTGACAGGTATGACAGAAGCAGAGGCAGTCAGTGCAATCTTAAATGATCTCGTAGAGGATGATGACGAGCTCCTTGCGGAGATGGGCGGAGATGACTTCAACATCCTGGAATATGCGGATCCTGAGCTTGACAGTTTAACTGGGTGTGAGAAAGCAAACATCTTAGATGAAATTGAAGCTGATGAACAACATAAAACAGATAAAAGGAACTCAGCAAGGTAATTTTCTACTTTTTCATGTCTATTATTTCCCAGTATGCCAATTAAACATTTTTTCCACAATATCAAGGAATTTTTGCAAACATGGTCAGCACTTTGTTTTGGCAACACCAGAAAAAACCAGTTAGGACAATTTTAGCATCCAGAGTCATGGATTTCATTGGTGAAATCAGGAAAATGTGGAATTTCACCGAACTTTTGACCTTGAGTGACACTTGAAAATTTCAGGAAAAAGAAAAAAACTGTTGAGAATGAACTTACTAAATAACTTTTCACAACTGAAACTCTTTAAAAAATTGTGTTAAAAGTACAGGAATCACAGTCTGACTCGGAGAAAAGTACAGGGTTTTTTTTTTTGTTTTGTTTTTTCCATAGACTTAATGCTAATAGTATTCTTTTTAATTGATGATGCAAGTAGGTGTTCTTACCTCCTTATAAGTGTCAACATAATAACTAGCCATCCGCCATTAGAGTAATTCCACTTTTTTACAAGAGTTCTCCCCTTTCTTGTGCTAAATCTGTTTTCACTATTTTTAGGGATCCAATGGAGTCGGACAAAGAAATGGGACAGATCGATGCTCTGAAACCAAATTCATCGGAAATGGTGAACGACCCCTCAGCCCTCGGAAATCAGGATGACAAACCTTTGGCCACGGTTGGCAGCGACAATTCCAATTCATTTCCTAGTCAGTCGCAGCAATCACCGATGGACCCATCTAGTCAGCAACAACAGCCACAGCAGCAGCCGCAACAGCAACAGCAGCAACCAAGTTTACTCCAGCAACCGCAACTTGTGGGTCAGCAGCAACAGTTGCCCCAGACCCACCAGCAGGTGCCACAAAATCAGCAGAATGCCCCATCGCTGTTGCCGATTGTCAAAGCCTCTGGAAATGTGTCTGTAAGTTATCCTGGTGTCTTCCCGACCTCAAACATGAACCAGCAGTCAGCTGGGCCCAGGCTTCAGCAAATATCTGCATGTAAGTATCTTATATTCTTTTAAAACATTTTCTTTTTCTTTGTTCACTGTTATAAAAATCGCAAGTCTCATGGGTAGCGAAAGTGTAGAATTTTGAATCCTGAGAAAATCTGGAAGCCCTAGAAAACCAGGAAGATTTAGCAATTCTTTTAAGTCATAAGTAAATTTTAATACAAAAAGGAGAAATAATGATTTTTAACGGTAGCAAACTGGGAGCTCATTGATGGCTCCCTCTGAATACATAGCGTTCATCCCTGAGGAGTAAAAGCTTTGCTGCAGAAGTAGTCTTTCAACAGCTACTTTCCAATTGCCATCAGTAATACCTCTGACAAAATAATAGTCATGAGTGATTAAGAAAAGAAAGTGATGTTGCACTCACTACACCAATTCTTATTCTAGCCGTTTAATTCTCATATTTGGTTCACTACCAGTGGCCTCCGCACAGCTGTGCGTAATTCGAAGATAACTCAGGTGTCACACATGCTAGGTTCCTCAAATGCATGGTATTTTTCATGCATGGTTTTTCTTGTAAGTTGGAAATTCAAATTTTTCATAACCAATGCTTAATAAAAACGTTGATCTCCCGGCTAGGAGTTGATTTCAGTAACTTTCGATGCACAAATCGAGTTATGTGTGACATTTTGAATAAGAAACATGTCTCGATGTTTAAATTCTTATCTTGTCTGGTAGTTCATTTCAACCTAATACACAGGCTTAGAAGTGTTACTTCTTTGTCAGCTTTCTCATAGTTATTTTTACAGAACAATAATCAGTGAAATTTGCTTTCGGTTTTAGTGACAGCTGCACAGCAGCAACAAAGGCACCTAGCAATACAGCGGTTACAACAAAGTGGTAGAGCTGTGACAGCAAATGGACAAATAGTTACCAGCAACGGTCAAATACTGACTGCCGCTGGAGGACAGCTAGTGGCTGCTCGGCAGTTAGCTCCTCCTCCGTCACTTCCGCCCCCTCCGTATCCAGGACCTCCGCCTCCGTACCCGGGTGCAATTCAACCTCAGCAACCGCAGCTCCCGCAACAGATTCCAGGGGTAAGTTATTCTAGGATTATTTTAATTATTATGTTAGATCTTCTTAATCCTACAATAATAGGGTGACAGGTTGTTGAAGTGTCTTTGAAAACTTGAAATAGTCCAATAATTTTGCTGCAGAACCTTCAAACTCCTTCTTCTATACAAAAAAAAAATATGATATTTTCTACTGCCCTTGCACACTCTTTCAATAAAAATTAGAACTTTTGCCTGTAAGTTCTTGAATTTTGAATTTTTTCAAATTCAAGAGACTTGATGCTGAAATTTGTTTGTGAAAAGCATTTTCATGAGAAATTATGACTGAAAAAAGAAACATTGAAAAGTCACAAAAAAGTCAAGGAATTTCGAAATCCAAGGAAACGTGTCACTGGGTAAAGAACGCAAAGTGTTCTGCAGGTACTTAAGTATCATTAAATTTTTGCTAGCATCTTGAGGATTTGAACTTACTTAAAATCTGAAGAATTGGATAAAAATGTATTGTTCTCTCTTCTAATGGATAGAGTATTTCTTTTTGACAACAGATGAAACATTCCGTTTTTAATAGTTTTTGTTTTTTTGTTGCGAAATAGGTGAGAACTGTAGCACCTCAAAACATGATGCAACCACCCCAAAGAAGGCCTCTGTTGCTACAGGTAAGAAGTACTCAGGTAAGGACAAGCTGTAGGCAACCATTTTATTTTTTCTTTTCTTTTCTTTTATCGCACAAAAAATTACGAAAGTTTGCATTTATTCTATCATCGAGTGTACTTTGGCATGTCAGGCATGGAAATAAATCAGAGGAAAAAATGAAATTTTGTAGTTCTGAAAACATGAAACAAAGAAATTTTAGAAAAAGTAAGAAACGTGTCCCTAAAATTCAAGAGTTCACTATAATAACAGTGTCACCCATCCAAGCCTGAGAATTTACAGAGAACCTTTGATCATCAAGCTGCTTGGCCACGTCTTTTAATTCTAGATCTGCATCAGTTAGTCAGTCATAGTTTACAGCAGAACCGTTCAATTTGATCAAACTATTTGTCAGTCAGTTTATTAGTAGTTAAATCAAATATTGAATTTCCAACAATCCTCACTTTAATAGACTCACGGATGGATCGTAAATTGATGGTTGTCCTGCTTGTACAACCTAGGTCTTAAGAAAGTGATCTTATCCACCAAAAAGTATCAACCCTTGGTTCCTTGGTATTTCTATAACTTCAACTCTCCAAAATCAGATAGGGAACTAAAATAAATCCCACGCTCTCAAAAATTATAAATTGACATGTTCTGTCAACAAGTTGTCAGATTTTTTGATGATCCAGTCATAATATTATACCTGTCTCCAACCTTTAACTTAAATCTTTTTATCTATCTTGAAACAACAGAATCAGATTTGTCATTTTTATTGATTTAAGACGTATGCCTGTCATTTACTGTTTGAGTTCTGCCCTTTACACAATTGTCATATTTTTGAAGCATGGTGGTCTGATAACACTTATTTTTCATTATGTCCTAATAGGAGCAGCCCTTGCTTCTGGAGGAACTACTAGAACAAGAAAAGCGGGAACAAGAGAAACAGCAAGGAAACCCTAACGCTGTTGCAGCTGTCTCCGTTGCCTCTTCCTCGTCTCCTTTGTTGAGCGATGCAGATTTCGAACGATTGCGGGCTGATGTCCTCAGTTCGGTTGCCAACACAGTGTCATCTTCACCCCCTCGTGTTATGAATGGTAAGTCACGTCTCATATCACTAGCGTTGAATTCATGAGTTTAAAAATTAGCAATTTCGGTTTAGAAACGAACATTTTAGTAGAAGTGTTGTCTTATTCACTGACATACAAGATACTTCATCAGTGGCTCTGAAAATTAGAACTGTCCTACTTCTTTAATCTAAATTAATTATCAAGGAACCGACATTATTCTCTTAATTATCTGTATTATGTGGTCCCACCTGATTTGTTGCCAAATATTCGCCAATAATTTGGAACACAGAATAAGATTCATTGTTCATTTTGTTACCCTATATTATTGTCTATTGCGGGTCAGTTCTAACATTTGAAATTTACTTTGCAGCTCAAGGAATGTTACCTACACCTAGCCTAACTCCGGCGCCTGTTGGTGCCAATATGCAAGGAGCTATGCAAACAAACCTTCAAGGTAACATCCAAGGGAATTTACAAGGAAGTATACAAGGGAATCTGCAAGGAAGTATGCAAGGAAATCTGCAAGGGAATATCCAAACTAATATTCAAACGGGTGGAAATCTTAGACCACCCTTTCCGAGGCCCCAGTGGCCGGCTCAGCAAACTCCTCAGCAACCTCATCTCATTCGTCAACCTCAACCTTCCGTGCCTTCTGAACCTCGTAAGATTTGAATATTTTCAGCCTTTCATCCCATCTTGTGTTGACTATTTATAATAATCAAAGAATATTAATATGAGAAGCTGGTTTAGTCATTCCTTTTGTTTTTCTTTCTTTCGTCTTATTTTAATCAAAGGAAGTTTTCACATTCAGGAAAAATTCATGCGTGATGTAAAATCTCATATGAGAAACAACTTCATAAGGTGAAAAGCACCAAGCAGCCGTATGAGGCGAAAGTCAGCCTTGTGACAAAATTTGAGTATGGGCTTGTTGTAAAGTTGAGCTAAAGCAAAAAAAAGCCTTATATCTTATAAAAAATTGCTCCAAAGTTACGATGAGCGTATCTGAAAAGTCTAAAAAACATTCCTAATTTCACAATCTGGGCAAGAATTATGCATTTTTTAAATGTCCCGCTCAAAAACCACACTACAGCACAGGTAAACATCTCATAGAACGAGTCGTTCCATTTAATCCTTGCGCACTGAAATGTTCTGCTATATTAAACATGGCTGATGCCAACCCGCTAGAACATACATGACGAGACAGGATTTTATCAGTGTTTTTATTTACTTTTTCCTTGCCTTGACAAAGACCATTGTGCTTCCTGACGATTTGCGCCCAGAGGTGTCAGCCATGTTGAATATTGTGTAGCATCCTAGTGTGATAGGGTTGGATGGAAGGACTCATCTTATGAATTTCACTGTTCACCTGTGTTATGGTATCGTTTTTTGAAGCAGGAAACTCAAAAAAAAAACATTTTTCTCATGTAGATTGTGAAGTAGGAGTGTATTTTAGACTTTCCCAATGTGCTCATCTTGATTTTTAAGTCATTTTCTACTAGTGATACCTCTTCGTTTTGCTCTAACTTAAGTTACCAACAGTCCCACTATTTATGAAATGGTCTTAATAATTTTCTTCAAATTTTTATTTCATTTTATAATGTTCAATTTTTTATTTCTGTTTTCGACCAGCTCGAGTGCCTTCATTCAATGCACCTGTTTTGACTGCACCACCTGTTCCCCCTGATGTAATTGTCACTGACCAAGATAGACAAGCACAAATTCTGTACGAACGGTGGCTGAATGAGCAAAATAATATTTACACTCAGCAACAGAAGTATTATGATACTGAAGTGCAGAAACTCCGCAAGAAGAAGAAGGTAAGTGGGATCTCCATTTGAATTTCCTTCTGAAATTGAACTCAAAGTCAATGAAATCATTCAAAATGTAAACGCATTCTGTTCCTCCAAAATCTTGGAATACGGACAAATTCAAACGGCTGCGGTTACAAAATTTTTCTTTCAGAATACAATGTTAAAAAATCTACCACTCCATAATGAAACAGTTAACAGCCCCTCTTAAGCCCTAAGTTTGACCTATGGTGACCTATGGTGTGCACTGTATTCGACCTTAGTAAAATATCAAATATTTATAACCAAGATTTGCTATTTTTGGTGATCTGCGGCAAACTTTCTGATTGTTCTCTCATTTTCAAGGAAAATGTATCACTCTCTTATTCGCTTTTTTCAGTCTCTAAGCAGTAAGCAGCGGCAATGTCAGAAAACTGGCAATACCCTGTCAGAGCATGATGCTCATGAGTTAGAACGAGTCACCCTTGAACAGCAAGGTCTCCAGAAGCTTCTAGAACAAAGCCGCAAACAAACCAAAACACACACTGCTCTTATCAATGTAAGAATTTTATTCTTTTTAGTTGTTCGATTGTCATGTGAGTCCTAGCAGCCATCCAATGGGCTCAGAAACCTCTTGGGCCAAAGGAGGTTGCTTTCTTTGAGCTCAAAATGTCCCTCACAGATAAAAAACTCCTTGTCAGCTGAATTTTGGCAATATAATTCATCTGCGTCATTAGTAAATTAAGTGACAGGACAGTTAAAGATAAGGCGGAAGGTCTTTTAAAAGTGGACCTCTGAATGAAGCTAATCAAAAGACTGCTAGAATGGGATCTATGGTGAAAAGTGCGAGGGAATGGTCATTAAATATCAAATGATTTTGAAATTGGAAAAGCTTCTGTATCAACTAAAAATGCTCAATAAAGTTTGTCCTAACAATGCTTTTACAACACCAACTTATGATGCTAATTTCTCCAGACAAACTCTCATATCACACCATCGGGTTCCTTCAATGCTCATGTATACCCTATAGGAGCTTATAGGATCATTATTATATATTACTTCATCAGCTCATAGGAACCAACATATTGTTCTGTGCAGAAACTTATGGATAAAGTATGTTTTGACCCTAGTTTTTAGAGAATTTTCAATTTCTCACAAAGTTCATGATTTTTTCGTAAGTATTCCATCCAAGGCAGAAAGGATCATGTATTAGGATACATTTTGTACTCAAAGCTTTAAATGTAACGTTAAATCAATGAGTTGTCAAAATTTCCGGGAACAGTTTTCATTTTACTGGAAAAACCTATGACTGTCGAATTTCGGCTTAGTGTTAATCAGAATGAAAGAATTTTACAAAACATTATCATGCCTTTTCAGGGTTCAGCTGTAACACATTACCTGCTGTGCTGGTTGTATCAACTGGCATTGAAGGGTTCAGCAGGCGTCATACTAGTAATTCTGATCGGAACGTTGTCGCTCGCGTTGAGCGCTCCGCTGAAGTCAGCGGTCCATGGAGTTATGTATATGTTCATAGCTTATGACTGGCATGACTCCAGTGGGAAAATGCACCACTAAACTTAAGTTTCGTGTTTGGGGGGTTGAGAAGTTGTGGTATCAGAATAAATACATATCAAAAACATCATGACAGGCAGTGTGTTAGCCAATTTTTATTTAGATCAAAAGTTGTCTTGATTTTCTTCTAATTCTAAATCACTCGATTTTGAGCAGGAATACAACAAAAAACAAAGGCCCCCAGTAAACAGTGGATCTCCGCAGTCACCGTCGGTCATGATGTCCCCTGGTGGCACCAGCTTACCTCAAAGCTCCCCAATGCAGCAGAGCCCTCGCATTGATACTCCGCTCTCTCAGGTGAGCGAGGACTTACCATTCAGTCCTGTTGGAACGCCAATCCAAAGTCCGTCCTCACAACAGCAGCAACAGCAGCAGCAACAAATGAGAGTTGTGCAAGCAGGCATTCGCTCAAATCTTGTTCCTAATAGCACTATCACCCAAGATCAATTGATGAGGTAAGGAATATCATAAGGCACTCCCTGTTGTTATTTATTTAGATATATCTAAGGTTTCAGCTTCAAAAATTTGGCAAAAGTTAAGATTTAGTAAGGAAAGAAAGTGAAACAAATTATTGGAAAGTATCAAGGAAGGTTGAGAAAGCATGGATTTTTCTACCAAGACCTTACATAGAACAAGCAAAAGCGTTTAAGTGCAAGCCTTTAATATAAAATATAACTGAAAAAAGTCAAATTAATTGTGTGACTAATATAACAAATTTTATCACTATCAAAATTAAAGTTCAGCTAATCGATTGTATTTTTTGTGCCTATCTCCGTTTGATTAATTTGACAGGAAAACATTTTTCTTGTCCAAGTTCTCATATTGTCTTCGTGTTGAAGATTTTAAACATTTTGTTTTGCATTTCAGGCATCCAGGACTAACAGCAAGGTTTATTCGTGCACCAGGGGCAGATTTACGTCCTAGGGCGAATATCATGCCTCCTTTGCAAGGGCCTGATGGTGTGACTACCCCAGGAGTGTATCAGACATCAAAGCCAACAACTGTTGCTGGCACTGGGACTTTCATAACTGCACAGGGAATCAGAACTCAGCTTAATCCTCAGCAACAGCAAGTTCTGCTTCAACGGCAGTTGTTGCAAAGACAACAGCAGCAGCAGCAACAGCAGCAGCAACAACAACAGCAACAACAACAGCAGCAGCAACAACAGCAACAACAACAGCAGCAACAACAACAACAGCAGTCACTGCAGCCAGATAACCAGTCAAATGTCCAACAATCACAAGATGGACAAGTAGTTCAGCAACAGATTCAACAGTTGCAGCAACCACAGCAGCCAACGCAGCAGCAGTTGCTGCAACAGCAACATCAAAGACAGCTTCAAGTTTTACATCAGCGTAAAGCTTTAGCTCAACAACAAGAACTGCTGAAGCAGCAGTTAGCGGATCCAAACATGGCACCACAACAAAGACAGCAGCTGCAGCGTCAACAGCAAGCTTTGTCTTTACAGCAGCAGGAACTGCAGCAGCAGCTAACAATATTGCAGACTCAGCAAGTATTGCTCTTAACGCCTGAGCAAAGAAGAGTACTTGCGCAGAAACTGCCTCTTTACCAACAAAAACAAGCTCAGTTCCAGCAGCTCTTACAATCATTGCAACAAGAACTTCAGCAATTGCAACAACAGCAACAAGCAGGAGGGGGAGAAGCCGTTGACACCAGGATTCAAACAATCAGATCTCAGCAGCTGCAAATTGTACAGCAGCAACAGCAGCTGCAACAGCATATACGATTAGTTCAAAATCAATTGGCTCTCGTTGCTCAGCAACAGAACAAAACAGTCGTTACAGCTGCTGGAGGACAGTTTCGCCAACTCATTCAGCAACCTCCCGGTCAACAACAGCCTCAGCAACAGACATTTGTTCAACAGCAGCAGCAATTTGTTGTTACACAGCAGCAGCAGCAGCCATCACCAATGTCCTCTCAGCCTTCACCAAGTCCGATCCAACAACAGTTGGGGAGGCAAACGCCTACATCACCCATGCCTCCTCAAAGTCCGATGATGCAACTGCATCAGGGTCAACAAACTCCCAATTCTCCTATTACCAACAACCAATTCAGTGGCTCACCATTACAGCAACAACAACCTCAGCAAACCTCTCCGATGTTACCTCAGAGTCCCATGCCTTCAGCAACGAATGTTCAACAATTCAATCAGCCATCATCAAATTCACCTTTACATCATCCTGCAAGTCCAATGACCTCATTTGCGCAGCCTCCGAAATCGCCGATGCCCCCTCACAGTCCGCGGGTTCAGCAATTCGCACAACCCAGCTCACCAATGACTCCACAGAGCCCCATGATTCAACAATCGCAGCAAATGAATCCTTCGCCAGGCCCAATGATGCAGCAGTCTCAACAAATGACACCGTTGAGTCCCATGATTCAGCAACAACAGCAAATGGCTCCTCAAAGTCCAATGTTACAACAACAGTCACAACAGATGACTCCCCACAGCCCCATGCTCCAGCAGTCGCAGCAGGGTCCTATGGTACAACAGAATCAGCAAATGGCTCCACAGAGCCCCATGATCCAGCAAATGACCCCGCAAAGCCCAATGGTTCAGCCTACACAAATGGCTCCTCAAAGTCCAATGGTTCAACAGTCGCCAGGTTCCATGATGCAGCAATCTCAGCAAATGAGTCAACAAGCATCTCCAATATCTCAATTTCAGCAACCTAGCTCGCCAATTACATCTCAAAGTCCTCGACACGTTCCAAACTCACCAATGATGATAGGAACTCCTCAAAGTCCACTCATACAACACAATCAGCTGCATAGTGCTCTTATACAGAGGCGCCCGTCAGGAACTCACCTTGTTTCTGGAAACAGCCCAATAAGTCAATCTGTTGATCAATCAGCAGCTCGCACTCCACCCGAAGCGGGGAACAATTCAATGGGTGGTGGAGGTGGAAACCCGCATAATCCAACGAACCCAATCCCATTCATTCAAGAAATGATGAGTCGTTATGGAAGTATTAAACTTGGACTCAGAGGCGGTGGCCCGATTTGGAACACGGGGAGGCCCAGTCCGAAACGAACCATCTCAAATAGCGTACCACCCAAAGAAAACAAAATCGTTGCTATTGCAACGACTGCTTCCACAAGTAATAATAAAATAACTGAGACAAATCCATCTGATTCTGACTCAGTGAGTGGTGTAGCTTCCCTCGTTTCACCTGACTACAATGAATTTGATGATGATTGTTCAAAAACTCCACCAACGTCAGCCGCAAAGCAGGATCAAATTAACTTGAAAGAGGAAAAAATGTCCATGTTGCGAAGCATTCAAATCGCAAGGATTGAAACAGCACACGATCGGAACGAATCTGCTGAGGAAGAAAATGCTGATGATGTCACTGTCTTTGACAACGTAACCAGGCAATTTGTACTTGTAAACAATGACAGCAGTGGCAGAAATTCCAATGAAGAAGAGGAGGTTGAAGATGAAGAGGAAGAAGAAGACGATGAAATAAAATACGAAATGCAGGATAACAATGTCATGCTGTTGGATGATTCATCGCAAAATATCGAAATTGAGCCAGGGCTCCTGGACGACTGTTTAGTTGCTGGATCAGAGCTTCTTGTTCTAGATGTAGAAGGAGAAGGTGTGGAGGGCGTTATCGATGAAAGGAATATTTTAATATTGGATGAAGAGGATATGGAAGATGAGGAAGAAGAAGAAAATATCGAAGATGAGGATGAAGAACCTGATGATATGTCTGATGATGAGCCATCTCCTCCTTTTGGTCGTAAACGTTTCAAAGGTAAAGTAATGCCACAGCAGCTGATTGATGTGAAAGACGAAGAGGAGGAAGGCAAAAATACTGAATCGGACGGAACTTCCATTGGCAAAGATATCGAAAATGTAGGCTCTTGTAAATCTGACATCGAAATGGAGGGCATAGAATGTGGATCAGTTGATGTCAAAGAAGATCTGTCACAAGCCACAGTTGAAGTTGTCGGAATAGAAAAAGTTGGTGATTCGTCCATCATAAAAATTGAAAATGTAACTGAGCCTAAGGAAGAAAAAATGGAAGTAATCGAACAGCCAAATCCTGAAGTGATAACTACCTCAGAGTCTAAAATTCAAGAACGAACCTCTGAACCACAAACTAGTTCTGAAGCTCAAGGCGATTCTGAGCTAAATAAGACCAAAGTCTCCTCTGTTTCATCTGTTATTTCCATGGCTCCAGTTGTTACCTCCGTGCCTTCAATTGCAACTATAGTTACATCTTCAACGACAAATGCTGAAGCAGTTGTTACCACTTCCACCTCTCAACTGAAACCAGTCATCCAGTCTGTCTCTGCAGCAAATTCAACATCCAGCAATATAGCTGCCATTACTGGAACAAGTTTGCCTTTAAATGAAGTAGCCAAGAAAACTAATATACTTGTCTCGAATGTGATCATTTCATCCTCTAGCCAAGGCACTCCAGCTGCGAACCAAGCCTCAACTTTAATATCTGCTCCAAGAATGTCCATTCCTCTTTCTTTCGGATCATCCGGCAGTTTAGCGACTGGAAATCGCCCTGTGACGCACTACGTTCTTGCCCATTCTAATGCTGGCCCCCAACCTAATATACTTAAATTAGATTCTATCAAAGTAGTCACCGCCTCCAGTGCAAGCAGTTTAGAGCAAATCAAGGCCTCAATACAGAACCCTTTAAAACTTCAAACTGTCTCCTCTCCTTCTATTAGTATTCCAGCAGAATCAAAATTGTCCTCTGAAACTTCAACACCTATACCTCCACGATCGTCTTCAGAAATATCCAGCAGTTCTAGCACTCCAGTGCCGGGAGCCTCCAAATTGGAATTACTACTTAACAAAACTGATACGAACAATGACTACTTAAAAATATCCAAAGAAATCAATAACAAATTATCACTAGTGAAAGCTGAGCAGCAGATGAAATCGGAAATGAAGCATCCGAGTACATTGGCACCCTCAGTTACAGCAGTAACTAGCTCAGTAGTCTCTACAGCAGCTAGTTCTGTTTCCTCCATTTCTAGTTTACTTGCTACCTCCACGGTAACTGGAACGCCAGTTGCGACTGGGAAGCAGAAACCCTCTGCAGAGGTGACATCCACTACTTCTGAAACGAAAATTAACTTAAGTACATTAAGCACGCAATCAACTGTTGCCTCATCAACAGAACTAAAATCTGTGAAAACTGAGTCAAGCTCAGCTTTGTCAGATGCCTTGAAATCGAAAATAGTCCAGTCACTAAGCACCTCTCCTGCAATCAATAGCAGTCAGGCTGAAAATGTCAGCTTAATCTCAGCTCCATCGGAACAAATCAAGAAGCTGTTAAACGAAGCACCAGCCACAACGTCGTCAGCATCTCAACTTCCAATGAAAAACATCAGCAGCTCTGAACTGTCAAGTTTGAAGATCAAAGAAAACCCCAACAGTTTATCTCCATCTCACTTCATTCCTCTGTCCTCCATCATAACATCAAAGTCATCCGAGTCCATGGTATCAGGCAGATTACTGTCAACTTCTGTCAAATCTACTCCTGTGTCTGGCGAAGAAACGCAGTCTCAAAACGTTCTCCTCAAGCAGCTTTTGCAAAACACAGCCTGTGCTACTCCGACAACTCTGTCCACAAGTTCTAATACCTCATTACCAATAACAAGTGTAATAGCTCCAACCTGTGCCCCAACTCTGCCTGTCGTGCCTAACCTAGAAGCCCAGTTGGCGTTGCCTGTGCCGCCAACACCATCAGCACTGATTCCTCCAATTTTAACCAATGAACCGAAGGAGTCCAAAGAAACTCCAGTGGTTACGTCTCAGCAGCAAACAGTTTCTCCGCCGAAGATAACTTCTTCAGCCATTACAAATGCTATAACAAAGAACATTTTCCAATTCGACTCCAATGATAACAAAGATGGGAAAGTGCCTCAAAGGAGACTATCATCAGCTTCTATTGAAGAACAGAAGCCAACTGTAACTCCACCAGCCGCATCACCTAAAACAACTCCTATGTCGCAGTCACCAGCGATGAGCCCCACTCTTGCCAAAAGCACACCCTCAACAACATCTTTCGGGAGCCCTTTTTCAACCATCACTTCCTCACCAATAGTGATCAAGCAAGAGTGTACTACATCTGCTCCAACTTGCAGCACCAGCACTCCAATTTTAGACACTAAACCACCGCTATCGACTACTTCAACAAGCTCTGGTTCATTCGATTCGCCATCTTGCATCAAGAAAGAACCCTCATCTACGCCTAACTCCTTAGCGTCTCCTGTGAATTCAAGTGGCTTAGTTGTCCCGTCACCGAAAATGAGTCCCATGACAGTCGATGTGAAAAAAGAAGCTGTATCATCAGATGAAATGATCTCACCACAACTATCCAAATCTCAAGACTCGCTGAACGATCAATCCAACAATTCCTCAGTTGCCTCCTCCACAGAATCTACCCCTGCATCTGTTTTAACCAGTGAAGGTAGGATAATTTTCTTTTCTACCATCCACGTCAGGTTAAATGTTGTAACGTACAATTTTGGTGCTCTTCCAAAAAGCTCATGTTAATCAATCATGAGGGAAATTTTATATTTACGGCAACTATCCTATTCAAAGTGCAATGTAATGGGAAGCTCCTAACAGCTCATCTTAGCAATAGCACAAAAATTTAACATTAAATTGGAAGAAGTTGTTTAACGTCCTAATAGACAAGATCAATGAAAGGTTGCGTTTCAAGAAATGCGTTTGTAAAATATGACAAAGCCAAGGAAAAGAGTATCGTTTCAGAGCTTTGATGAAACCACAACCTTGTTGAGCTAAGTTTCCAGAGTTATAAACCCCTCAAAATGCTTCTTAAAATTTTCCATTTATTTATTTTGGAAATTTGAATCAAGTTTGACAGATATGTACTGTATGCGCACCACTTGACCAAGGGAATAACAATTTTTTGTCTACACTTGAAACTAGAACAAATATACATGTTTTATTGAAAAATTGGTAGGAAAGAAAACATGGTGACCTCTTTCATTCCAGATTCCAATTTTTTTATCATTTCAAATAAAGTGTACATGCTAGTCGAGAGTTGATAACTTTGCAGATAGAAAAATTAACCATTTTTTTGGCAATTCACCCAAATCATGCTTATTTTCACTAGACTGCCCCTACCTCTAGAGAAAAATGTATGTGACGTGCTCATTGAATTTCAAAAATTCTATAGGTATTATAATAAACATTACAAGGATATTTGAAATTCAATTTCAAATCCCTTTTTAAAAATGAAGGAGTGATGAAAGAGAAACAAGATTTTATCGCCAGCTAATGCATTTTAAGCAAAAGCATCTTTTTGATCCTTTATTTGGTTTTTTCTCCTACAGAATTGAAGAAACTGAAACGGCGTCAATATCAGCAGAAAAGAAGACAAAGTCAAGGCAAAGAAGCAATTGGTGGAACACCTAAGAAAAGGCCAAGAAAAGTAAGTCGTATTGTCAAAAACTGCTTCTAAATCATTTAAATGGATGTGCTGAAGATCATTGTTCTACATTTGTGACTGTCCAAGGGGAAAAAAGACCGTAGTCGACGGAAGAAAATTTTCAATTTTTGATTTCTGTTGAGTTGTGAAGGAATATCGGATTTTGAAATTTTCTATCACCCTGAAAGTCAGATTTTTTACTTTGCTTATCATTGCCTTTCATCATATTTTATGCGCTTGATAACAATGTCATGGCAGTATTAAAATCTGCATTGAGTCAGTGACTCTGTGAAAAGTTATTTCTGGTCGAGTAACTGTGATTTGTGACCTTCACAGTCGCAAAAGACTGTTTCAAGACAAAACGTAACACGTATTGACATCGTAGATGGAGCTTAGTAGGCGGCTCATTGCAAATTTTTTTCATCTTAAATCTTCTGCACTGCTTATGGCTCTGTATGGTATCTTAACTTATAACTTTTCTCTTCCCAGAGCTCAAAGGTGGAAGAAGATTATGATTCTTTTATTGATTCTTTGATGGTGCAACTGAGGACATTACCACCCATGACTGTTTTGGAGCCAAAACTCGGCAATAATTTCACTGTGTGTCCACTTTTCGGAACTGGAGATTTGAGCAAAGTTGTCAACAGGTATTGATTTTTGTTTTATTTTGTCTTTAGCCCACTCAAAATAAAATCATCTGTCTTGAGATCAGTATTTAGAAAGCTACCATGAATCTTTGTGTAATGGGAGCTGTGCAAATTACTAAAATCGGGGTTAAATTTGTGTTTAATGAGTTGAAATTTATTGTCTCATGACAGTAAATTTAGCATGACGAACTACATATTTGAGTGCGATGTACATTAAAGGACAAATAATTTGTATGGATCAAGAGTTTTCATAATAAATAAAGTATCTTAATGTAGGCTAGTTAAATTCTGAACCGAGTCATACTTATTTCTCAGATTCTCGCAGCAGAGCTACGGCCAGGCCTTTGTCACGGATTGTGAGAAATTACGTCACAATGCAGGTACAGGAAGATCAACAAATCAAGAAGTTCTAGTGTAATCTAAGATTACATTTTATAAGGGAATGCCCCTTCCTTATTTCCTCTGCCTTATTTTATGACTCAATTAAAGTAGCAAATTAGGCTGTGGAGATATCAAAATGAAAAAATCAAAATTTGAAATATTAATGTTCTTCCTTCCTTATTTAACAGTTGGAAACCTGGTGAACTGAGAGGATTATACGGGAAGGCTTTCATCCCTGGAGTTAGTGATTATTACACCACAGAACCTTTCGGTGATGAAATGCCGTTACCGCCTCAGCCTCAACCTTCCACCCAGCGAGGCTTCTACAATGAAGAATTTGCACCACTTAAATTGGATACTGACTGTAAGCATTTTTCATTATTTTATTCACTCGGTCTCAAACCAACACATAAGTGCGTTTCACTCATATTTACATTTTGAAGAAGAAAAACTAAATTTTTGCTTAATTGCTAAGCTTATTAGAGTCCATAATTGACTAAAACTGGATGCCTTTTAATTTGTGATTATTTTTCAATATTTTCTTGTTTAAAATTGTGCCAACTTTATTTTCCTCTAAAAGAGGACTCATGAATTTTCTTCTGATGTTGTAAGTATTACATGCTTTTTTCGCTTCATAGAGGTAGTAAGAAATAATGCTGTAGAAAAAAGAAACTTTAATTTTCAAGGCACTCTGAAAATTCCCCGATATTATTTTATAAATCCCAGGAAATTTATTTTATCTTTTACATCCTGAAAAAGTCCCCTATAATATTTTATTTCACATTGAGAACTCCTTGAAGACTTCTTAATTTGGTTTTGGAAAGCAGCCATGAAACCTGTCAACACTTATCTTAGTTGCAGAGAGACGAACGGTTTTACTGCCACACATACCGAAAAATCATGTTTAATGTTGAATCAGTTTCATCAGTCAGTCAATTCAGTATAACATTTGAATGGTTTCACCTTGTTACAGATGATGAAAGGAAAGTGGACTTCCTAATACGAGAAAGAGACATTGATACTCCAGATACAATCGTAAGTTCATCCTCACCTGAGTGTATTATGCCTGACAATCCCATCAGATTCCCAGGTTTACGTTTGATCGATGAGGATGACTCCGAGGATGAAGACAAACACCTGCGAATGCTCAAGAGGATGTCACCTGTCATTCCCTACATTTCGCCTTTCGTCCTCCATCCCAAACCGCAGCGACCCACTGATGATGCGGTATGTTTACTATTCCTTTCGCAAACTTCAACAATCTCTAACTTTCAGTGGAGAAAATTAAGATCCAAAAATCCTCCATCAAATATGAAGGGAGATATTTTTGCCAGAGTTGTTTTAATATATTTTAAATTGATTCTGATTTGAATCATTCATCTTAGTACAAGAAGATTGCTAAGGAATTTTTCCATCAGGTTTCCTTTTTCTGAATGATCCAAACAGTTTTCTCCACATTAATTTCAAAGATATTAAGACAACACGTTGATATTATCTTTCTTTGATGTTTTCTTTCTATATCAAAAAAGCTCCAAGATATATACCTCAATCGAGTTGATATGTCCTCATGAATTATCCAGCAGACCCTATGCAAACTTCGCAATGCAGCCAATAATCAATCTTTTTTTTTGTTATTTTTTTTATGATGAAAAACAGGTTGTCACAGTATGGGAAAACAGGGAAATTTCAGGGAATTTTAAAAAGTCAGGGAAAATGACAAAAGTGTTAGGAAAAAATTGTTAGGTCACCCTTATTTTCTCGCTAGAATGTGTTTGATATTTTGAACAATAAATTTTGCGTGAAAATTATTTCAAATTTCTCCATTTTAGCCAGCTGACATATCTTCAGTTGTCAAGGGATTTTACCAAAATGTGTCAAGAAATACAGAGAAATGTTAGACTATTTCATCATCTAAATTCTGTGGCAACCCTGAAAAAAAGAAACAATGTTGATTCGTGGTTTAAATTTTTTCAAGCTGCCAAGTATCATTGCAAGGTTGATGTGGCGAAACACCTCCAAAAATTTGTAATATTCAATAGTGTCACGATAACGGTGTACATTCATTCGATTAACTTTTTTTTTCTAATTCCGCCCTATATTCTGCTGTATGTGTAGGACAAAGAAAATCAAGGAACACCCTCGTCAATTCTGCTGAAATCGAGACTATCACCATCTGCTGGCCCTCTGAAAGACAGCGCAAATGTAACAGTCACTTTAACATTATCAAGTTCAGCAGCAGAAGATGTGGTTGGAGTGCTGAGAAATCTAGCAAATGTTTTGCGGATACCAGCACCGACCAACTACCGCATCTCAGAGAGGACAACTACCCCACCTAGTCATCAGCTGGGTTTATACAGAACCAAAGGAAAAGATGGAAAAGAAGGAGGTATGTACATTTTGTCTCTGTAACGGCATTTGCGTCATTGTTTTGCCTGACTTGCAGGATAATCTGTGGGTCCAAACAATTTTGCCCATCTATATTTACGCCTGATCTCCTGAAAAAGCCTCTAAATTTCTCCTTTTTACCAATTTTGAAAAAGAAAAAAACAAACGAACGAAAGTAAGGTGGTATGCCTAAAATTTTATGAATAGAGTGAAAAATTTTGAAAAGGGACTGAGAAATCCCGAGTATTTTCTTCTCTCTCAAAAAAATCACAAGTGACCCAGAGATCTCTAATCCTAAAATTTCCCCCATTCCTATCGGGAACGTTATCTGTAATTCAAAATCATGCCTCATAATCAAGGAATTATCATGTTCCATGGTTCTGCAAAATCTCGATGTTTTCATTCTTCACCAAATGAAATCTCCTATAGTTAAATTTTTACTCTCAATTTTTCTGGTTTTGTGAATGAAGTATGCTTAGAAAGGAAGGAGGTTATCAGTGTTTGCTACCACATTATTTTTTCCGGTAACCTCCAGCCAGTGGTATTGATATAATGAACATTCATCAATAGATATCATGGTGAGCAATGCATAAACTTTGGTTTCAACTTTTTGTTTTAGCTCCTGTTGACATCCAGAGTATTCTAAATGGCATGGCCAAATTCTGCCGTCATTGCGATGTTGTGATATTAAATAATTTGATTCGTAAAAAAGCGTCAGAAATGCCATTTCTACCTCGAGAAGAACAGAACTTGGAGGAGTTGTACTTCTGCAGCACATCATGTTACATGCAACTTGCGTTGCTTCATCACCCACCCACTATTCAAAATGATAAGGTTAGTGTCAACAGACTCAGGTCGATTCATTTCCGTTTAATGTATCATAAAATTTCAGTTTTCTATCCTCTGGCCCCCTCCCCCCCTTTTTTGAAATATGCATGATCTAGGCTCAGAAGTGTTTTTAATTCATTGTTAAATTATAATCAGTTCATCATTTCATTACTTTTCCATTGCATTATTCTGCATCATTTGCAATTTTTTTACACGAAATGTACTTCTCAAGAAATTGAGAATCATTCCTAGTAAGAAATTATTCATAAGCAATTAAGAACTCACGCCAGACAAGTTGGTAATGAGTACTCTCCGTTTTCTAGTCACTGCGTCATGGCCGCCCAATAACAACTGAGGATTGGCTGAAGGCGTTGTTGTTGCTGAGCACAAAATCAAAAAAAAAAAAAAAAATTGCCAACATCTAAATCTTGTTCCCGCCCCGTCTTGTTATGACTTAAGATACTGTTTTTCAAAACCAAGAAGTGCTGCTTTCCACCATGCGCTAAATTGAGTGGAACCAAATCTTTCCCCCTCTGATGGAATGTAACATTTAATTCTTATTTTTCATCATGCTGCTTTGATTCTTTTTTCAACAGGCTGCGAGTAATGTTAACCATGTTGGCTCCCATGTCGTCAGTCCACCAAAGAAAATGAAACTCGACACGTCTTTGTCCGATGATAAGTCTGTGAAAGATGATGAATCGCAGTCTTCAATGGATGTGGTAAGCTTTTCTCTGTTCTGTGTCCTGTTTAATTGTAGGTTCATTCATTCCTTTTTGTAGAAACAGATCCATTTCTATTGAGTTACTTCTTAGGAATCAATTAATTTACAATCATTTTTAACTGATTGTGAGATGAGGAAAATGAGCACCTCTTTTTAAGTTATTCTATAATGTAATGTAAGACTTAACAAAAAGCAAAATAATTATACAATAGCCTATGATAGCCTAGCTCTGGAAGGAAGCAAACTGCCTAAAATATGGGTTTGACAACTGACAGTTCTACTGATGGTTTTTCCTACTTTAAAGAGTTTGTTGTTGAGTCACTATTATTGTTATCTGAAGGAAACAAGGCTGAGAGCGTCTTAAATTTATCCTGTAAGAATAAAAAAAAAAATCGTTTTTACACGTCTTACCACTTACTTCTAAGCCATCTTTTAAACAATACTCTGCTTATTCAAGCCATTTTGGTGCTTAATTCAGTATAGATGGAAATTTCGTACTCTGAACGCTCTGAAAAACTCAAAGCTCATACCTCAGTAGGTTGCTAGTGTGACTCCTGAATATAGTACCTTAGTGTTTTTTTGTTAATGCCCATTTTCAAAAATTCCTAACTCAATCATCTTTTTAATTGCTCTTTACTCATTAGCAAATTGTTTTTAAACAAAATCCACAGAGGAAGATAAAAAATCATGCAATTTTAGTAAATTGTGGTAAGGTCTGAGTAATTGAGGTATCTGTCCTGACAAACTAAATGATACAACTGATGAGAGTGCAACTATACTTGATTTTCACTTTTACCTCTTAGGATCTAAAGCAACTTGACTCGGCAGAGAAGAAGAAAGAAGAGGACAAGAAAATTGTGAAAGGTGTCAAGTACCGCATCTATACATCGAACACTCCTCCACCCTTGCCTCGCAAGTACAAAAAACCGAGTGATAAAGAAATGACGGAAATGTTGTTCCGAGCGGGTATAACTGTGATGCCTCCCAAATTACCAGATGACACCAGAACTTGCCTGTTTTGTCATCAAATCGGAGACGGCGTTGCTGATGGTCCCTCAAGGTCAGTCTTTCACCTGCCTGTTGCCATTTTGTGTTCAGTTCAAATATTTTTTTTCTCATTTTGACCTTTGAGGACATGTAGAGGAATTCAATTTCTGAATTTTTACTGCTCGACTACTTAAGTATTTTTCTCTTTAAAAGTTACCAATACAATTTAGATTTTTTACTTTAAAACTCTCTTATAGCTCTTTTCTGATAGCCATGCAGTAGAAGTACCTGCTTCCCCCCCCCCCTCTCTCTCATTGATTGCAAGTTCTTTTAAGGTGCATTGTCAAAGTTAACTTTCAGTTTGCATTGGGTGCTCAACGCTAGCGGATATCACGTGACTGTTGACTTTCCCGTTGGGAAACGCGTTGTCGGTCGTCTCTGTTGACTAGCTAGACACTCTGACACAGTGTGCACAATTACATTTAGAAGTTAGCTCAACGCTCTCAACTACCTCTGTAGACCGATGACTTGTTGACTTCTGTTTGGTGAACAGTCCAGTACATTGGGCAATCCAAACGGAGTTGAACAACGCTGAGTGTTTAGAATCAGGTACTTCCATTGCCCAACAGTCCCAAACAGTTTACTTTGACAACGGAGCTTTTGTAATATAAGAAAAAGAAAAAATGAAAGTAAATCCCATTGAAATGATTCTTTGCCCAGTATCGTCATTCTATGGTGTTTTCCTTTTTGCAGGTTGTTAAATTTTGATGTTGACAAATGGGTGCATTTGAACTGTGCCCTGTGGTCGGATGAAGTTTATGAAACCGTCAATGGAGCATTGATGAACGTAGAAAAAGCTTTGCAGGACAGTCTCACTGTTAACTGTAGTGTTTGTCATCGGACAGGAGCAACTCTGAAGTGTTACAAGCTGCGATGTTCGTCAGTGTTTCATCTAAGCTGCGCCGTCAAGGACGAGTGTGTTTTTTACAAGAACAAGGTTTGCACATAAATTTTTTGTTCTTTCAATCGAAAATCATCGCCTTCAACCTCTCTTCATTAAAATAATATCATAAACAGGAATTTTAGTTTTAATTAAGTAGTAAGTACCAAAAATTAAATCGTCATCTACAAAAACATGTTTTTCTGTGGGTAAGCAGTTTATCTTGGTGTCTAGTATTGAAGCGCCTCGTTTTCCGAGCAGTCTGTTATTCTCAGCGTGTTTTACCAATTTGTGTTACTCTGTAAGGCTGTTTTTCATTTGTATGAATAAGTAAAACACAATAATCGAAAGACAGAAGAAAAACCAATAATAGTGAAATGTTTTATCAAGTGTTAAACCGGTGGAAAATAATGAGAACTCTTTGCCGTTTCTGGGTATGGGTTTCTTTAATGTGTACCAGTAGTCTCTTAAATTCCTTCATAGCCAGGAGGGGTATGTAAGAGGAGTAATTCAGAGTGAGAGATTAAGTGGTTGGAGCAATTAGTGTGAACTAAAATTGATAGACTTTAATCTACTATATGAAAAGTGAAACTAAGGCTGTTTTTACCTGTTTTCAGACTTTATATTGTGCAATACATGTACCAAAGAGCGAGAAAGAAAACGAGCTAACAACCTTGGCTGTCTACCGTCGAGTGTATATCAATCGCAATGAGGATCGACAAGTGGCAGCCATAATGCACCATACAGAGCATACCAACCTCTTGCGTGTCGGAAGCTTGATTTTTCTCAGCGTCGGTCAACTGCTTCCACACCAACTCCAAGCATTCCACACACCCAACTACATCTATCCCATTGGATACAAAATCGTAAGTCCTTCAGAAGCCTCTGACTTGTGTTATATCTCATGGAAAACTGAGAAAGGCCAAAAAAGACCAAAGTCTTTAAAGCGTGGATGTCGAAAGAAATTTTTTCCCTACAGAATCAGTACAATCGACAAAAATTTCTGTGAAAGAAGATGAGGACTCACAGTTCAGATGTAAATGCATCTTTAACTAAATTTTGTTTGTTCATTTAGAAATTCTATCTTTGCAGAATTGCAACAAGCACAATATATTGCAGTAATTTTTCTTTAATACTCTTCCCCTTTGATCAGTGGGGTGGCGTGTTTTGCAATATATTGATAAATCTGTCATTTAAACCAATGGAAAAGGATTGATAAACAGGATGTTCGCAATGAACACCTTAATAATCAATACCATTGCTTCAAATGGGGAAATATCGATAATCGATCATTCATGCCTCGCCACTGCCTTTGAATTAATATTAATTCAAGGGACCTCAAATGTACATGAATGTTTATGGACTTCCCAATTCTTTAAAAATCATCTAATTTTGGGAAACAGTCCAAATACACTTTAAAGTTCTTATTCTGGTTTTTTTTTGTTAGTATCTTACGGAAGATAGGTTTTATTTTCTCTCATTACCATGGAGACTTCTAAAATGTCAATGAAAGAAGTCTGTCCATCACATGCTTGTCTTTTTAGCGAAGAGAGCAGAGAATTAAGTATAGGCTCAAGGAACTGCCTGTTTCAAGGCATTCTATAATGCTTAATCCTATAATTTTTTTCAATGTTCTTAACATGCTTTGTAAGTTTTTTTTTTAAAGTATTCATAATTCATAAAAAGTTTTTGATTTTTCTATCGGAGCCCCTTGAGATATCTTTCTTTTAATTTTGAAAAGCTATCATGAACTTGCGCCTTAGGCTGCATAAAATACAAGGATCCAGGACCCTAAATAGCAAGTCGTGCTCAGGGAGGCAAACTTTTGAAAACTTCAGACTTTAAATTTCTGAAACCATTTTGAATTTTCAGACGATTCTCTTAATTTATAGGTCGAACATATTTTGAAACTTGGTTTTATAGATCCAGTTTCTCTGTTGTCTAACTTGAACTTTATAATTTTTTTTTTTTAACTCTCGTGTTTAATTTTACCGCAGATTCGTTTTTACTGGAGTATGAGAGTTGCGAACAAGAGATGCAAGTACATCTGCTCCATCCATGATGCCGCTGGGCGACCAGAGTTTCGTGTGCTCGTGCAAGAACCTGGACAAGACGATATTGAGCTCAGAGACTCTTCTCCGCGCAATGTGTGGACTCGAATCCTGGAACCACTTCAAGCTCTGAGGAAAAGCAACAATGCTGTCCAAATATTCCCTCGTTATGTGAGCGGAGAAGATCTCTTTGGCTTGACTGAACCTGCCATTGTTAGGATATTGGAGAGTTTGCCAGGTATTTGACAAAATTATTTTTAAAACCCCATAACAGGCACAGATACAATCTCTCTTTATAAAATCGCCTGGGATTAACTGTCAAACATTTACATCCCTAATAAATATTACCATTAAGCATCACACTAAACCTTGAATTATCCAAACTAATGTGGCCAGTTCAAGTAACGGTAACTTCAGATATTGTGGAGGTCCGTTACAACAAGATTAATCCGACACTCAGCACTCATAAAATGTGCTAAAGTAACAAGTAAAGAAGTTAAACAAACAGGGATATATGACTGTATATTGGTGAGGCAAACATGCCAGGAATAAAAAGGAGTCATAACAGCGGGTTTGCCCCGTCTGCGGAGAGGTAACTTGAAAAACAGGTTAAAATAAATCAGTCCTAAAATTCCTAAAATTTAGTTCAGATGATCCGAGGTTTGTTCAATTCTTTTATGTTATAAGTTAACATAACTTGAGATTCCAAGTCAACTGCTTTATGCAGAAAATATTGTCAAAAACCTCAGGAAGGCAGCTTTTATTCCAGTAAAGTACTATCATAGACAGTGCGTTTATAGGTTTCCCGCCAAGCCAATCTTGATGACCGTGTTTTGCGTCATGACAGAGGGCCCAATTTGTCTTAGTAACTGATTCAGTCTATTCATCATATTGCCAAAGAATAAAAATCCTCTGCAAGTACATGATAGAATAAAGCTTAAGCCCTTACATTGTGTCAATCACGAGCAATCATAGTTTACAGCCTTCAATTTTACCATTTTTCTGTGTAATTTCTTGCCCTGGCAGAAACAAAAATGCAAAATTATCTTGGCACAGAATGTTATTTCATGAAAATGTGAGAATTTCAGGAACGTATTTGCGTATTGGTACCACAAAAATAATTTCAATTTATCTTTACCTTAAGATCACTGAGATTTGAACCAATATTTGTATTCCTCTCTCTTCAGGCATCGAAACACTAACAACTTACAAATGCAAATATGGCCGAAACCCTCTCTTAGAACTGCCCCTGGCAATCAATCCATCTGGGGCAGCTAGATCTGAGCCTAAACCTAGGGGTCTATCACACTTCAAGCGACCCCACACGCAGAGAACTGGAGCTCATAGACCTGCGTTCACACCCACTTCCATCACAGGGGAAGCTGCGTGCCCTTACTCAAAGCAGTTTGTACATTCCAAATCCTCGCAGTACAGAAAAATGAAACAGGAGTGGAGAAATAATGTCTATGTTGCAAGGTAATTAAATGAGTATTTTTTCAACTCATATTCTCATCTGCTCCATACAACTTGGTGCTTAAAAGTGTACTTTTTATGGTTGTATTTGTTTCCTGTATTTTCCTCTTTCATTTATTTATATTAGAATTAAAATAAAAACATCCAGAATAGTAGCAACTCTAACTGAACTGAATTTGCAAAGATGTCCCACTTGCTTTTTCAAGGAAGAAGCAACTTTCTGTTTTTCTGAGGGAAAATTTTTTTTGAAATCTCATGATTTTTGGTAACCTGAATAGATCTTTGCATCACTCTCTCTCTAAATTTGACGGAAATCAGCTTTAGGAATATTTTTCATGGGTGTTCAAGGTAAATTAACACAGGTATGGACAAATCGAAAATTTCCCATGAGCCTCAGCACGTCTCACATGACCTCGTGACGTAGGTTAAGGGACCCGTTGGACCGTGCTATTCTATTACAATTAAATTGCCTCTAAAACTTAAGTAACGAATTATTACCGTATTGGAGAAACATAACCAATAAATCACCAACCAATCATATTAATGAAAGCATAAAAATGGCGGTCGTTAAGGGGCCACTAGAGAGCCAATCATAGGCCGGATTTTCAACTTGTCCGTACCTGTGTTAATCTACCTTGATGGGTGTTGTATGATCTGCCGAAGCAGTAGAAAGAGCGCCTTAAGAACATTTTTTATCGTGATTTGGATGCAAAAACCTAGAGCATATTAAGGTTACGTATCATTTTATTTATCGTTCTCCTCAGAATAATGAATTGGCACTGAGGTCGGTCTGAAAGTGTCCGGTTTGACTTGAACACTTGAACATTACTTAACAGAAAATTCGAGAGGTTTTATTCTGTACTAATTGTCCTGTGTTTCCCAACAGATCTAAAATCCAAGGACTGGGTCTGTATGCTGCCAGAGATCTAGAAAGACATACCATGGTCATTGAATACATAGGTGAACTCATCAGATCAGAACTAGCTGATTTCAGAGAAAAGCAGTATGAAGCTAAAGTGAGTTCATTTTCATTTTGTACAGCAAGATTTCATACAATATTTGTACACTTTTTGTTACAGCCCAGCTTGTAAGTTTATACAGGTTTATCTTATTCTAACCTTAAAATATTACTGATTATATACATTATCACCGGATGCACTGTGGAGTGATGTAAATGCCAGAAACATTTCACAAGTGTCACATAAAATGTATGAATCATCGAAAATTAGCTGTATGAATACTGCGTACTTAAAATGTTTCTTGCCATCATATCTTAGTGTTGTCATTCTGCCCAGGCTAGAACATGCCCCAAGACATGGTGAATTTCAAATACTTTAAACAACGGTCTCCATTGAATGCTGTAATGCTTCCTGTTGGTTTCATTTGTAACTAATGCTTTAAAATTAGGTTGGTGAAGAACGCCTAGATAGTGCCTCAATTTCATAGCAGTGCCATAATACATTCTGCATAAAATGCTGGTAACTGTGGTAGTTTTGACCCAGATTGACCAACAAAAAAACAGCTACTGTAACTGGTTTGGCCGTGAAAGGGTCCATTCAATTAAATTCGAACCATTATTCCTCTTTCAATGACAATATCAATTGCACTATCTGAGCGAGGCTCTAAGCAGAGCAGTGCTCTTTATTCTTTATATATTAACATAATCTGAATCTTTTTACAGAACCGTGGAATTTACATGTTCCGACTGGACGAAGAAAGAGTTGTTGATGCAACGTTGTCTGGTGGTTTGGCGCGCTACATCAACCACTCTTGCAATCCCAATTGTATCACAGAAAAAGTAGAAGTTGACCGTGACTTGCGCATCATTATTTTTGCCAAACGAAGGATAAATCGAGGAGAGGAGGTACGTTTTCTTTGATAAAGTAAAATATCACTGCTTCTCATCTTTCAGAATGAATGCAAGTCTCTCAGTTTCCTTTTCAAAATTTACTCAACTTTTTTTGAATTTCTAAAATAGATTTCAGTGTGCTGTTAAAAGTAAGTGCACAGAAAGAACATCTAATTACAGTGCCTGCATTGTTTTGAGTTCCTTCGTACCAAAAGTTATTTTTATTTTACTATTTCCTCTAACTCTAAAATCTAGTGAGAATGAAGGTGACCTTGCAACTAAGAAATCGTCAGGAAGTTCGTATCGTTCAGTTCGTAGGAGTCCGGGATCAATCAGGGAACTTTAGATCTTTGGTAATGTTTACGAAAAAGTAAAGAAATGGTTAACCAAATTCTGTCTCAAAGGTTTTCATCTGTCCAGAATGAACAGACTGCAACAGGAAAAATGCAAAAAATATAATTTGTTGTTGTAATGGTTCGCAATATCAGCCTTGACTTCCATTTCATTGAGGTGTGTTCAAAAAAGTGTTTGAAACAAGATTCAAGACTTGAAATTTTGTAAACTGTCGATGTACCCAATTTTGCATGGGCTTTCTCAGCTGTTTACAATCATGAAAAATACAGGAATATATGGTACATGAAATACTGATCGTATTGCTAAACTAAGCTTTTTGTCCCTGTTGAGTTGATGGACCTTTGGGTCTATTGACTTGTGGTATGTCATGAAAATCTTCAATTTTTTTTAATTTATGTTTTAGCTGGCGTATGACTATCAATTTGATATCGAGGATGATCAGCACAAAATTCCATGCATGTGCGGTGCTCCTAACTGTCGAAAATGGATGAATTAATTCATGAGTTCTACTTTTAGTATACCAGATTATTGTTAACACTTCGTTGAATCTATCTCTGTAATTTTGCCCTGTATTTTCCGCAATGCTAGAGGCTTGTAGATAATTTTATTTTCCTTCTCTCACTGTTTTATACTTAAGAGAAATTATAGTTAAGCGAGAGAAATGGAAGCAGGACTCCTTGTACATTATTTATATATTTAGTAGATTCTCATCTCATTCCCATCCTGCTCTCTCTCTGTACATAGGTAAAGAAGTATTTTATTTTGACTCTACCATTGGGTTTACATAAAAAAATTGTTCGATCAATGATTTGATGTAAGTGCAAACAAACGACCGTTTCCTACACTACTCTTCGTTAATTTTAAGATTTCACTCTTTCATGCAGATTGTTAGGCATCTGTAAAGAAGTGCTTCTTCAAACAATCTATATATATATTTGTTCCCCCGCCCTTTTTTATCTAGTTGTAATATATTGTTATTGAAGTAGATAATTCTTTTGAAATTTTGATAATTGTTAATGTTTCAATATTTTATTTGCAAATATTGGATTTTTTAGTATTTTATCGGTTCTTGTAGAATTGTAAATGTAAAATGTTTGTGGCTCCCTTTTTTATTATCAATGTTGTCTTAGGTTTTGTGATTATTTTTTTCCAAATGATTTTCTTTTTTAAGACTCAAGTCTAATTGTAATTAGCGGACCCTGAAAGTGGTTCTTTTCTTTTAAAAGGAAACTCTGCGGGTCAGTTTTTTTTTCCTCAAAGTTTTTGTCTAGCCTTCATTTGTGGCCTTGATTGACAAGTCTTACTGAGTAGAAAATTAGCTATGGCAAAAGCTCAGAAGTATTTTCAGTGATCGACCTGAAAACCAACGTTACTGAATCACAATCAGAAATTATTGATATTATTCCCACCTGTCAGCCTTAAGTTGGATTATCTTTGCGTCTAGTGGTGTCGGTTGACAGTCACCGTGATCTCTACCGTGCTGGCATTGCTCAAGCCGAAAAAATCGGAAACTGTAGTCACTATTGCTGGGCCAAGCTGCAACCGAAAGGCCTTAACAAAGTCGCAGTCATTAAGTAACTTGATTAGGTTGTAGTGCCTCATGAGTGTTATAGTGCCATAGTGGCACTTGGTGACATAGAAGAATGACCTCCCCCTGTGTGCTCAGTATGGAAACAAACTGTGCCCTCTGAATCAAACCAAATATTTTTAACTTGTCTTAATTAGGTAGTTTAAGTTTGATCCCCAAACTTTTAGATATCTCTTGGATTCAGTTCAATCTACTTCTTTTTTCGAATCCCCGATCATTTTTGAATTTAAGGGAGTAATCAAAATTTGTAAAGAGATTCGATCAGTTGGTGTTAATTTGTGTCGTTCTGGTTCATGTTTTTTCCAATGATGTATACAGTATACTTAAATGTGATAGTAAGAAATATTGATGTTTTTTCTTCAATTATTTCATTTCCTGAATGGTAATTTAGGGGTTGCTGTGAACAAATCGTCTAAAAATCTTAACTGCCTGCTATTCGGGAGTGGACGATAGACTCTCAAAAAATTTCAGAAATTCTAGGAAATAAGGTGTTTCATTTGTTAATGAAGAGAAAAATCCAACTGTGTTCATCGTGTCAGAACTTCAGAGAGTGAAGCTTTCATTTCATATTTTTTTTCAGTAGCTAGAAAATTCTTTCGCTTTTCTTCCCCGAAAGTAAGGTGGTTATCAGTCCATCTTCATGTGGAAGAACACAACTAAATGTTAATTTAAAAAGTTTTGAGCAAAAATAACTGCTTTTGTAATACTATTAGGCTAGTTGCTTATTGCTAAATCCTACTTTGTTGGTTTGATTTTTAAGATTACCATCCAGCAAAGAGAAACAAGATCTCTTCAGATTTGAAGTTTTTAAATTCAGTATTTACAGTGCTATCACTTTTTGAGAAACGTGGTAAATGATATCCTCCTCCGCACCAGTACACGGCATAATTTTGTAGTTCAAAGTTACATTCATTGCCTCATGTGTTGCATTGGTCTAGTGAGACCAAACAGAAAGTATGACGTCAAAAACTAGAAAATGGTATCTACTTTTCAAAGTGCAATTCCTCTGAATAGCAACAGGGAAATTCGAGGGTTGTACTGATCCTTTTTTCAAGACTCTAACATGTTAGTAGTCACTAGCACGTGTATAATCGTAATTAGCAGGCACACAGTTTGTATTAAGACACCATCCTCAATTTTCAGGGATAATCTTCGAATTGAAATTAATTTTTCTAACTCTGAAACAATCTCATGTATGTTAATGAAAGCTTCATAATTAAGATTTTTTTCTATTTGCAACTTATGGAACAGCACCTTTGGACGTCTTTTGACGTGTAGTGAGTTCGTAAGAGTGACAAAACTGCTTCAAGCAGTGTCAGCAGATGTGTATTACTTACTCTGTTTTTAACTAGGTTTCTAATTTTTCATATCTTAGAGAGTTTTTGAAAATGAAGACTAAGTTATTATTAAACTTTGTGGTAGACCCTGTTGATTAGGTGAATTCATTTTAGAGAAATTGTCATTTTAAATTTGAATTAATTTTAGAAAATTTATTGAAAAATTAAAAGCATCAAAAAGTTCTCCATGAACAGAAGTAATTGATTCTGAGGTTGGTCTTCGAATGAAAATTTAATCGAATATCTGTTCAGAACTGAAACTTAATTTGAAAATAGTCGTTAAGACTTTCCAAATGTTTGTCCTACAAAATTGAAGTAGCCCTAGGTAGCTCTAATCTTGTGGACTCCTTTCGAATCGTCTTTAGATTGCAAATGGATCCTCTCTAAACTAACAGACCAAGACTGTATCCTTTAAGCGAATTTTCAGCAGACTTATTGTTAGCCGAACATCAAAGTATCAAAACTTTTTTACTGAAATACTGGGTTTGACTTAAATTTTTACAAAATAATTGATCCATTTTATCCCATGACATGTGCCAGTTTTTCCATTTCAGTAATTCTGCCTTAAAATAAAAAATACTCATATGCAGATTTTACGGTTCAGTTGGTATATTTTAAGTGTGAATGTTGAATTCCACGATTTTCCTTTTTCGAGAAATTATTTAAAATAAATGCAACTGAAATTGCTCTTGGATTCAATTACTTTACTTTTTACTGAAAATTAAACTTTCCATCTGTAGTTAGACAAAACATGCTAATGTTTTGAAGTTTGCTTTTGTCCTTCTGAAGATCTGCTGTAACACGGAGAAATAAATTCCCTTCCCTCCTTACTACAGCATTGAAACTAATTTTGATTCACTGTGTATTATTATAATACTTGGATTTGATTAATGGCTTTTATTCCTAATTGAAATTATAATGATAGCAGCCTTTCATCATATAATGCACTGTGAGTTCAATCTCTATTTTCTACAATCGCTTTTATTTTGTGTACAAGTTAACCCAATTTTATTTCATGGTAATTTTACTCACTTCTTTTTTTTTCTTGCACTTGCATGAATCAGTGTAAAAGGATACTTATCTGATCATAGTTATCTTTAAACCTTGCATAGTGAACAGAATAATGGTTATTATTCCACAATTTATTTTTCCTAGTATTTTTTTTCTCGGTAGGTGAGGTTCTTTTTTTTATCCATCTATGGGCAGGGTTTCTCTCTATGTTTTGTTAATTATTTTGCTCCTTGGTTGTACCTCTACAAAGATACCTGGAACAAGATGTTTTTAGGAAATGTTTGATGTGTTTTATATGTTACAAATGTGGTCTTGTCGTGTAAAGTGGAAAGTTACAAATTTTTGAATTACCATTTAAGAGCCATAATCTCTCTGGTTTTTCTTTTTTTCCTTTTTTTTCTTTACTTATTGTGTTTATGTTGCATCTTCTATTCTTTATAACTTGTTTTATTTTGTGATTTTTTTGTAAATACGAGTGTACATTTGTGCAAAAATAATGTTGTCTAGAATCAATTATTTTTACATGTTTCGTTATCGTCTTTATACTTTCAATTTGACCTCATTCAAATTGAGTATTGTAAAATTGATTTAATCAGACCTTAAATGATCTATAGGTTCTCTGAATCTATCTTAATTGTTTTATTTTCAAAATTTCTTCTAGACTATTTTTGGCATTATACCAACTGTTCTTATTTTTTGTCATAGAAAGTTGCGTAAATCAAGAGAACTTAATTGAAGTCAAATCAAGGGCGCCCTCATCCTCAATTAGGGTAGTTTTAGATCATTTTTTACTTGACTGGGCAGCAAGTTGATCTTGGACCTAAAATAAAGTCGGATGAGAAGTCTTGAAAATATGATCCTTCTGTTCTCATCTCCTCTTTCCAAGCTTCATTTTTCAATTTGTTTTCTTTTCTTTCCCCTGTTTTTTAAAATTCTATTTCTGTAGAATCAAAAGTAAAGCTGCCTAAGGAAATCTCTCATCAAGTTTCACTACTCGCATCAAATGGCAGTCACTTTGGAAAATCGTTAATCAAACATGTTGACCGCATTTATAACATTGAATACCTGAGGGTGCAAATGTACTGTAAGTTAAAATTTGTACAATTTAGTCTGTAAAAATGTATTTACATAATTATATTTTTAAGTTTAGTATTACTCCAAGAGTAAAGTGAGATCTAGTAATTCTTCTGTTTTAAGTATATGCAAGTAAGTGTAAGTAAATTTGTATGATATACTGATTTCATTGTATTTGTTTATTTGATCCTCGAATCTATCCTACCAGCTTAAAGCAAAGTTTGAAGTACAGAGCAAGCATTTGCTGATCTTGCTATTTCAAATTACAAAACTAAATCACACGATTGTCAAGGACCAAACAGTTCATGGGAAAAATTCATGGTCTCTTATTTTAATGCAAATTATAATTTAACATAATTCAATCGTAAGATCTAATTTAACCATTTTAAATATCAAGAGAGTGTTCTATTGAACACTGTGTGTGTGAGAATCAATTTCATTGTATTTGTTGGTGATTAAAATGACCACAGAGATGGAAAGAGATGCACATGAGAAAGAACATATATTTAAATGGAAACATTTGGGACAAAATTTAAATAGAAAACTAGTTTATTGTCAACTCATTTTTACAGACAAAAGGAATCACAAAACATAGTTGAATAATCACATTCAACGATAAAAAACAATTTAAAAATCAATATTTAACCTAGAACAAAGGAAATCCTCTGTTTTGACTGTGACGTTTCGCTAAGTTGAAAAATACGATGAAATGATTCCGACTTTGAGGATTAATAAAAAAACTGACGGTTTCTTCACCGGAGCACTCTATCAGAGGGGAAGTGGAAGACTGTTGACCTGCCAGTCTTTGACTATCACGAACAAATTCCAGTACTCTGGCTTGATTCATTTCTTCAAGCTGTGAACAGGAGTGAAATTAAAAAAATCATCCAATAAAAACCGTATTGAAATTGCAGCGGAAGAAAATGCCTAATCATGCAAACTTGAGAAAAAAGAAGTAGAAACATCGAAATTTAAGGAAGTCGTATACTTAAAAAGTAATCAAAATTCGAGAAAGGCAATGAATGGCATGACAAATGAAACAGTGAATCCTGTTGTAAGAGAATCCAGACAATCAGAGAGTCTTATGGTGACCTAGCTTCATTTCAGCCCGAAAGGGAAATTTTCGATTTTGACCACAAAATTTTAGTCCATGTATGGTGTGTACACCCTGTCTATTTCTCTCCATTATTAATGAGGGTGAAAAAAAATTCGAGTTGAGTAACGAATCCAGCATGGTTTGAGGCGTAGAATCGATTGTGTCTATTTTCGAGACTTTGCGCAGCTTCCTCAGCCGAGAAACTTGTGATTTTGACCATTGCATTATTGAAAATTCACCGAACTCGCGTTTTTCACCAATCGCGCAGTCCAGCGGACTCGTAAAGCTTTTCCGACAAGAAAATCAGACTCCTAGGATCATTTCCAAGAGAACTAACTGGGTTTCAGCCCGATTGGAGAACTTTCGATTTTGACCCCAAAATTTTAGTGCATGAAAGTTGGTACCCTGTCGATTTTTCTCGATTTTGAACGGGGGAAAAATCATGAGATTCCTGTCGAATCCTGCGTACTTTGAGGCATAGAATCCATTGCAGGTGGTCCCAAGGCTTCCTAAGCCGAGGAACGAATGTTTTTGACCGTTTTCGAGGATTTACAGCCTTAATGGCCAGTTGTGAGTACCCATAAACTCTTGGAGCATTTTAAACCAGAAAATCAGACTCTGACAGTCTACATTCTATGACTCACTGCATCTCTATGTGATAAACTGATAAAGACAGAACAGCAATACTTAAATCTTTCACTTAAAATGTTAAGGCCCCTCAAACAACTCAGTAAACCTCCAATGACGCAGAAAGTCTGTAGCCTTCCCTTTCTCCGTAGAGTTTCAAAGTGATTACCTCTTTTTTCTTTTCTTTTTATCTTTTGCTGGAAACTAACTCTCGAATAGGTAATGTCCAAATTTCCTCCCAGAGGGTAAAGTCCTTTTCCTCAGATTTATACTGCAAAATTCTTTTTGATTTGATTTATTTGTAAACATTTCTTTTTGGCAAAGAAATGTTCAAATTTTAAGAGAGAAAAATATAAATAAAAATTAAAAACTGTTGTTTTTAATAATCTGAATTAGATCAATTTCATGTTATCAGCATACCTGTTTCTCATGACTTTTGATGCGGAAGGTGATCAATGTCGGATCGTTTTCATTTTGAGTTTCAAAAAGTTCTTCCAGAGAAATTTTCTTAAGTTGTTCATCATTTTCACAGTCGAAAATGTACAAGGATTCTTTGGTCAGAACGAGCATAACATGCTTGTAGGTGTTCGTGTCCATTTGGTGGGTTACCTCAGCAGAGTAGAGAAGCTCTTCAAACATGTTTAACAACTGCCACTGATACTTTAAACTTGAGTTAGTGCAAATTATTCGATTCTGTGTTATGGCTTGTTGCTTTGCCTGAAAAGAAATAAGGATCCAATATTAAATGTAATTAATAATAATGAAAGTTGGAATGATAAAATGAATAATAATGTAATAATAATGATGGAATAATAATGTATAAGGAACATAACACGACACAAACCCAAGAAGCAAGTTACAAATTGTAAAAATTTGCAATTATAGCCTGGGAAGTAGCTGTTATTTTAGTATCCCACATGGTTACATGTCACTTTTTTCTCTAATGAAATTCAAAAATTATGCTAAACATAATTAAATACGGATGCTAGGACTTAGTGAGTTTTTGAACTACTGTTCTCCTTTTGTGCCGTAGTATCTCAACACGTCGGGAACACACGTCTGTTGTGAAATAGTTGCTTGAGGCGCCGCGGCGAGCGGCCGGCCAGCGCGAAACACGCCCATAAACCTAAGGGAATACTTCCAGTATTGCGCAATGCGTGAAGTATCCCTGTAGGTTCGTAGGCGCCAGTGAGCCTTTCGCGCCGGCAGCACGCCACTACGGGTCTGTATTTGGCTCTAATATTTAAACTCGAAGAGTCAGCGTTTTCAAACTCTTGATTTTGAAATGTTTACACACACGGATTATTCTCATTTAAATTGATGACAAAAAAAATGTATTATAGGAAAATACAATGTGTGTTTCGTAAATCTTTAGGTGGTTCCAAGTCAAATTTAATGATTTCCAAAACACTTTCATTTTTTCTTTTATGTTTTGTGCTGTTACTATGCTTGCAGCATAGTATACGTGCAATCAAATGCTCAAAATTGGACATTTTTTACTCAAAAAGATCGATATATAAATGAGTTAAAACTAAAGATTGCATGCTTCTTAGTTTTTTTTCCCCCTCTTTCAATCATTTTTGTAAAGTTTCTTTCAACATAACTACGGCTCATGGAGATTAATATCAATGCCATTGCTTGGAAAAGGTTTTACAAATATTTGCCAGGCTTTAAAAATGTAGATATTATAATGAAGTAATATTTTCATTAAAAAAATAAATAAATAAAAAAAACAAAATGTATAAAAATACCTCCTTTTCTCTTAATTTTCTCATTTCAATATTGTCAATATAATTTAACCTACGGACTAAAATATTACGCTTGGACCAAGTCACTGTTGCTAATTTTACATGTGGATGTAAACTACTGGACAAAACAAGTGCATGGACAAAAAATCATTGGCGGAATGTCCTAAAACCTCCCACATCCAAATAGACAAATTCTTGAAAAACAGCAGAAATTTTCTTCCTGATCTCAAAACATCTTGTCGGCCTAGCCAGACCCAGGGCATCCTACAGCAGTGAGGCTCTAAAGGTGGCAAAATTCCAGGAAATTAGCATTTACAAGAAAAAGATGTAAAAATATTGCAATTTAATGGTAAAAAATTGCAATTTTATTGCATGAAATTGCACTTTTATTACTTCATCGATTTCATTGCACTATACACTTGGGAGTATAGTGAACTACACAGTTACCATCGGCCCTGTCATTTCTTGACTTTTAAACTTGATTAGTATTCAGCTCTACTCTTGCTATTCTGAAATCAGAAAAGTATTGCTTGACTGCACATGAACTGGGCACACGGATTGCTGATTTACAGTTGAGAGATATTACCACTTTATAACCAATTTGTTGTATTGAATATTCAAAATATGGTTAGATGTAGTTAAGAGAAAAAATGAATGTGCTGGGCCTCACCTTGGGAGTTTGATTCCAGCCAACTCCAGACAGTAAACCTTCACCAGTGAGGGCAACTAGCTCAGCAGCACCACTAAGAGGCCTTGTGATAACACCCACTAGACCTAGTCCAATACTATTGACTAAACTACGTTCAGGATTGTCTCTGATCGCGTACTGTAAAGGATGATGAGCCAAACCACCAATAGCACCTTGAGAAAAAGTCAAAAAATTAGAAAGAGTTCAAAAAGGGGAAAAATTAAGTACACAGTTGCAGTCAGTTGACATGATAAATATTATAATCGTTCCAAAAGTAAGTTCCACACTCTTATACCTACAAAACTGTTAGCGATAGATTAATGTGGTAAAAAAGGGCGTCCATCATACTCCAAGCATTCCGTCGAGTAAAAGTTTTCGTAAGTAGTCTTTGAAAATGATTCTGGCGATATTATCGCCGATAAAATCGCAACATATAGCGATTTTTCCGTTGAGAAATGCTACTTAGGTGGCTGGATTTTAGCTGTCATGTAATTTCACTTACCTAGTAAACTTATACCGAATTCTGTTAGTCCTTGAACTAATCCCTCAGTCACACCCTGTGGTCTTGATCTACGCAGTGCTTCTGCATGTCTTAGATCTTCCGGTTCCAGGGTTAGCCGATCTAATGTCCGAGCCCAACTGGCAGCAAATTTTGTAACTGATGATAGGGTTCCTGGAAGACAGAGAAATTGCTCAGAGGGTTTGGTTTGGTACATCTTACTTCACAAAATCTGTGTACGTCACAATCGAAATCAACTTACAGAAATTGAATGGATTGAGATGGAATTCTAATCATGGGGTGCTGGCCATGGATGGCATTTATCATAGACATAACAATTGTAAATAACCGATACTTAAAGAAAGGAATGCATGAATGGACTTTTTATTTTACAAGGTGGAGTTTGATATGATGGGCCAATGGACAAGGTCTGAACTTGAAAAGAACGTCAAATGTTTTCTCTTCAAAATCTTACAGCGAAAACGATTCACTCAACAGGAAGTTTCAGAGTCAATTTCAAAACGACATGCTAACAAGTATTAAATCAAATGATCAAAATGGGAGTTATACTATACAAAAGACAGAAGCTGTGTGCTTGTAACCAACGTTAATTAAGTGTGGCAGTTTTGGTCACCATCTTTGATGGCCACTTGCGATTGGTGAAGACAAGGATCCTTAGTTACTTGCCTCCGGCCAAGGCAGGGAAGGTAGTGGTCGTAATACGATTTTCTCGCTGCTTTGAAGCACAGAAGAAAATGTTAATTTTAAAGGCTTCTATCTAGTTAAAGAATCACTTTCCAGACCTTCTGTTGTAAGATTCGTATACCTTGTGAAATTTTGAAGAAAAAACGTTTTCTAGCATTTTAATTCGTACCTTGTCTAGAGGCCAATATTCCACACTTCTGAAACAGCACACGGGTAAAGAGAAGTAAGATAACAAAAGCTGTCTCATTTCTCATGATCTGCATGGCAAGATGTTAAATCTACTCTGATCATGTGAAATCGAATCTAAAGCAGAATTATTTTTGCACAAAAAAAATTGATTTGACTTTTCGTTCATGCAGGAATGGTATAGTCAAGATTGACTATCGGCAGAATGGTGATGACTTGGAATCGAATAAAAATATACTACCTGCAGTGACATGCTTCATGAGGGATGCACAACCATGCGCAACACCAACTAGGAAACCTCTGGCACCTTGTTCGATGGATCCTGTAATGGGTAATGTAATGAGATCGCGCACTCCAGCCCCAACACTTCTAGCGAGACCGCCTGGAGCACCCCACAACTCCAATGCTCCCAAAGCCCAACCTTTGAACAAAACACGACTCAAGTCAGCTTACGATACAATAGGTCAGTATGCCCTCTCTTAGACTAAGAAAGAAAGAAATAAACGCACACAAAACGAGTTGAAAAATCATTTACTAAACAAGATAAGAGAGACAACGATCACCGTCCAATATAATTACGAATTACAGATAAAGGATTTTTAGTGCCAATTGTAAGCGTCTCTGTCCTTATTTCACTGCCAAAAATTTTGTGGTTTGTGGTCCTGATAAAATTGGAGTTAGGATTGGATAATCTTCACATTGTAAGTAAGTAATTAAGTAAGAAATCTTTCTAGTGAAACTCGCTGCCTCAAGCGATGGAACAAAAAAAAATCATCATGTGCTAACTTATTGTATATACATTTTCAATTTTTACCAACCTTCAAAAATATGCGAACAAATCATTCTTTCCGTGCCTGGTAACTAGGCAAGAGATGACCCGTGATCATCCTGTCTAGCAATGAGTGTTTGTGAAAATTCTAATTATAATTATAACATTGATGATTTTCTTCTTAAAAATGATTTGATAAAATTTCGTATCCTGCGTTTACCTGCTCTTTTGTAAATGTTGATCAGACTCCTTGTTTCTTCAAAATTGATTTTTTTTTTTTCATTAAAAATTAATGATTATAAATGTGACCCCCAAAGGGAAAGGGACTTCAATCCACAAAAACTCAAAATTGAGTTGTTAATATTGGAGCATAGGCAATATAGCATTTCACTTTACACTTCAAAACAAAAAACACCCAAAAATATCAAATTAAACCGGAATCATGGCGGTTTAAAGTTTGGAATCCAAAAAACATACTTTCGAGAAAAAACTAATTGAAACCATTAATCTGCCATGTTCAGGATAGGTACAAAATGACTCTATTATAATGCAAATTTATGCTTTCATTTGATACAAAAGTTAACTTAAACGCTCTCAACTTATTCTTCAGGAAGGTAGAAAGAGTTTTCTGTAGAGATCTAAAAATCAGGGTTTTCAACCCAATTTGACATAAATCGGTTTGCTGAAATTTTGCTACAGTGAACTAAGGTCCCTTTCCCCGTGGTCAGTCAAAAATTAGTTTTAATTTTTTTACGATGATATTCACCAACTATCATGATAATTAAGATATTATGATATCATGATCACCTAATATAATGACAATGCCGACAATAAGATGATATGCATACCTGTTCCATAAATTGCGTTCAGGAAGTAGTGTAGACTGATGGCACTACCTAGCCGAAAATGTGATGTAACAAGGTTGAATCTCTTGAACTCAGAAAAACTTAAAGGGGAATGATCTAAGGCGATGTAAAACTTAGTGGATGTATGGACACTCACTAAAATATTTACTGGTGATATTTTTAAGCTCCTTAATCTTAATGGCATTGCTATTTCCCTAGAGAGGAGGTAAAAGCTCTCTGGGACAGGTATTCCATCCAGACTTGCCCTTTGCCTTACTAGGAATTCTTGCACTGCACTCTTGTTTTCATTGGTTAATTGCTCCACATTATCAATGGTGTCAAAATTAAAAATTATTTCATCTAAACTCTCAACAGGTTGATGATGGCTACCAGATATTGCAGGCTTAGAGGTTGATGGGTTCTCTTTTGGTTGTTCTAAATCCACGTTGCTTCCGTTTGATGACACATTGTAGGATATTTCTGAAACTTTATCTGCATTTTCAAACGTTGATACTGCAACATTTCCATTAGACTTACGTGCAGATGATTTTTTTAGGTTTTCATCATTTTCGCGGTCCCTTTTTCTCAGGTGTTTTTCCTGTGACCAAAAAACTGGCGCATAGGTCGATTTCCTGGGGTTATTATAAGTGTTATTTGAGGTCCACTTAGTTAATGAAAGGAGATATTTCTTTAGAAACAGAAAATAGGTATCTTCAATATACGCTTGGAAAGATGATATGTTGACGCTGACATCCTCTACAACCCAAGTCTTGTATGTTGTTACATCTACTACAGAATTTACAAAAATTGCTATCTGCCCTTTCATACGAGCTTCTTCAACTAGCCACTGCGCAGGTTGCTTGGCAATATCTGTTGGGGATATGATCTCTTCTTTATCGTTCATTGCTTTTACTATCACAACAGGAAAATCATAGCCTCCTTGACTGAATTCTTGATTGTCTACTTGCATGCCCCCGAAGGACAAATTCACATGTAGTTCATTGGATTTCCCTTCAGCTACTGAGAGAGGAAGAATGAGAAAGCATAAATGATCAAAACTTAAGGCTGCAACCTCTTTTTCTGAACAAATAAAATCATCTTTGATAAAAGTCACTGTAAGACCAGCCATGAAACAGGTCACATTTAGATTTGCAGATCCCGTTGAAAGAGAGCTTTTCAATACTTGATCCTCTAAATTCTTCTGCTTCTTCATCACAGTGACGACATGGGCACTAACTGAACTCTCTGTTGTTTCTTCCTCTGATACTCTTTGAGACAAATGGAGATTAAAGGTTGTGTCTTTTGGGGTCATCGGCAGAGGCTCATAGTCAACTGAAGGACTAGATTGGCCGACTCCCAGGTCACAAAGTAATTGATCCTCAACAGCACTCATTGCCTCTGATAATTCCAGCCTCCTTGAGAGTGCATCATCGCTTTGGCATGAGATTAGCAAATCTTCATCAGATTTTTTGAAAGGGGCCAGAGATTTTGAGGGGGAATCTAACCGCTCCTCAGCAATGACCCCTGAATAATCCTTTTTATGAGGCTCATGTTGAGGTATTCTGTCTTGATACTGCAATTCCTTAGAACAGCGATCAACATTTTTAGATTGCACCAATCGAAGTCTTATGTCTTGCGCCGATATTTCACTCTGGGATGCTGATTCGATAAAAATCTTCATCATGTAGGCACTTTTCAGTATTGTGAGCTTAATTTCATGCTTATGATTCGGTAAAGAGATCAACCGGCTGATGCATGGTGAAAGGTGAACACACTCGGACCACTCCACAGGGGATGATCTGTCGTTTAAAGCTAAAGCAAAGAAACTCGAAGTTCCACTTGGGAAATAATAATTTACGGCTGTGTTGGAAGCGATGACCAAAGTCCACTGCCAATCAGAAGTCTCATGGACTGGTTGTTTCTGTTCGGCCATTCGGGTAAATAACAGAGAGAGTTTGGTGTTATTATAGATGACGATGTCTGGATATGGTTGGTCCCAGATACTGAAAAAAGTTTGATTATCTTTGGTATGGGCAGTTATGCTAACAGACACGGGTTCTTCATTGCCATCCTCGGAAGAGAAAATGACAGGCAAAATCTGTTTGTCCACTATGGAAGAAACCAAAATAGGACAACTGATCTTATCATTGATATGAACGATTAGGTACAGTTCCACTGTATTTTCTTTTTTCCCATCCGCCTTAATCTTTGCCCAAAAAGTCAATGGTCTTGCTCTTTGGTTTACTTCAACTTCGGCAGGTAGATGCACTGCACTTTCGGGCACATCAGTGGACACCGGGAATCTAAAGGCTTTGCATTTACTTCTGACAATAACTGGTACAATTGTAACATTACAGGAACTATTATTAGAGATTATGTAGGAGGATTTCAAATGAAGAATTCGCACATCTTCGGTTTGACTAGAGGTGATGGTAACCAGTGACACAAAAGAGTCGCAATCGATAGTAACTGAGACGCTGCCAGATAAAGGAATAAGACCGGAAATCCTTGGAATGTAAAACGACTGATCGGAAGAAAGTTGTAATGAGGAGGAACGGAAGTTTTTCGAATGAAAATCAATGCACAACTGAAAAGTGCTCTCTATGAAGGGTGGGGCAATGACGCTTCGATCTACAAGAGAGCAGACAGTTTCATTGCTACATTTTATTGAGATCTCATAACCGGAGGTATTCACCAGGAGGGCCCATGGTTTTAGCTCAACCAGGAGCGAATTGCAGAAATACTTGTCTGATTTGCATTTGGTTTTTATGTGAGTTATTGTGTCTGGTTGATCAGACTGCACCCAGTGGAAATTATTGTACTCAGGACCGATGAATGGCCATTCTGAACTGGTGCCATCCGTTTTGGCGAGACATAATTCTGACAGAAGATCATCAAATGGAGGTAGAGCGGATGGTTCTGGGGAAACTCCTCCTTCCGGTGAGTTGTACGATACTGCCACCTTGGGGCTGAAGGCCGGGAGACTGCCTTCGAGACGGAAAGATAAATTGTGGGTGTCATGTGTTGTCCCTGGACAATCTAATTCATGCTCTATGTTGCGACCCACAACAGTTGCAGAGACTGAATCGTGCTGCGGAGTTTCGATTTCAACAGTGGCTTTGCATGGTAGAATAGATTTAATTGAGACTAAAGGCATTAAAATCACCAGTGTTCTATGGAACATAGTTTCATTTATTTTGACAGCGTCCCATATCGCACGACACCAAATGCTACGATATTGGGTTCTTGTTTTAAAAGGCACTTTAACAAGCCAATGACTTTTCTGCAAGCCTGCTTGAGGGTGAATTGGGACAAGCCCTGACCAGCCAGACGATCCAGGGTTAGATACTGACGGAAAACTTAGACGAATGCAAGATTCTGCACAAGTACGTTGTAAAATTGAGGGTGGAGTGACACCTGGCGACAACGCCATCAAGCGGTTATCAATGCAAGTACCATCTTTTCTAGAGACCACGGCACATTCCAATACACGTCCTGTTAAATTGCATAGCTGTAGTTGCCCATCAATGCTAACTTGCGTTAAAGTAGGCGAGATATCTTTCACGCCGATGACTATCACAACTGACTCACCTTCCTCTGATAAGACGGTCTCAAAAGAGCACTTGTATTCGATGACGGAAACAGGATTACTCCACAACCAATTTGAAGAAGCAAGAGTGAATTTTAAAAACGGTCTGCTTTTTGCAGATCGCCAAGAGTACATGTGTACTTGCAGCGGTTGCAGAATAATTACTTCGCTAGTTCCCACTTGACCGAATTTGATTGCTTCATTTGTGTTGTTGCAAACAGCAAATGGTGTGAACAAAACCTGTACTTGATCTTCATCATCACTTTGGTTTTGGTAATACAACTGATGGGCAATGTTCAGTGACTGAAGGATTCCTGGTCCGATCCATACATTCATATGATTGGTGACAATGGACAAATGAGGATTATTCCCACGTTCTTTGAAAAAGTAGCTAGAGGCACGAAGAAGAAACGGTTCAACAACACACTGCATGCAAAGGGAAGCATAATTCAATACGTCAAGGCGTGGCCGAGCTGCAACTATTTCACCGGTCATTATGTTTTCCCAAAACATGAAGCCAAATTTACTCTGCTCAAAGGATAATTTGGCAAAACAGTGATCACCAGGCACGACCTCATCAAGAGTGTAGCGATTGAGCGGTTGTGGCATTTTGAAAGTTTTTCGCATTGTGTTCCAAAATTCAATCTGAATGGAACTCACACATAGTGAAGCTTGAACTCGTGGAAGAAATGCTGGAGAGTAATAGGAGTCTATGCGAATTATTCCGGCCAAACACCGGACATCAATCAGATGGTTGTTTCCACTATCTGGTGACACGAGCTTTATCCTCCAACAAGAAGCTATTACCGGGAGAGGTTCTATCATTGGCAAGTGGACGCGCTGAGTTTTGCTTTCGGACAATGAGAACAATGTGTACTCGATAAACTGGCCATGAACATCACTATAATACTCCAGAGCACAATCTACGTCTTTGCTTGAATTGGATGAGAGCTTTTCTTGCAGATTGGTGAAAGGCACGGGTGAAACTTCAAGTTTTGTGATACAACGAGGTTGTGGATACCGCCATGACATAGATGGGGCTCCATGGATACCTTTTTTGTCAAAGACAACTTGATAGGCAGATGGCAGCTCGGATACTTGATCTATGTATTGGAAAGCTCCGGCACGTAAATCGTCTTTATAATGTTGTTCTTCTTCAGTGCTCTGATTTTTTTCTGAGCTTTGTTCACAATAATCTTCTTTCGAACCAGAGTTAGATTTGGACAATTGTACATACTGCTCCCAAAGTTGTACATACTCTGATAATACGTATTGCGCATTCCTAATTCGGTCAAGGCAAAAATTTACTGCTAAAATGTCAGATTCCACAGTAATTTGTGTCAGAGGTTTAGAGCAGGAGTGAAACCAGGGCTCCCAAGATAAAGTTAGGGTGAACAGAGAACTCCATGGATTCAGAAGAACCTCATTTGCCTGCCCCGACTTTGAAATAGTTACAATTACACTGCCCAAATTTAGAGTAAAATGTATTCGATCAACAGAGTGATTCAATAAACTTATTATTTTCAATAAACTTCCGATTTTCTCGATGCTGAGAATGATTTTCTTGCGCTGAGGTCCATACAAAGCGAATGTTAATTGCTGTGTGTTGACTGAAATACTGCTGAAATTGTTTGTTTTTGTCCGAAGACTTGATTCTTGGCGATCAGAAGATAAATCTATAGTTTTGCTATTGCTGGAGCCATCACAAGAGGTTGGTTCTGTGGCCGATGAATATGCACTATAATCATTCACCTTCAGAGACTCGAAAATGCGTTGGATATGCTTAATGATAGCTGTGCTTAAATTCAATCTAATGGGCCTTCCAAGCTCGATCTCAATTTTGGGTTGTTTGGAATGATGTTGAGAGTATTTTGAGGTGAAAAACGATGGTGAAACTCCATTTATACACCGTTGACCTTCAGCTGTTTCCAAAAATTTCACAGGAAAATCAACCTCATTTGGTAACAATCTATTTGCTGTGTAATTTGGCCTAGCAAATAAAACACTGAAGTCAAAAACAGACGCTTGACAAAAGTAAGAATCAGAATAATACTTGATAAAACAATGAGGCTCGACGGCACCGATGAAAAAAATAGGCTGAATTTCAGCCGCCTCAGTGGATGCACTCTTACTTTTACACTCTTTGAATAAGCTTAAACTTAAAACTTTTGCTGTCAAAAGGATTTCGACAGGAATGTAATTCAGTTTAGTTCGTTTGGAGAATCCTCCGCTAGATATTGGCGAGGAGTCACTAAATACTGATTGGCACTGAATAATTGACAGAGCTTCATGGATGGTATACAGAACTTTTGTTCCTGTGTTGGCATCACTTTTGTCGACGTTTTTCAAGCTACATACGCCTGAATCTCCATCGATAGATTCAAGGCCACTATCTTTTCTGACAGACGGACCAGGAATTGGAGATTTCAATAGACGAGGATAAGAAACTGTGCTTGTCGATGACTTCATTCTGGAAACGATACAAGCTGATATTTCATCTTGCAGGCTAGAAATGAGCTTTAGCTGATTCATTGAAAGAAATAGTTTTATCTCTGATAAAACGTTGATCTCTGCAGAACTTCCGCAGACCAAAATTGGCACAGGTGAACTGAAGAAAAACATTGGAGGAGCTACATTGATGGTTATGTTGAATGATTCCACAATTGTTTGAAGAGTGAGGTTGCTGGTTGTTGAATTATCTGGATTTTGACCTTGGTTCCATAGTACAGCAGGATTAGGCTGGGATACTGTCCTTGGTGAGATCGAGTCAAAGGACTGATAGCTCCGTAAAAGATGCTCCATCTCTGACCAAAATCCTGTGTTGAGTCGAATGTTCTTGATATCAATTTGGTATTGCCGGTCTTCTATCAAAGAACCAGGTGTGTGTAAAATGTGATGTTTTTCCGCTATGTGGTAGAGGTCTGCTCTCAGCGGATTTCGACAAAGTGGATTATCAGGCTGTGGAGCAACAGTTATACTATCCAATTCAAAGATAAAACAATCTTGGTGACTCTTGTCTGATTGCGAAAGCATTTGCGGTACTATCAATCTTATGTTCATCATGTCAATATAGAGCATGGGAAAGTTGTAGCGTAACAAATTGTACACAAGCGAGGACTGTCCCTGAGATTGCACTTCAACTGTGGGCGGAGGAGTAGAGATCGGAATACTTTTATCAAAGCTAATATTTATCAAGGGTAAAATTATGTTCAAAAATTTCCCCATGATACTTGGCGAAAAAATAAAGTCAATTGGTTGAATTTTTAAAATCAACTCTGTTATGAATCTATCGTCAGTAAGTGATTGATGCGGGATAACCTGAAAAAAAAATAAAACGAAAATATCAGTAGGTATCAATAAATGGGATGAATTAAAAAAAAGCAAGCAGTTTGTAAAGTTTAACTGAAATACCAGCTTCTGAAGTATTTAAAATAAATTTTCTGAGTACTTGAGAGTGACAGATGCTATAATATCTTGGGTAAATTGAACTTTTTACACTGTAATGACAGAATGATTTAGCAGTAAGTTAGGAAACAAACAGAGCTTAAAGCATTTCGAACTAGCTCGTTACTAATTTCACCATTTTTCCAGAGTAAACCACTGGTGACTAGGGATACCTTGAATAAAATATCCATATTTAGAGTTAGACTCAAAAATATTTATTTGTTGAGTTTTATCCTGAAGTCAGTTACTAAAAGGAAGAACATTTTTACCTCACTGAAAATGCTGGAAGAATTGGCATTTGTGATTTTGGAATGTAGGTGGTTGCAAGATGCGATGGTTAATGTTGCGACGAGGAATCTACTTAGATTCGTGGAATCTTCAGCAAAAGGTCCAGAGGCTGAGCTGGCAGGAATGGCTGAGGGGATTTCTGGCGTTGAGTCTGCATTATGACTTCGCATGACCAGACCTAAAAATTTACCTAGTTTCCATGGATGTTTTACCGATTCTCTGCAAATATGAAAAAAGATCGGGAATTATGAATGGTGACGAGTTTGCGTCTATTTGGATGAAAAATTGAAATCAGCTGCTGAAATCCATGTCAACTATGCTGTGAGAAAAAGTATCAGAGTATTTTTTTCGATTTTTAGTACCCTCTCACTAGGTTTGCAACGATACCAAATTAAATTACCAGAAGTAAAGCTCAACAAAAAAAATCACTTGAAATTAGACTGATTTGATCTTCTCAAACCTCAAAACTCAAAAACTCAAGGGAACAAACCAGCTTTTTTAATTCAAAGTATTAAATCATTCTTCGGGTGCAAAAATTATAATAAGGGGAAATCGAGCAAATCAGACAGAATGATGAGCTCCATGAAAGGGCTTAAATTTTGAAAGATACTTACCTTGTATGATACTGAACACAAGCATTGGATACTTTCAGCTTTACTTTATAGTATACGCTTTGAATATCCATTGAAGTGATAACATCTTCGATATCAAGAACAAGTTTCAAGTTTTCTGATGAAGAAGATGAAGGGACTGTCGACAGTATTAGGGAAAATCGAGCTAATACTAACTGCAACCATGCTGTTAACTTCACTTTTTGAGAGGAATCATCAACCGCAACAGTCAGTTCTGAAAATAAAAAAAAGTTTGTTACCACGAAGTAGCTCATAATTTCACTAGCAAGCAGGGATCAGTGTCCAGAGGCTTACCCTAAAAATACATCAAATTTTTATAATCCACACTATATTCTTCCTGTTTAAGGACTTGTGGTTTGAAAGTTTTAAAACTCTTGTAACTGTTTAATTCTAATTTTCTAAGTCTTGTTCTTGACATCAGAGATAACAGTGCTTGCAGCTCTATAAGGAGGGAAACGGTGCCTGAAGGTAATCTTTTCTTTCTTTCCCTCATTACCGCTTTTTCCTCCTTTTTGTTTTTATTTGGTTTGTATTATATAGTTTGAAAAAAATATTTTGGCACAGGTTATAAGCATATAGATCAGCCAAGGTAACGGCATGTCTCTGAATTACTCAGAGATTCTCACAACAGAGGGAAGAAACTCATTACGAGCAAAATTTTTCCCCTTGCAGTTATACTTTTTTGCACAAAACTAGTTACGTTCATACAGGGAAACAACTGCAGATTAGTTTTAGGTCTCATTGGATCCATCATCAGTAAAGCATTGCCTCCTGATTTTCTGCTCCTACGCTCGGAGAGATTTTTAAAACCCTCATCAAGATTAGGCAAGAGGCTGCAACAGTAAACAAACTTACCGCCACCTAGAGAGCATATTATTCGAACACCATCCATATTTGCTCGACAAGCCGACCTTACAAGAGACATTATCAATGCTGAATATTAGAAATACTCAGCAATCTGTTGATCAATTAACGATAAGAAGAAAATGAATGTAGATGCGTTTCAGGTCTATTTGAAGCCACCATCAGTACAGCGCAGCTTTCTGACTTTCCGCTCCCACTCTCAGAGACATCTTGAAAACCACTAGATGCTCCCTGGAAAATTTTCTAACCTTCCTGATTAAGCGTTACAACGATTACTTCATCCATACAACCCTAATGGGTCACTAAACCATGAACGAATTTTGACTTGCGAATATAGTTTTCTGAAGGAAAATGACGCGTAGAACACGATGCGCACATTAAAAACGCGAACAAGTAACTCAATAACCAAGAAATGCGCAGTTCAAATCGCTCCACTTATACGCCAATTTAAAACGCCCCAGTTTCACGCCGCGCCGAATGTTGTCATCCGGCACCAATCAGAAGCGGGCACGGGTTTCCACGACTTCCGTCAAATGTCTATCTACTCTTCGTACATTAAAACAATACTAAAGTCGAAATTATATTTTTTGAATTCAAGACTTAAATCTCATTCATATGTTAGCTGTAATAAACAAGCAACAATTCCATATTAAAACTCGTTTTATTTTAACAAACATCAGAGGAAAATGAGAGAAGATTGCGATATGACTACCGCAGTGCGTCAACACTGTCAGTTTCCCGCCATTCGGGTGCGTTTAAAATGTCTTGCAGTTTTTAGATTTTTCAAAAGCGGGTTTCTCCGGGATTTCGGCTCCATAAAAATGCTGAAAAATCACCACGTTATCTACTCACATTGTACTTTCAGAATATTCAATAAAATAAACTAGATTTAGTGACCCATTTATTGCAATGTTCTCGGCTCAGAAAACCCCCGAAAAGCTCTGGTCATTGGCAGTTGAGTTGAGTGGAGTACTCGCTCTAACCCATGGGACTTAGCCAAACTTGACTCAAAACTTGAGTATTCACACAGCCCTAATATTAAGGCAGTAACCTCCAGCAAAAGGGAAAAGCAAATTAGAAAACTGAAATCAAGGTTTTCTAGTATTATCTTTGAAATTCTTTTGGGTTCTTTATTCCAGCAGCCAGCACGAAATCTCCTGTAATTCCTTGTTTCCAGTTTTTCTCGTATGCTATTTTAAATTTTCCTGTCAGCTAGTCACCCAATGAACATTACTTTCATCCTCTTCCGAATATATTGAGTCACACAGATACTTACTACTAGAAATATCTTTTGTTACAGCAGAAGCGCTCCTTGATTCTTCACTACCAACTACTGGGGCAGTAGTTTCTCGAATAGGAATATCTTCATTGAGAGGACTCGATGAATCAGTCAGTTTTGAATTGAACAGTACTCTATACACAGCCAGAGATGCGAGTAATAATTCAGTTAGCATTTTGACCTGAGAGAAAATTAAAATAATAACTGAGCCTGGCTAGGATTAAGTAAAAATAGTGAATAAGCCTATTAAATTTTGAAAATTGAAAAAAAATAATGAAGTCTTTTTATTGAGTCTTTAATTCAATTTCTTTTTTATATCATTTTAACATGACTAGCATTGAGATGGGTCAGTTGCGCTAATTAGAGAATCGTTTTTTATTATTTCAGATTATAAATGGCTTTTATCCCAACACCAGGTTTCCACATCCAATAGTAATGGAAATATCATGATAAGACACACTACATATTTACATGTCACAGACTTTGAACAGAGAATTTCGCACAAGAAAGAGATCTAGACAAATTATGATAGTAATCTCCTTGACTGACATACTGACTAAAAATCACAGCCACTCCTAGTCCTATGCTGTTTTTCGAGTAACTTATTTCCCTCTCTGGTAGCACAGCAATTGTGTGAAAATATTTCTTTTTTTAACGGTCTAGAAAGGGAAAGAGTTATAAATACATCAATTACTTTCCAAAATATGCTGGCAAAAGCATTTTTTGGGCGCATTTAACGCGATCATTTTAGCTTACTTTAAACTATTCCACCTTCAGAGAACAAGGAACTCCCACACATGACATACCTGTAACTCAGATATTGACACAGTCACAGGAGACATATCACAATGAACGATTAGACCTAGAGACGATAGTGATTCATCATTTGTGGCACTACGAGGTGCAATACCAACTGTGCATGAAGCTGAAATAGGCTTCAATAAGCTGGTATCGATTCCATTTGAGAAAGTCATGCAGTGAAGGTCAGCGATTTCTAAACTCCATGGAAAGTTTAATTTCCCTGCAAAACAAAAAAAAATTATATTAATTGGTTCAAACTAAAAAGAGACTAAAACCGATACAAATATTCTGAAATTGCTGAGACATACTATCCATTTAAAAATGTCTGTAATGAAATTTTTATTGAGAAAAGTTTTTACACTCTTACAAAGCAATTTTATTGATGATGAGCCTGAGAGAGCCCCCAAGAAATTTTTTCCAATCGTTTTTTGTTTGTTTGTTTGTTTGTTTGTTTGTTTTTTTCTTTTTTTTGCTCTCATCAATTGTGAGAAATTCATGAGACCCATCAAAAAAATTTAACAAAATAAAACTTTTAGAAAAGTATGGAATATTTATCTCTGTTAAAAAGGGGTAATATCATAAACTCAAAAACAGCAAAGCTAAAGTTAATCAGAGCCTTGATTTATAGAAATAGTGGAATTTTTAATTTAAAGCATGAATGTTTGAGAAAAAAATGTCAGAAGTAAAGTATTCAAAAATAAGTATTAAAAACAAAAAAAATTACCAGGTGTCCATAAAGTCTCCGGTAGTTTGACTGGTAAAGAATGAATATATTCCATAATTGAAGTTTTTGTACTACAGCACCTCAAACTGATAGATGGCAGCTTGAAAATGACAACTTCCAAACAACTGAAATCCGGAAGGTTTTTGGCTCCATGGGCTACCTTACTGTACTCTGGAGGACAAGTTTTGCTTAAGTATAATTGTATGATTTGCTCCATGCTAATAGGATCAGATTTATCACTGCGGACATCTTCAAATGTTGTACGGGGAAAATACACTATTAATTGGGATACGTCTCCAGTTATGACAATGCCTTTCCAAACAGAGAATTTGGAGACAATGGTATCAGTCCATGACTGAAAATAAAGCCAAGAAAAAAAGCAAATGTAAAATCAGAAGTCAGATAGTAAATAGATTAATTTCTAATGTAAAGATCATGGTGCTCTAAAAGAACACTCTTCAAAAACGCACATGATTAATATGTAGTACAAAATAATTGATGACTGAAATCGAAAAATGCATGCCTCAGATTGTGATGTTGAAAGTCGCCGCTCATGGTTAATTTTTTGAAAGGAAAACCAACCGAAAGTTTCTTTTGACATTTTTTGTGAATATTTTTCACCCATTCTAAAGAATAACACAAAACCGCAATGAGGCATTTAGGTTAGTTTTCCCTAGAGGAAGATAAGATATTATCAAATATGTTTTATCATTGCAGTTCAGATGCACATTTTTCACATTTAGCCCTATAGTTTTTGAGATAAACAGGAACTTAGCAATCCTATCCACGCCCAGTGCTAACTTAAAAATTGTCAAATGCCAATAGGTATTCAAGCGTAACTTGCTGTCAAACCTGCAAATTTAATTCTGTGAATATTTTCTGTTGAAGGTTGTCACTCTCAACCCGACAAAAAGTCATTTTAGGAACTTTTTACTATTCTTCACTAAGTGTTAAAAAAATTACCATTTTGGAGGTGGAATCACTCTGTTTCAGAATATTGGAATGTGTAACGATTGAAGGGGTTGCTGTATCTCTGCCAGAGCTGCTCAGAGCACTATCTTGCTGGAGCGTTGCTGGAGGAATAGATGCTTTGGAAGCTTGACTAGCACTCAAGTTAGATTCTGAAACTTTTCTGGTTAATAATCCACTGAAATGCAAATAGAGCATAATGCTTTTTCAAAAGTAGTAAACAGAGAGACATAATCCAATTTCCGCTTTGGCTTTCCAAATACAAAGCTTTTTAAATGAAAAACAATTGATTAACTGACCGATTAGGCAAACAATATGATCAGCGCTGAAGTAATTCATTCAGTGTTTCTTCTTAAAAAAATTTTATGCAAAAAACAGAGTTAACAAGACACGTTTTGGCAAATAGCTTTTTGCCTTATTAAGGAATACTCTTGACAATGTACAGATGGATGATGTCAATCAGGTATTAAGCTTCCAAATGGAACGGTTGTTAACAGTAATTGTTGAAATCTGTTTCAAGAGTTGGTTTTGAGGTTTTTTGCTAGGTGTTCTAATTAAATTTCTGTGATGGTAACCAGGGATTCATCAGACAAGATTCAAGCTCAACAATAAATTCTTTTGTACTGTTTTGTTGTAGATAAAAGGACTCATAAAAAATCACCTAAAAGTCTGCTAAGAGAATATCAACGAGCTGACTATCAGTCATTTACATTGCTAATTGCAGCCAAGATATGACAAAATTAGGAACATTAGTGAGACTTACCTAGAAGAATTTTGTCCAGGCTTTTTGGATGGTAGACCTGTGGTTGATGGTTGGTACAATAACCATGCATACAACAGAGGATCAACAGACATTTGCATGTGTCGGATGACAAAACAGAGGATAGGGGCATATCGTTGTTCATCAGTGATTGGGACTTGTAAGACCACTGGAAAATTACACAAGAGCAAGTATAAGTAACAATCCATAATACAACGGTTACATGAAAAAAAGAAAAATGTACTTTACAGCGGTCCTTGACCAATTTTTAAATTAGGTAGCTTCTTCAAAAATTTAAAAGATATTATTGGCATTTCAAGTATGCGATGCATGATTACTAACATAAAGCAGAATCGCATATCAATGGTAAAACTACAAAAACACGTATCTTGATTGCTATGTTTCAGAATCTCTGCTCCTATTTGATTTTTTTAAAAAAAGACTAAACCAACGCAATGGCTTGAAATTTTCCCAGAATATTCTTCACCTCTAGGAGAAAAATTACCTAAATTTTCAAAAAATATCGACAAGTAGTTTTCTACCTAGAAAATAAAGTATGACAGGAGATCTGCAACGCCGCAAACCAGGATGCATTTTTGCAGTTTCACCATTGATATGCAATAAATAAAAAGAGCAAAACAAGTTTTGTGTAAAAAACCTAGAATTCAAACTAGAATTCAAGGTCAATTTCTAAAAGATAATGAGCCAGTTGAAGAGGTCTTGAGGTCAAGGTTCCAAATTATTCATTAACGGTTTCTTACAACTTGCGATTACAGACGTGTAGTTGATTTTTTTTACACTTCATTCTCAGTCGTTGAAGTTCCATACAATGAGGTCACCGTGTACTGCATTTTGAGTTCTTTGAAAAATAGTCAATTCAATAAAGGCTTCTCTAAATTGGACATGACATGCATGGTTTGAAAAACTAATTTTATTATTTTCACTACTCACCTTCGACGATAGGTTCGTTGTTTTCAGGCACCAAGGGAGCGCCAAAAATCATAGCTTTGTAGCAAGTGTTACAATCTGAAGCAAGCTTCTCAATGAAAGCTTGCAGTTTATGGACGGAGAACTTAGCACAGTGACACAAATTGGTTTCAATGAACTCAGTCTGGACATTAAAAATACTTACATCTAATAAAACAGCACCTGTAAAATTGAAAGGAAAAAAAAGGTTAAAGGAGAAAAATCGCAGAAATAAGAAAAAAGAGAATCTTAATTTCAAAATTTATTTACATATGAGTTTCTATGGAGTATACTAATGACAAATTCGGGAGAGATGAAAATATTTCAGAAGGAATATTATCTGGTATTTTAACTTTAATTGAAATTACAAGCAAAGCACACTAAAGAAATATCTCTATTTGATCATCTAAGTAACTGGATTAATAATGGTCCATGGTGCACATGGTATATTACGGTAGGAGAGTGCGCTAAACCTCCAGAATAAATGACTTTCAGATCATCCCTAAGATTGAACTGAAACAAAATATCAGAACATTACTTCATTTCTTTCCTAACATTACTTCAGAATAACAAGGAATATAAACGATGAAATGAGTAAAATTAAATTCATGTGAGTAAAAATAATGAGCACCTAATAAAAAAAGGAATTACCTGGTAAAATTTGCACATCAGTGACCAAGGAGGTATCGTGGATTAATTTTAGACATTGATAAAGTTTCTGTTTATGATTACTGAACATCAAGGATGTCAAAATTTGGCAATAAACTATAACACTAGCCTTTGAGCAGGTAAGAATGATACTCTCTGGAAAATGAGAGAAAAAAAGAAGAATTGTGGATTAAGAATATTGAAGACGGTCTTAAATTTGATAATCATGATCTGAAAATAAATTAAGACAACTTATAGATACGTAACCTAATGATTCCAAAAATCAAACTCATGGAAGATAATTACTGACACTGGTAACAGACAAAAATTTGGATTAAAATAAAACTGACACTGATAGCTGGCAAAGAATTTGGATGGTATGAACTATAATCAGCCTAACTACATTTTACATTGCCTAATCATCTCTCAAGTTTTTTGGCAGGAATCCAAGAAACATAACAAAATTAAATTCATGCTCCTGCGGCGCAAAACTTCTTGTGAGTTTTCTCAAGATTAAAAAGAGTAAATTCATGGCATGCAATTCCATACAGGGAACTTCTGAGTGTAAAATCACTTGAAATGATACACAGAAACTAAAAAAAAATGTTCCTTTTTTCCAAATGCATTTTGACTGACTTCGGGGTTTTACTGTTTTTTAGACTAGGGAAACGTTTTACTTGATTTTTGCTGTGTCTTTTTGCTTCCGGTTTTTTTTTGTTTTTTTTTTTTATTAATTTTTGTTTAAATTCTCAGAATTTTAAAAGCTCAGAAACTGATGCTTGATCCTTCTTGGAATTGCGCAAAACTTATGTTCAGCTCAATCATTATAAAGAGAATCATCCTTGATATCTACTTACCAATTTCAAATTTTACATCTTTTAAGATTTCTTCTGTGTTTTCGATTAATTCCTTGTCTGAGAGTCTCACATTAATCGATACATTGTTGATCTCTAAAATTTTCAGTGTTTTCCCTGGATTCACAATCAAACTAGAGCCAAGACCTAAAACCTATTTAAATTAAAAAAATAAAATAAAATAAAAAAATAAGAACAGATGGAAGATTTTTACCACTTATCAACAAATCAAATACAAAATATTGAATTCTTTATCTGAAAAAACCCAAGAGAAAACTTCGCGGTTTTCAAGATGTTGAAGTTAGGTTTACAATCCTTTTTATACATCGCAGCGTCATTATACTGCTCCCATGCAGAATTGGAAACAACTATACACATCAGCTTGCATAGTTCATACCGTAGAATGCAACAAAGCCACTATCTTATTTTCGCCAAAATTGTCAGTTAGGTGGTATTTTTTCTTTGGCCATCGATATGCCATTGACTGAGAAAAAAAGTGCAGTATTATTAAAAAGTTGGCAATCCAAAAAAAAATGATAAAATTTCAAAACCTACTAAAATATAAATAACACACGGTAAAACAAAGTAATGTCTTTGTAGTTAATGTTAGAACAATATAATGCTCACTTGAGTCAAACTCTGGCACTCATCCTGGCTCATTATAGGGACGACATATGTGCCATTGATTTCCTTCTGCAGATGCAGATGCTTTTGGGAATAAGCTAGAAACAGTAGTTATTTGTTGCAAAATGTAGTCCATTTGATGGCGACTGACCTTGACTGATATGAAGGTTTGAAGAGCATTTAACAGTGAATTTGGCAACTTTTCCCGTAAAGAAAGGAGAGTGTAGACTATTTGCTTCAACCGGAGAGGGGTTGTCATTTTACCATCCAGACACTGCCACTCTAATGTAAACCTGGGAGGGACTACATCTGAAGAACCGGGGAGAACGCGTTTCTGGACTTTGGATATTTTCTGAAAGAATACAGATACAATAAAAGTCAGAGAAAGTCGAGAGATACTCTGATTATTTGATACTTAGGAATCAAATGATGAGAGGATCAGTTACGCTAGATTAATGCACTAAAAACCGCAAAAAAACTAACAAAAACATAAGGAAAATTAAAAACCCTCCCCCCCTCCCCCAGGCTTGCCGCAATACTGATTTGGATTTGAGAAATGGGAAAAACGTAAAGAGTTATGAAATGCATAAAATTTTGCTTTTAACCTGAAAGAGGCTACAAAAAACAACAATTTGAGCTTAAAAATGGGGGGGGGGGAGGCTCTAATATAAAATATTAAACCAAACAGCAGAGTGTCTACTAAAATAGGCTGGTCAAAAATAAGTGCTTTAACAGTATTTTTTCATTCCATTCTCAAAAAATTCAGTACTTCCTCCAACAGAAAAATTCCGTACTTTTTCAGTACCTCCCATTTGACGAAATTAGAAAATTTTAAAAAATTTGAAATTGTGACAAAAAAGACAAAAATTTTAAAAAATTCTGGACCTTTTTGCGGAATTTCCTCACTTTTTCAGTACTTCCGGACCGCCCAGTACTGTTTCCTGACTTGTAGACACCCTGAACAGTCTGAAACTTTGCATCGATCCTCTTGAGACCCACACACAATGAGTCAAAGTGACAAAAAGTACCCGTTCAAAAGAACTGAAAACATCTTAAACCCAAATCTCTCTTTTTGAATTTGTGTATGGTTCCAGATGAAAAATAATTAACTTACTCTTTGTCTGACGGAGGAGACTGGAGGATGAGAAGCAGCATAAATTTCAAAGACTGGATTGAAAGCAGTAAACTGGACAACATTCTGAGGGATATTACCTCCTAGTACACACAGCAATTCTTCTTCATTTAACTTTGGTAAGGCACTTTGACTACCCATGGAATCTAATAAAAACAAACCGAGGAATGAACAATTAGCAGTTTGTAAAAAAAAAGTAACAGCATCACATACCCTTTCCATACAGACAACTCAATAGGCAACAAGACAAGGTACTAATTTTGGCACAACACAACATATTATCTCGTCAAAATCTTATCTAAGGAACGATTCACAGAATACAAAGTTGGGAGAACAACTGCTGAACGAGGTATTAATGAGTATTTTTAACACCAATGAAGGAAAGCTAAATTGCACAAATGATATCAAATGATCACCAATATTATCATTCGTATTCTTGTCATTTTAACCAATTACAATTGAAAGCCATTATATCTTTTTAGGAGTTGATTTCCAGACTTTGCTTTGTGTGATTCATTAACTTAATGGAATTTTAAAGAGATAGTAGGTTGCATCGTGCTGTAATTCATAGCTCATCTAGAGGTCTGTTCTTCTTTTAACTTGATGAAATTAAACAGATATTTTACTTGCTAATGCTTTGCAGATATCTGTAAAAAACTTTTAAAATGACAGGTTTCCATGCATTTTTCAGAATTCATTCATTTATTAATTGAAAATTAAGTATACGAACAGCCTTTGAAAATCCTGATTTTCATAAATTTTCATACTTAAAACTGGATACGCTTAAAATTTATTCAAGCTTTCAAGGTGAACAAGAAATAACCAAAAAAAACCATGGTTGTATCTTTTTGTTCTCTTTTCAGCCTGATTTCAAAACAGTTTGTCTTGTAAAAAAAAGGATATGGTGAAAAGTATGAATTTAAAATTATATTAGAGTGCGTAAATTTGGAACAAAGGTTTCAGCTCTTTAAGCGCTGATGGTGAAATTATGGTGCATTCATGTAAATAGTTTAATTAAAAACTAGAGAATGTGATGCACAGTAATTCTCTTGAAGCAGAGACAATTCCTGCGATTGCTCACCCTGCCTGGCAGCAAAAAAACTGTAAGGTTGGTAGTCATATAATGTTGAAATGAAATGGATTCTTTGTAGCCTATGAATTAAACCGGAGTTCAATCTAATTAGTAACGGTCCAATAATGATCCGAGTGAGCACTTTTTCTTCGTTGATCCTGAAAATGTAACCAAGATAATCAGGATATTATTAATGCCAATGGAAAATTTGAAGGAGGAAATTGTATTGCTTTTGATGAGAATGTTTGATATGCTGACAGTATTTTTGAATACTTTTTCAAAAATGAAAAATTGAAGAGAAAAGAAGTCAGAAATTTTACCACCCTGTAACATCATAGGATCGCACTTCCCATTGAAACACAAATACTTAAGCAGATTTGATCATGCAGTAATAATTCGTTTTCTAAGAGTTTAATTTAAAAACCGAGGCATTTTTCATGCTCAGTTCACTCAGTAATTTAAATTTATACTCATTGATTTTCGGATGTTTGGAATTCATTGAAATTTAAACACTTGCAAATTCTCCATCATGAAAATCACAATTTACAAAAACAACTGCTCATTGATTCTTACAGTATTCACTTTTCAAGATTAGGTATGCAATTTTTCCTGCATCTTTTCTTTAAGTTCAGTCAACAGGAATAAAGATTGAGAAAGATCATATTTGCAGGGAAACATTTAAAGGAAACATTTGCAGAAGGATGGCTGAAGTTAAAAATGCGTACTTTGGATTGTAAAATTGTAAGTCTCCGCTCTTGTATTATTTTTTTAAGAACAACTGACCAATGATTTCAGTTAAAATTTTCTGAGAATCTGTTTTACTCATTCTAAACATCACACTTAATTGCGAGGAATTTGGTTGATTTCCTTTGGAGCAAATAGAACAAAATCAAATATTTTTAAACGTTGGAATTGATAAACACTTTTCGCATTAAGCCGTCGAAATAAAACAAAACTGAGTTGAACTTCATATTGACAGAAAGCAGGATTTCAATTTTACTTACTCGTGCTCTTCTTCATTGATGTCGAGGACATGGGTGTTTTCCACTACAAACAGATAGTCGACAGCAAGGGCAGGTGTACGTTCTAAAAGCGAAGTTTCTGAGAACATAAAGATGGGAATAAGGTGAAACATCCAAAAGAATCTTACTAAACTTGAAAGGTAGGAGAAAATGTAAAATCAGGACTAAATAGTCTGCCAAGACCAAGAAAATTACATCAACTAACCTACTACTGCATTCTTGAAGCGGTTTGGGCTGAAGATGGTGCAGTGACCATACAAAGATAGAAGAGAGGGTTTAAGATACGACATCTTTAGCAATTATAGATGAAAATGAAAATGAGGAGTTTGTTTTGTTGACTTTCTTTCTCGCACTTTTAAGCAAGTGCTGCATTTTCATCCGATTAACGCCCTAGATTCTTGCTTAAAATAAGAGCTGCGCATTCCTCCATCGTTATCAAACACTATTTTGTCGTCTCTCTATCTTGCACTCGAAGGAAAGCGGCATTTCTGTCCCATCAAAAGGGTGGCCTTGATTCTTCTGCGAAGAAAGTAGTGCACATTTCTCCACGCCAGTCATACGCTGTTTTGTGGTCTATCTCTCTAAATCTCTCCAGCGGGTTGATTATTAAAACTATGTCAGCAAAACAAGTCAAAACATAGCCCTATTTTTACGATCCAATACATCAAATTTCACTGTCCTATCAAGCTGCTTTAAACTTTCAATAACTGGTCAAGCACTGGTAGGCAAGCACGGTATTTGCGTCCTATCGTTTCCTATGCAAAACAAATAGTGCTTATTCCTCTGCGCCCGTCGACACAGTATTACTCTTTCGGTATACAGCTGTGTCAAGCATGCAGCTGTCACATGAGAGTAACTGAGACAATAAAAGCACACCTTGGGTTTTTGGTTTCTTTCCTTTAATCTGATTTCTTTGCCTTGTTGTTACTATAGCTTGTGTGTCATGTGTACATTTTATCATTTTCAGAATCTATGGTACATCTACAAGGACCTTACTTCAACATTAATACTTTAAAAACTAAAAACGACCAGCAATATTCACTTTTGCAAAATGCAAAGGCATCAGTTTGTTGACGTTTCAAAAATTTCTAGCTCTTACCTGTTACAAGACTTAAATGCGCATTCCATTCTATTGGTATATCCTCAGGGATAACAGAGGAATTTTTGAACAAGGATCCATTCAAAAAATCTTGTTGGATTCGGCCCGATGAAAAATATGGTACCTAGGAGATACAAAAGTACAAAATAAGTACGAGAGTTAAAATATAATAAGTAAATGAACTTACAAGAAGATGAAAAAATAAAATGGAGTGGTTTTATGGGGTTTTAGAAACATCCAAACATAAGCTGAACGTATCGATTGAGCATTAGAGATAAGGGTGAAAGAGCAAAAAAGAAATACATTAAAAAAAAATTAAGGATATACCTGGTTCATTTCAGATGACCCGCAACAGCAGTCTCCAACAGGTTCGATTGAAATGTGACTGACCCCAAATTGTGCATTTGACCAGTTGGTATTTACAGAGATTAAGTTGAAGAAACTGCCATTGAGCCAAACTTGTAGGCATGGCTGATATACCCGTTTAGATGACTTACTAGTCTCATTATTTTCCAACTAAAAATTAACAAAGATTGAAACCTAATTAAATTATTTTTTTCCTTGTTTTAACAACAAAAAATAACACTTCCAGATTAATTATGAGCTCAAAAAAATTTAAATCGCAGTTGACAGGCTTGAGCTGTCGCATCCATAAACAGATCTCAAGAGCTTAAAATCTTTAGACATTATTGATTGAGTTTTGCTGATTTATGTAAGGACATACAATCTCGTTAACTCAATGAGAAGAACTGCCAGGGATTATATGACTATTTTACTATCAGCAACTCTATCTTGCTTCACAATATTGCTACTATAAAGATAACTTTGGCTTATCCAGTGATCCAGTCTTCAAAAATACCAACAAAGTTTTGACAGTAGAAATGAGAAAAAAAACACTAAGAAGTGGCCCGAACACTGTATGTAACAAGGTGGAGAAATGGTGCTGGGTCCACACCATTTCACGGGGAAATCAAAGCCAAGAAGTTCCAAAAATTATAATTAGGGTCAAAAATAAATTTTCTAACTAATTTTGAATTTATCAGTGTACCATTTAAATGAGACGACAACTCTCTTTTCCCTACAGCCCTTCATAAGCCTTTGAGTTGGAGGGATAATTTTGCTATTTCATCATTTTTAGAGCCAAAAACTATTGTTACACAAAATGAACGCATCTCCACACAAAACACTATAATTTCTATGTATTCTTCTCCAAAGTCCATATTTTGACCGTGTTTAACCGAGAGGAACCAAGCCACATCAGCTATTGCCAAATTTAAATGGGCAATTTTATATTTTATGTCAGAACTTTTGTGCGGATTCCTTTGAAAATTTTAAGGAATTTGCTTCGCTATATGGAGAAAATTCACTAAAATTTGCACAAAAATCCGCACAACGATTTTCAGGTATAAAATTAAATTGCCCAATTAAATTTGGCAATAGCTGATGTGGCTTGGTTCTTTTCTGTTAAACGCGGTCCATTTAAAAGGGAGGGAATAATTCAAATCGACCTGAGAATTTGTGAAGTGTAATAATCAATTGAAGAGGATACACAATTCCACACCTTGATGACACAGCTGAGAGAATCGATGTAAATACCAAGATGTAATCTGTGTGAAAAATTAGCCAAAAGTGGTGAGTGCGAGGACTCGTCCATATCATTTTGAGGTAGAATTTGAGGCACCCAACTCCACAACCAACCACTCCATGATTGTAGCTCTCCATCTGAAATGAGGGAAAAAAACTTGTGCTCTAGCTTTTAACGTGTACTTCGATACAAACTCTTGACATTCGTTAATTTGTAACATATTGGTAGTAGCACTTAATTGAACTTGTTAGATAGGTATGTAGCCAAAGTGCTAAAAGAGTGTGCAAGTGTTTATTTACATAAAATTGTTTTATTGATATAGTTTTTGGTCAAAGCTTTTCAGCACATTGTCATCTTCAGGACCTTTGTATTGAGAGAACAAACTTTAAATACATTTGTTTGTTTTCTCAATACAAAGGTCCTGACAATGGCAATGGACCACTAGACAAGGTACGAATTTAAGCGATCTGATACATGTATCTTCACCAGAATTTCACGTAGAAAACGATTCACACAACGAAAATGACGGAAACCAACTCCTAACGAAGATATTAACGTTTTTATTTCACATTGGTTACGAGGAATTTGAACTGCCCGCTCACAAGAAACTCAAAACTCTACGTGAGTCAAATCGCCCACTACAACGGTTTCAGCAAGCTTCTCAATCGAGCAATGTTCATTTCACACCATGTGTTGTTCAAACTATGAGCAATTTGCTATAACTGAGCCAAAGCGTCAAGATTGAGGTTGCCAGATTTTTATATCGCAGAGACTGTCATGATAACTTTTAGCGCGCGATGTGAATCACGTAGACCATTGAGTTTTCATGAGCGGGTGGTTTGAATTCACGCATTAAGAATCATTAAATATCTTCGTAAGGAGTTAATTTCGGTAATTTTTGCTGTGCATATCGTATTCTACGTAAAATTTTGGTTAAGAAACATGTATCAGAATGCTAAAATTTGTACCTAATCTAGTGGTCCATTATGCCGAAAAGCTTCGACCAAAAACTACATCAAGAAAACCATTTAATGGAAGTAAACACTTGCACATTTTTTTAGCACTTTGACTACACACCTACCTTACAAGTTTTTAACATTCAGTTTGTAGAATAGCCATATAAAAGGAGAGGTATCGATAAGGGTCATTTTTGGGCCTACCATAAATTTCCTGAACTCTACAATATTTTGCTCATTGATAGTCTATATTTATGGAATGAATAATAACTTGTTCATTTCAGTTCTCTTTTTAGTTGTATACTGGCCTAGACATGAATCTCAACGTCGAGTTCAGTGAAAGATACGAGTTCTGAGGTACGCGGGCAAATGCCAAAAAATCCGCATATTCCACCAAAATAGCCCTCAAATCCATGTTTAGACCAGTATAAGACCTAAAACGAGACCGAAAATGACCAAATAATGATGTATTCCGTAAAAATATAGACCTATAATGAGAAAAAATCGCAGAGTTGAGGAAATTCAGGATGGTCCCACTATCAGTCCTTATCGATACCCATCCTTTACTTGTTATCTGCCTAGTAAAGGAATACATCCATTCTGAAACAGAAAGCAACTTTACTTACCAGAAACCCCTTCATCAATGCTGGAGCCACTTCGTAAGTTTTTATTTTCGTTATCCGGTAAACATTCTTGAGCATCTGATGGAGGTGGTTTTTGTCGCAAAGATAATGCAAGAATTAATAATCTCATCATCATTGTGACCTTCAGGAACAAAACAAAAGACACCGCATAAGGGTTTGAAAACAGAGCATTGGAATAATGAAAGATTGTAAGTTGGTGCAGAATATGATTTTTAGCAGTGCTTGAATAGTAAAGCCAACGGTGTTCAAATAAATACTCGGTGCTCGGTGCACTGCACCTATGATGTGAGTATCTGTTCACAATTTCAAACCAGCTTTTATTGACATACATCAATAAACAATGACATTTTTTATGCTAAATTTATATTAACAACAATGCAAAAAAAGTCTGTGGTTGATGCCTCATTAAAAACTGCGATTACAAGCAATAATTAATCTAGGTAGTTCATACAATCGAAAAATATTTTTGGTAACAAAAGAAATATTGTTTTTCTTTTGAAACTTGTGTACCATCTTATATTTTTCCACAATCCTAAGAGGAATCTAAGGAAGGATACTAGCAAGCCTTCCAACAACCTCCTTGTACTCGTTAAAAATGTCTGGGCTAGCATAAAGTTTTCTATTTGATTTGAATAAAATGCTTGCAACAATACCTGAGGTTCACTTATAGTAAAAGACAAAGCACTGCAAAATATATCCAGTCTTGAAAAACTAGTTTTCCTTGATTTGGCATTGGGCTGAAAACGACACAACCGAATCGTCATTGAGCAACGATAAAGTAAAGGCTCCTGAAAAAAAGAGAACAGTTCAGACTAAAATCAGGCTATGAATGATTTTCACCGACAGAAAATTTAACAGGCACAGAAAAAGTTGAGAGAGAGAGAGAGAGAGAGAGAGAGAGAGAGAGAGAGTAAAATATCTCCCAAAACTATCACAGTGAGGGTGAAATTAGAGACCGCATTAATACCTTTCTGATGATCGCATATTTTGACAAGGAAATTTTAGAGTTTGTTCTCCTGACCAAATAAACATTTTTGTAGGGGGAAATACCTCTTTCTCCTTCTTTCCATAAAAAAAGAATACTTTGAATGGTGAAATGCTTCAAGGAACCTGAAGTTTAAAACAAAAGAAAAAAAATAATATCTGTATGGAGTCCATTTTTTTCACCCTGTACCAACAAATGTACTACCCTGTGAAAAGAACGGTATATTGTCACCTTCCAGGCAAAGTATCACAAGCGCCATGCGACCTTTAAAAATTTCCGCCGCCATTTTATTTTTTTACAGAGAAATTGTTCAACGAAGCTGTCCGAAAATTTCACTAAATTTTCTTTGTGCTGCCGATAAAATTTAGTGAAATTTCCAAACAGATTCAACCGACAATTTCTCAGTAAAGAAATAAAATGGCAGCAGAAATTTTTAAACGTCGCATGGCGCTTGTGATACTTTGCCTGGAAGGTGACGATATGACCTTATCCATTATGGAACTGCATCTCATGATCTCTTCCATTGTGCATTCATCACAGCGGGAAAATGATTACGGAAGAGAGCCGCAAGCCTGTGTGAGCCATGGTTAGTGCATGCAATCATATGTGCCTCAAAGCTCATCCCAGACTCCACTTACAACTCTCTTTCATAACTTGGCAGACTGAATGATACGCAAATTCCTGCTGGTTACTCGATTAATAACACTGGTAAAACCATACCACCACTTCCGTGGTTGATGTGATATACATTTTTTTTTAAGAGCAGTATCTCCGTTGATATTGAACATCCAAAGACACTTGACATGTCGAAAGATTTTATTTTTTTTGCTTTTCTGCGATTTACAGTCAATAGAACACGATTTGAGACCCACTCCTATTACGATCCTCATCAAAATAAAAAAGAGTTTCACCAGCAACTCACTAAAAATGATTCTATCCGGCCAGAAGCATTCCGTTTATCCAGGCATATAGTGATGTCGGATACTGTCATCAATTTCCGTAAAAACTGTTGCATTGGATTCATATCTGGAACAGATGGACCATATTTTTTAAATACTAATGAGAATAAAACGATTCATCATTGTTTCTCTTCTTCTATGGTATCCTCCCCTTTCCAAAATGGGAAAGCTTGGCAAAATTATTCGGTGACTTTTGATAACCAACTTTTGACAGACCAATGAGAGAGGACCAACAAACTAAACAACCAGTTGCCAAAAAAGTGAGCAATACTGAGATTTGAATTTTTGAGAGTATATTTTTCATAATGTAGAGTTATTTACAGAAAGTCTAAAGGTATTAAGTAGTTTAGTTCTCTGTTGGAAAAATAAAACTCAGAGAAAATAAGGCAACATAAAATGCAGTTAGACTAATTTCGATTGAATTTGTTCAACCACTGGTCAGAAAAAAAAATAAAGGGAAAAAATTGTGTTCTTCCTTTGTCAGTGAGACAAGACGAAGTTTAAAAGAGAGCGAAGTCAAAAGAAAACCATACCCAAAAACTCTGGCTCCCAATTTCCATTGACGCTGAGCATACTCAGGGTCTTGACATTCATTGAGAAAACAATATCTTCCTCGACATATTTTAGAATGATATTATTGCATGTTATGCTAACATTGTACAAAATTTTACTGATGAACGCAGACATGGACGAAGGTGGAGCGACTTCATCTTCTATCTGAGATCTGCAATAAAAAGCATTAGATATTACAGATATTTCTCTGAACGAAATAATTCTACCATGTCATGCTTCTATACATTGTATAGATATAATTGGATAGTTTGCTTTGAAAACTGCCGAACTGTACTGCGACATTGCTAACATTTTAATTTTCATGAAAATATCAGCAAATATGTTTCATAGAAACGTTCTTCAATTTTATTTTCTACTTTCAGCAGAAAATATTGTACTATTTTTCAAATAGTATCATTTTTGGTTTACTTAGTACTGAAGAAAATATGAAGGATAGAAAATCACAATAGAGTTATGCAGTTTCTAAAGCAAGCCGTTCAATTGCTGCATGGTGCGGTTTAAGTCCGCAGAAAATGTAGATAAACTTGAAGAGAAGTGCCTAAACCAAAAAAAGTTGGATTTATCAAAAACACTAAAAATGATAAGGGAAGAGGTGAACCACTTTGTAGGAAAATCGAATTTTCCAGACAAAGCTTTTTTAGGACTAAAACAGGCACTTTTTGGAAAATTGATTTGCAAATAGGTAGAAAGTTACAGGAAAAAATTAAGATCATTCTCGGCTTCAGCAGTCAAAAATACAGAGGTATGGCTCACTGAAACACATAGGAAAAGTAATTTATTGTCTCTTTTAGAAGCATAATGAACGAATAAGATTCACATTGAGTAATTGGCCAGATTTTGTTGTTTGACTTTGAAAATTTTGTTATAAGAAAGAGCAGGAAAAGTTTTTAGGCATGTCATAGGGATATGTTTAGGTATTTTTAACTGTTGGGTCTAAAAATACCTTTCATGCTTTCCCAGCTTTCTCGAGTTTTCTAAAAAAATCCTATTTTCCAGGAAAACTAAGGACTGCATTCGTTGTGTTCGCCTCCTTTCCTATGGACCCCCCCCCCCCCCCCCCTTTATGGTTTACATTATGATTGAGGAAGGTTTAAGGAGGTTTAAACGTTTCACCATAGACAGGAAAAGTATTCACTCAACTCAAGTGAAATTCATCAGTTTGACTGCAGAAATAGATCCTTAAGAGGGGTTACTTAAATTTTCCACCTCAAAAAATTGAATATGTGAAAGAAATTTTATTGCAAATTTTGAAGTAGGGTCTACCTGCCTTCAAGTTTGTCAAAACCATGAAATATTTTCTTTTGTACTTTATCTTTTTGAACGCATAAAAATATATCACTTACTTTCTGCTTTTACTTGGGGATTGTGTCCCTTCAGATCCAGGAGGTTTTAGCTTCACAACGCACTCTGTCAACAAACCATAGGAAAATAATTTTACTACTCAAAAAGCCACACAAATTTTTTCCCTTTCTAAGAAAACTGGTTTTAGTGTGAAATTTGATAAAAACACCCCATCTTAAGTTTTCGTATAAGAAGTACACCTCGTTGAGGATTAAGTAGAAAAATTATTACCTCTGAAACGTAAATATTTGTGAAATTTTGGTTCTTCCCCACGTTTCATCTCTTTTTTTCTAATGCGATTTTTATATTAAATTATTTTAAAATTATTGCATTCAGCCAATAAGGTGGCTCCCCCAGGAGCCCATGAGCATTTTTTGGTATTCTCATGATTAAACTTGGTTCCTTTGTTCTATAGTTTTATTAGTATTTTGGTGTATTTTCTGAGGGCAATATACTATATTCTTCCGTCAGCTGCTCACCCTACCTCCCGCAACCATTCTCCTCCTGCCGGCCAGGTTTGCCTAGTGGTTAACGCCTCAGACAATAGGTCAATAGGTCCCAAGTTAAAATCCTGGATGGCAAAAAATGTTTGTAGAATTGAGGAGTGGATCTGCTGAAACAGATTCCTCTTAGCACTAATCCCTGAAAATTTTAAGGTCTGAATTGGGGCTGCATCTATACATTCTGGTATACTCTATATCCTCAGGTAGCTGTAGGTATCTAACAGAATAAAAGTAAAAAAAAAACAGCCCAAAAAAATATTCTCTTCCCCTCATCTATTCCTATCCATCTAACTCCCCCCTCTCTCTCACTGTCACTCCTCGATTAAATTGGGGGGGGGGGCTGGAATATATTTTTAAAAAAAGTGCAAAAACATCTTTTTAAGCTAGTTCAAAGATTTGTTTTTTTGTTGTTTCTGTTTTCCAAAAACTAAATGCGTTTGCATGATTTTCCTGAGAACAATTACAGGCCTTGTCTCCACGAGCCGTTTCGCGAGATTTGTCTTAGGGAAAAATCCCACTTATGAAGTTGGGAAAAATATTGAGTAAATCAATATTTTTCCCAGTACCAAGTATGGTACTTGTACCCCTAGGACCCACTGAGAGAAGAAGAAGAAGTGAAAACGAATTGTGCGATATTTTATTCATTACTACATTGTTCATGTTTGTTTAGTTAAAAAATGTGTCTAATTGTCAATTGAGTGCAATTATTATTTTAATCCCGGTCAAATACTCGACTTAATTTATCTACTAACTAATTTATCTTCCCGCGCAAATTAGTCGCAGGGCTGCAAAGAGCCCCGTCCCGTGAAGACGGTAACTGGGAAAAATCCCAGAAGTTTCATTCCTGCGATTTGAACTGGGGAAAAATCCCATGAAAACGTCCCGTGGAGACAAGGCCTTAGAAAGGACAGACAGTTTACCAATAGTGTTGATGGTGACAGACACAGGTTCAGAACCAATTCTTGTCCATGGGACATGAATGAGTAATTCATGAATATGTCCACTGATGAAAGTAAAAGGAGATTGCAGTTCCTTTTCAAGTGCTTCCAAATCCAAATCCAAATTATGGAAAATTCCATCTCCTTCCCATAGAGAGACCTGAAAGACAGCAGAAAAATCCTGATATTACCTAGAAGTGAAAATTGCCACTTATGGAAAGATGAAAACTATCCTGTAGCATTAATAGCAGTTCCTAAATAATGCGATGATGAATTTAACAGCTCGGCATACTTGAAGGGCTTGGAGGACAAGGCGCATAAGTCCAGTTTTTGAAAAAATTGAGTTATTAATGATTTCAGGTAAAACTAGTTTTAATGCGTATTATGTGACAAATTCGCTGCCAAATTCCAATTTCTAAGCATCAAAAGGTCAGTTTGAACTTTCTTTCCCCATGAGGATCCATGTAATTTCGATGATTACACACTTCAAGTTGTCATAGACCTAAATGATGGAGCACATAGCAAGGCAGATAAGGAAAATGCATTTGACAAACCTGAGCATCTTGCCGTCTGAAATTTTTGATGAATCGGTCTACATAACTGAGAATAAGCGAAGTTACATATGATTCAATACGAAACATGCTGTCTGTTTTTCAGTGGTCTGGCAAGCCTGAAAATAAGAGTAAGCATTCCATTAAACCTTTGACAAAAAGTTTGTAGGAATTTTAATGAAGTCCAATGATGAAAGTTATAATGAAATTGAGGACTTATAAAACCCTAAGGGAAACTGAAATTGATTTTTGGAGGAGATCAGGAGGGATTTCTATAGGGAAGCATGATTGAGATTTGAAAGTGCATGAAAGAAAAAAAGTTGAAAATGACAATGTGCACAATAACATTTCCAAAGAGTTGACTTTGTAAAGGGCTTTTTTTTATCTGAACCGCAGAAGATCGCTACGGAACGCATCACTTTTTGATCCTGTTCCACTGGCGCGTTCCAGTGGAAAGCTTGAACCGCTCTTCTGAGGTGGGTTGAGGTTGGGTGTGGCCGCAGTTAGGCCGGTTGAACCAGCCCGAGGCGCTACCATTGCATTCCATGGATAACAAAAAGCCCCTAGTTCATGAGCACAGGATTGCAGACAATGGGTTACACAAAAAAATTTAAGTTGGATTCCTCTTGGAGGGAAGCAACATGGACATTCAGAGAAGGTTGTTCGTAAAGGTGAGGAGGGATGGTCGGGCAGGAGTTGAGGTGGGAGTTTCATGGGCGTACTTTGATATTCGTTTACAGAATTTCCATGATTTCTTCATTGGATGATTTCCTGACTTGATTTACTTTTCCCTGACTCCAAAATTTCTGAATTCCTTGACTTGTTCCGAACTTTTTCTGACCTTTGGTCAAAATCTCCACCTGAATTGTTTGTCATTTGATTCCGCCGAACCATCGGTCTTACATTAAAATGTTTGCGATCCAACAAGTGTGATACCTATGCGCAATATTATCCCTCATTCATGATAAACAGTGTCTTTCTTCTGAGATCAAGTAAGAGGATGAAATGAAAAAGGAATGACAACATTCCGCCTGGTAAAGAAATCAATCTGAGGTGCATATAAGTCTTGAATGGTCTTGATGAATCGGGAGTAAGCAAAGATTTGTTGGAAATTTACACTGGTGAGAATTTCAAAGGGCAAAGAAAATAATACCTGGAAAAAATGTTTCTGATGGCTCGTTCATAGCACTCCAAAAATTACGAAGAATTTGAGACGATCAAGAAATATAACTGGCTGAAAATAGTCTTTACCTTCGCTCATAGTGATAATTTTTATCACTTACATGGAAAAACATTGCATACGTACTCTAACCTAACGAAGCTCTACAGTGTTACCAATTTAGATAAAATAATTTCAAATTATCACTAAATTAATACTCTAAAAATAAATATATGCATGAACTTTGGCAACATAGATATGATTTTGTTTGTAAACAAATTCAAAAGTTTCGGGAGCCGGAACTGGTGAAAAAGTTTTCTGAAAGTCATTAAAGTTAATAAATCACGGGACTTATGCTCATTTATAGTTAATCAAAATCCTGAAACTTGAGGCCATGAATTTTTCAAACCATAACGCGATTATTTTCAATCAATTTTGTTGAGCCGAGGTCAACGAATACTCTCCACCCCTCAGACAGCTTTTACCATTGTCATGGTGAGATTATGCTCATATCATTGTGATCTTTGCTTTTGAGAAAGTCACTTTTTTTCTTCTTTTTTTTTAAATTGATTTATCTGACACCAACTCCAAAATATTCATACGAATAGGCTGATATCTGCTATCTGAACTCATTTTGCCTCTACTGCTTTTTCATATGGTGACTTGTTTTCGCGAGACTATCACCAGTGCTGATTTTGCGATTTGAAGATCGCACTACAAAGTATCATTTTATCATAAATCATCCAACACACGGGCTATTTGATGGACAGGTTTTTCATAGCTCTAACAGAAGAGTTCAAAATTTTATAATTTTTTTTCCATTTACGTTATTGACAGAAGCAGTGCAATGAGTCTGAAAAAATATCAATTTATCACATTTCGACGGTGTAAGTCGGCAATCACACAACTCATTTGTGGTGTCTGAAAATCTCCGCCTCTATGTTATTTTTTTAGAGGAGCACAAATTGACATTGTTTCCTGAAGTTTATGCATAATTTTCTTCACACAGAGAAGAAAAATCTCAGCAGTGTAAAAGAATTGCCGTTGAGTAGTTTTCCGTTTAAAAAGTAAAGTATGACAGGAAGTCTGTAACGTTGCAAACCTAGTTATGTGATTGCCAACTTACCCATCGATTTAGGCTGTAGACAGAAAAACTAGTTACGATGAAGTTCACTATTAGGACAAATCATATTAGTTGAATTCTGTTCTGAAGGACAAGAATTATAAGATGAAAATATTAAAATCACTTTTTCATTTTAAATATAATTGTTCGCTGCTTTTTTCCAGTTAATCTGCCTTCTCTTGTCTTGTCTCTGGAAATGAACTGTTGATTGTATTGAGGGGATACGCTATTTCAAAGGCAATTCTGATAATATGCCTGAGCTGTCTTGCCGAAGTATTTGTGTTAAGTAATTTTTTCATTCCACGTTCCTTTGTTTTGCCATCTCCTCAGATCTCTCAAAAAAACCTCTTAATGTATTTTCTAACTTATTGTAGGAGGCTGTATCAAGTCTGAATGATGATATTCTTGAAAAAGAAAAAGCGTTGCATCAGCTCAATGACGAACTCGAAAAGAAAACCAGGTGCTTCATGGAGAGAATAAAAACTAAAGGGGTAAGAATATATCACTCAACTATGTAAATCTGATTGACTGCATTTTAAATTTATGTTAACATGTAATAAATAAATCCTTACCAATTTTTCTCAAACATTCAGCATTAACTTTAATGGAGCTCTCATGCCGCAGGGCTTTGCCTTTTAAATATTCATTCGTATGAAGAATTTCGCAAGAAATAGAATGGTGCCACTGGTTTTCTTTGAAACAAACTCTCAAACTCCAAAAAATCCTCTAAAGTTGAGGCGTTAATACAAAGGATCCCCCTCGCAATGCTGAAAGTCCACTTCTATATCTGGTCAAATTCTTAACGCACAGATAAGGAGCTAATACATCAGCAAGTGCAAAATGTATTTGCTCCCTGTATATGCCTGGAGTTAGATTGGAAATAGAGTTTGATTTTCTGCATAGCGTGGCAAATCCCCTCCATTATGGCCTCAACTGTAAGATCTTTTTTGAGCTTGAAAGTTCGTTTCAGAGGAAACCAGTGGCATCATTATTTTTCTCATTAAATTTAATATAAGAAAAAGTACTTGCATTGTAAATCTCTGGCGCATGCAAGAGCTCCATTTCAAACTTCATGGGACCTCTCTGTGATACCTATAGACTAATTTAATAGTGGCTCATAGACTGAATTAGGCCCAATTAAAACAAGACTTATGTCACCATAGAAGCTTGAACTATCGATAACAGCTTAGGAGCCCCCTGCGCCATTTCCAGCATTCAGAGCTGCCAAGTGCCGCCAACAATAACGGCAAAAGATACATCGGACCCAGTTTAAAAAAGGTACTTTGGTCACGAAACAAGCGCATACCATCAATCACATTTTCTTTCCTGCCTCTTGTTACTCCTCTCCCCTTTTTTCTCCTTCATATGGATTAAGTATATCCTGTTTCCATGAAAATTTCCAAAATTCCCCATCAAAATAATTCTCGAGAAATACATTTTTAAACAATTGTATACCTCAAAGAAGCAGATACAAAATATAATGTTTGTTATGTTTTGTTAATAATAATTGCAAAATATGGTTGTTATTTTAGTGCGGAAGTCCTTGTCGTCGTAATCCTAATCTCTATATTTTTATTTCACAGAGTAATTTTGATGTAAAATGTGACGACTTGAGGTATGTAAAGTTAAAAATCTCTACACTGCACTAATTAGAAGTAGAGTAGTGGAAAATTTGATGTTGGAGAGCACCTATATCGTCTTAATAGCTGCACCTGCACGTATGCAGGGTTGAATTTTAAAAAGTTCTCAGGAAATGAGCTTCTTTGTGTGAATTTAACTATTGATTTTTTAGGGTGTTTGAGTTTTGAGTTTATTTCAATTTTAAATTTTGCCACACATAAGATTTACAATTTTTTAGCACTCGCCTGCCAGAATAGCAATGACCTTATTTTATAGTTGATGCAATTATTTATTTTATTATGTCCCCCCCCCCTCCTACCCACTCACCTCAAAAAAGGGAGCACTTCCAGTAGGCAGTAAAACTGACAGGTCTTTGGCGGAAGCCAGTAATACACTATTACACTTATTGAAAGATTGGTCAAAATCTAGTGTAAACTGAATTAGAACAAGAAAAAACAAATGAAAACCTTAACAAATTCATGGAAAACTGAAAATTGCTATCAGAGACAAATTAATCAATATAATTTACATATATCGATTGTATCTTTTTTTTAAAACGAGTTTACATATTACTTCATTCCTAAAGTGGAACTGAAAGCTGACAGGCTCCCAGCTGAAGGCTAAAGGCCTGCAATACATTCTAAGGGAGGAAGAAATACAAGGTTAAATACTTTTTTTCTTTTTTTTTGAAGATAAATGAAACTCAATGAGACATCAAAGCACCCTGTCGGCTATATTGACAATACCTACTTGATGTACTTATGACACCGGACTTCAGCACTTTCATCATTATTTAACTATATTTTACATCCCTCAAATTTTTTGCTCCCCTTGCGGGTAGAGGAAGTATTGTCATCTCAAAAAAAGAAAAACATTTTTTTACGAATGATTTAGATTTTTGTATTCTAAAAAAATGCTTGTCTGCCTTTCATTTTTTCATCGTTAATAATTTGAATTCCTTCTCTTATTCTGACTTTTATTACTTTTCCAGCATATCAAGCCCTGAATTGAGTTATTGCAGCTATGAAGAAAACGTAATAAATGATTCAAATCTACATAAGTCCCCATCCTTCAGAACGCTACCTCCTAGCCGAAATCAGAGTGGCACCTCTCAAAAATCTTTGCCTGTTTCAAGGAGTTTTAAAAAATTTGCTGTTGCCAAATCAAATTTAAGTCTTGGGAGAGCCTCATCAGCTCTTAAAGCTTCCAGGTATTTCTGTTTTTATGCTTACACGGTTCTCATAAATAACAGTGTATCATAACATGGCTAAATACAAAAAAAGTGTATCTTAATGGCAATGTTTAAAAATTTTGATTATGTTTTATTTTCTGCCAGGGAAACCATAGAAATGTTTTCTCGCAATTTTGTGTGAATTTTTTAGAATAGGCAAAGAAAATATCAGTAGAAACTGTTGTTGAGTGTTCTACCAGTAAAATAAACAATGGGCAAAAGCCTAAAACTTTACAATCTGAGATGCGGATTTTTCGACTTAAGCTATCGATAGGTTGGAAAGTATAGAACATGAAAATGGGAGAAACTGCAGAAGCGCATGTCTTATAGCTCATAATATTTCATGTTCTATGAACTCTGAAGAGGCTAGGGTTAAAGACAAATTATAAAATATTTAGAATCAACTGCTTTCAATTGAGATGTTGTATACTTGTATGCAAAAATATTGCCATGAAAGAATCATTATGTCAGTGGTGAAACTGCAAAAATGCGTATCTTGATTGCGGTGTTTCAAAATCTCCACTCCTGTTTTATTTATTAAAAGGAGACCTAGCCAAAGTCATGGCTTGAAATTATCAAAGAATATTCTGCACATAGAGAAGCATTTACAGAAGTTTTCACGACGAAATGACGTCGAGTAGTTTTTTATTAGAACATAAAGTATGACAGGAAGTCTGTAACACCACTAACTGAGATACCATGGTTTCATGTTTTTGGAAGTTTATAGTGCCATAATATTTGCAAAACACTCTGCATAGAGCGTCGTTTGGTCTAGTCCATTTTGAATCAATTATGGATGTCAAGCAAGCTGTGTACCTTTTACTCTTTGTCAAGTTACTGGGCTTTTCTTACATAGTACCGTGTAATGTTTCCCTTACTTTCATGGAAAAATTTCCCTCTTGTAGGTTGATTCTAGAAGGATGCACTGACTCTGATGGTATTCAGCAATCGTGTTTGAGCCAAGAAGCTAAACTTCGATTGCTCAATGCAAAATCCACAAATCTAACAAAAGAGGTTCAGCAGCTACGTTCGGATTATTCAAATGTGGTACGTTAGAAAATCTCAACACTGTTGATCCATTTTTCTATCGTAAACCCGAAGGTTTTTTCTGTTTTTATTTGTCTAACATTTTCTCGTGTGTTGCAAAGGATGGTTTCAAAGTTTCTCAGAAAGCACCCAGATCCGTGAATAATAGTTTTGCCAACCCAAAAAACTGCACAAGAAACAATTAAATAGATAATGAAGCAAATGAGTTGTAAACACATTACCTGTGCTATTTTGCTGGCCTGCTACAAAACGAATGGGCACTGTGTGGTGCTGTTTGGCTCTTACTAGGCTAAAGTTAAGAAAAGGGTCTGGAGCCAACTTGCTAAAACTACTTTGTCTATATACCTGAATGTTTTTCACTCTGTTTAATTTATATTCGGTTGAACCTTTGCATTCAAAATCCGAAATAACATTAAGAGCTCAGTACTTTAAGAAAATGACTTAAAAAAATTAGGCGTCTCTAACCCATTATCATCTACTTATTTTTTCAATGGGAAGCATCTACTTACAATAATTCATAGGAAAAAGAGACAAAGAAATAAAAGAAAGTCAAGAGGAAGAATGGGGTAAACTCTTTGCAATTGGATGATTTAGAACAATGCAAAGATTCCTTTTTCAAATCTGCCCTTGCTCCTAGAAACAGTTACATTGGCGGAATTAAACCAAGCTGGAAGTAAAACTTATGTTTGCTTTATCACTGATCACATATTATTCATTTTTTCAGGTACAAGAGTTGAAGATCGCTCAGAAAGAAATCAAACTTTTAGAGTCAGAAAAAGCCAAGTCTCTTCTTCAGATGAAAACAACGAAGGACCAGTTACGTAAACAAGAAGAAAATGTTGAAAAATTAACCACTAATTTACATAACAGAGATGCAGAAAATAGGTCTCTGAAAAAGGTGATTTAAATTCATTCCAAGTCTGCACACGGTTCATTAGTGTCCAAAGACACAGCTTAAATAACTTTGAGAAGTTCTAGATTTTTAATTTTTCTCAAAGCACTGAAGTTCTTCTTAGTGTATTTTCCGAAGAAAATACACTATTGCATTCTCCCATGATGTGGGACCCAGACCCGAGACCTTGTGGAGAGCACCGATCACGGGTCGTAGATCACGAATATATATTATGTATAATAATAATAATATGTATGTATGTATAATATGTATGTATATATATATGTATGTATGTATGTATGTATTTCCGCCTTTTTAAGATTTTTCGAATTTTGAGTAGTTATATCTTTGAAAGATATTTTTTTGTTTGTTTTTTTTTTAGTTGCTTGAAAGATGATTCAGTTTTTTGCCTATGAACTACTTTGTTGTTTTTGTATTAGAAATGTGCGCATATTCTTTTTCAGTGTCCTGTCCATTTTTTATGGTGTGAAACTGAATCAATTTTTTTTCTTGCATCTGTTACCGTTTTCATCTGTCAGAAAATTCGGGAAATTGAATAACTCCAAAGATAATACTTTGCATTTGACATAGTTTTCATCCAAAATTCGAGAAATTGGGTAACTCCAAAAAGTATACTGAGAGCTATTTTAGAATCACCTTTCTCGAACAATATGAATGGTGCTTGTGAGTGAGTAAATACATATTTCTTAATTTTTAACTCCATAAGGTCACTTGAGACATAAATCTTGTCGCCCTTGTTTTCTATGGTTCTTTTTTTATGCTAATGACTGTGAAATTAAATGAATAAGTCACGAAAGGGACAGTCAAACTATTGACTGAAATATGCATTAGTTGCTAATCTCGAAATGAAAATACGCAATCCCCTGAGCAAACTGCTGATTGAGCGGACATGATCCTCAGCATAGACCTCTTGGTTGCTCCAAATTTAAAAGTGATACATTTTATATTAATATTTTCTCGTTGTCTTTCAGCAACTGGGAACACTAAATCAAGAAATGAAAAAATTGAAAGTCAGCTACTCAAATCAAACAATGAAGCTTAATCAAATGACTCTAGACAATGAGCGGTTACAAGCAGCGATCAAAGAATCCGAATTCACAACGAAGGTAATTCATCTCATTGTATTTTTTGGTCTATGAGCTCTCTATAGACGAGAGTGTAAGACAAATGATATGAAGCATTTAGAATTAATAGCTCACTACTTCCGATTAAAATTCTGTATAAAACAACGCACATTTATTAATGCTTAGTGTCATCGCCATGAGAGAATCATTTTGCGCAATTATTTACCATTAGATAAGGTATAAATTCAAGTACTCTGAATAACACTTAATCCTCAAAATTTCTTAGAGAAAACGATTCGCGCCTTAAAACTTACTGAAATCACCTCTCAACAAAGATATTAACATTTAATAGAATTAATAGCTTACTACATCCGATTAAAATTCTGTATAAAACAACACAGATTTATTAATGCTTAGTGTCATTGCCATGAGAGAATCATTTTGCGCAATTATTTACCATTAGAAAAGGTACAAATTCAAGTACTCTGAATAACATTTAATCCTCAAAATTTCTCAGAGAAAACGATTTGCGCCTTAAAACTTACTGAAATCACCTCTCAACAAAGATATCAACATTTCGACGATGAAACTGCAAAAATACGTATCTTGGATTGGTGTTTGGAAATTGTCACTATTATTTTATTTTTTTGAAGAAGACGGAACCAACATTATGGCTTGAAGTTTTCACAGCATCACTGTAATTTTAAAGAAATGATGTTCGTCAGTTTTCCTTGTAAGAAATAAAGTATGACAGAAAGTCTGCGACGCCGCAAACCAAGATACGCATTTCTACAGTTTCACCACCAATTTATATTTATCACTGGTCATGAAAAATTTGAATTACCTATTCACCAGAAAAACCACAGTCTGTGCGAATCAAATTGTGCCCTAGAGTGGCTTTGGCAAGCTTCTCAATCAGTCAATGTTTCCTCTCCGCCCTTTGTTGTTCAAACTGTTAACAATGTGCAACAGCTGAGCAAAAACGCCAAGATTGAGGTTGCCATGTTTTCTGATACTGCAGAGACAGTCATGGTAGTGTGATTTGTCTCAGTTAGAATATAGTTTTCCTTATGAGCAGGAAGTGTGAATTGATGCATTGAAAAACATTAATATCTAGGTTTAAAGTTACTTTCAATGATGTTTGTTGCAAAAATTGTGTTCTGCGTGAACAGATTTTGGGGCCCGCTCCTTTGAGAGCCGACCTATTCTCCCAACCACACGTAACTGTATCTAAATTGATATCCTGCTAAATTTCGAACCAGTAAGGGGCCTCAACGAATCGCCAATACGATGCAAAAATATATATCATACATTTTTCAATACACCATATCTCGGATTTTCCAAACAAATGTGTCTGTTAAAAATTCAATTTTGACAGGTCAGAATTGTTTTCTAAAATTTCAACTCTAACTTTCAGGAGACGAGGGACGCCTGTCGAAAGAAGACAGATGAACTGGCTGGGTACATCAAGAAACAAACCAGGCAAATACATGATCTCAATAGTTTGGTCAAGAAGCAGTTTGAATTAATAAGTAATTTGAAAAGACAAAGGGTAAGATGTTTGTACTTCTCCTTGTCCTTTGAGTTATTTTTATTTTGCTCCTTACACAGGTCAGTTTTCAAAATCAGGCTCAATGGAATTGAATTAAAAATTTGAATTGTTCTTATGCTTTGAATTTTGCATTTTGGAGAAGGGGGTGGGGGCGTTCGTGTATGCATCTTGCAACACGTGACTGAGCGCGTAGTGTCCATTTTTTGAAAATCTAAGATGAAAACTTAACGCACGGTGACAATCTCTTATCCAAAATTCATCACATCAGTTAATTTGAGGAAGAGGGTTGAACAAAGTGTCACGAATTTTTTCTTAGGAAGGTGCAGACTTGTGTCATAGGTGCCTTACAAGGGGGAGAGGTTGTGAAAGAAAGATTTTCAGCATGATGTAATTTATGAATAGCCCCTAAATTTTCATAACATATTAGTATATTTTCACTGATTAATTAGATGTTACATGGTAATATGTTGCATGTATTTATTTTTCCTCCAGATGATCTATGAAAACAACTGCATCCTGAAACTTATTAAAGACGAATTTGATAAGATCTTGAACGTTGCGAATGAAAATCAGTCTTCAGCTTTATCTTTGTTGTGATCACTGAATGAGATTGAATCAAAAATAACCATGATGCCACCAAATTACTGTTATTTTAAGTGTACTTCAAGACTTTTCAACTCTACTGCCTCTCTTTTTTCAATACACAATCAATAATTGTAACAAAATTTATTTTTGATCAATTTTAATATTTGTACCTCCATTTCTTTCCTGTACATTTTATACCCAGATCATCTCCTTGCATTTCTTTGTTAAAATATACACTTGAATTTTTTTCAAACCGATGTTCCTTTTTAATTCATGCCATATTCATCAGCGGTTCATTTATTAAGCATCTGCCCTTTTTTTCTACCACCTTCAGCTTAGGAACTGAATTTTGTCGAATATTCTCACATTAATTACTGCTGGCTTGAGCCATAAATCAAGCGCAAGACCAATCCACATGAGTCAATACTTCCCACAAGCAAGTTTTGAAACCACTATGCGCATTAAGAGTGAGAATTTTAAATGCCATGCATGTTTTATGGGAGGAGCTGTCTCTACGTCATATGGGTTAGGATCGGGCAGATCTCATAAGATGCGCAGAGACTAACAGGTGGATTGGTCCCAGTCAAGCGTAAGTTCTCTAATGATGAGCTGACCTTGCTGATTATTAAGTATGTCTAATCGATTTACATTCGACCATAGCCAACAAGTTGGAATTAAGCAATTTTAATTTAAAATTGTTCATTTGATTAACCTAAAAATGAAGACTGATACTAACATGAAAAAGAACATATTTTTCTTCGAAAATGGAAAAACGTCAAATAAAATACTTGATACACTATTCTGGGTTAAAGAGGAGGAATTAGAGTCGAAATAGGTTAAAAAACTAATAACATTTTATTCCGTATGTGAAGGAAATAGAACAAAAAAATCATTCTAAATGAACTGCATTGGTAAATAAACTTAAACGTAAGGGAGCAAAAACACAGCAAATGCAAAATAATACATAAATGCAAAAAAAGGAATTCTTGGATTCAACATTGAATAAAACATAAAATTGAAAAAAAGGAAATCAGAGTTAAAAACTTTTAGATCTTAAACATAATATCACTTGAAAAGAAACATTCATAAAGCTACTGGGTTGGAAAATGATTTTTTTATGAATTTATGACTAGAAAAAAAGAGAAAAACATAAGAGAAACTTATCATACTGGAATCCTTGAAATATGATCCTATAGAGGGTGAACGAAAACATATAATCCATACAACATAACATTTAAAATGATTTCTTGAAAACTGAAAAAACGTTAATTAAAAAATTAAAGATAAAGCAATGATCACAAGGCAATGAGGATCATTTCGCCAGTAAAATTTTTGAGCATGTATACAGTATCTGAGGATAAAAAGATTAATTCAGAAGCATGCTGGATTAAATTAAATGTTTGAAAGTTCAATGATCAATCGGGAAAACCGCAGGCACCAATTGGATTGAGTTGAGCACATCAGTCACATCTGCACTGCAGTGTTTCAAAATCTCGTCTCCTTAAATTTTTTGGAAGAGAACCAATCAACATCCCCATTCGAAGATTGTTGCCATTTTTCTTTTTCATATGAGGGTTATTTCCACAAAATTTTAAGAGAAAATATTGGTTGGTTTCCTTCTAAAAATATTAAAATAGGAGATGAGATTTTGAACCGCTGCAAAGTGGATGTGACTGTTTTGCTTAGCTCAAACAAATTTTGGAAATTACAACATTTACAAACACAACAGATTGACTAATTGTCACCTAAAAGGCTATGGAACTCGATTTTTGAGTGAAATGGATTTGAGGTTCTGCACTCAAAGAGTGCGGGGGTGTTTCCTCAAAGAGGAAACGAAAAATTAGCTTTAATCATTGACACAATACGGCCACCACAAATAAGTTAGTATTGAATAAATCTATCAGCTGTTTTCTATTAATTTTGAATATTTTGTTTTGATATAGCTCATATGTATTTTATATAGGTGATTTGATTGAACACTGATAGTGACTTGCCCTATCTGTGAGAAAGTCTTGCTTCCCAACATGTTTGATTATTGTTGAAAGGAAAAATATAGAACCAAAATTTGAAATATCCAACGGATAAAACAGCTTATTCAGTAAGTTAAGACTTCCATTTAAACATCATTAAAGTTATCATTGAGTAACATAACACTAATTAATAAAGTTTGAAAAATTAATCAAAGCATGACTATTTTTATCAATGTGTAAAATAAAAATTCTTGTATACAAAAATTCTATTTGTATGAAAAATTTACAGAATATGGAATAAGACAATCAATGAAATAGAAATTAGAGACGGTTTTCGTTATCTCACTTATACGAAACACTTCTTCCTCAAGAATACCTCGCACAACTAGCTTGTTTAGATTTCAACAAGTATATTGATGGATTGAAGTAAATGTAAAAAGCATAAATCTGCGCTGCAATTTTGCGAAATTTTTGCTCTTAATTTACATTTTTCTAGAGAAATAAACCTGCATAATGAGCCACTAGACAAGGTCCGAACTAGAAACTATTCACACAATTTTTCTTCAAAATCATACACAGGAAACAATTCGAGCAACACAAAGTTTGGAAACCAATTTCTTAACGAGATATTAACAAGTATTTTAACATAGATCAAATGTAAGTTAGATTATACAGATGAAGTCATTTGTATTTTTGCTGTTTGAACGTTGTTACTTGTAACCACTTAAATCTTGATTGGGAGTTGACTGACAAACTTTCTGTTGTGTGCTTCGTTTTCCTCGTGAATCTTTGAAGAGAGGTTAGGTTTGAGGATGCTTTGTCTAGAGGACTGGTAATCAAAAGTCTGTGAAATTTGCGATAACTTTTTCTTTCATATATAATCTTCAAAACTTTCAGGGAGTAATAACCTTCAGATCTTTAATTAAAAAAAAACTTGTCAGATTTGCATCTCCAAAAATGAAATATAATCGGCTTCAATTGAGAAGAAAATGACTGATTTTACACAGCTGCATTTCAGAAGACGCTCCAAAGCGCTACTTCCTTACCATGACGTTTCATTCTCTATCTTCAAACTCATGCTCAAATTCCATCAAAATTTGATGAAATCTATTTTTGATCAAACTGTGTCAAAACCCATCAAACTTTTAAAAAGTTCAGTGTCGTATAGGTCACCAACTTTCCGATGATGTACTCTGCTGAAGTGCCCTATGAAACGGCTCAAATCAAAAACTAATTATCCCCTCTGCGCTAAGATAAGGAAAATTATATGACTAAGATTGATGGTATGCTCTAATTAATTAGATGACTTAAGCTAGAAGGAACAGAAAAATTAATTTTTCATAATGAAGTAAACAAGAGAAAATAGTAAAACTAGAACAAATAACGAGTAACCAATGGAAATTAAAGACACAAAGAACTCGTACAACCAAACCGGCATTAGGGCGGAGGAAAGCACTATTTCTTCACCAGACCTCGGGCTTTTGGATATTTTTGTGCCCCCGCCCTTCCTTCGTTTTTTGCAATCAGGTTGCGGTTGCTGAAATGAAAAGATAACTGGATTTTAGTTCAGACAGAACACAACCCATAAAGCTATATATAAGAGCAGAGCAAATATTACCAGAAGATATTGATCCACAAGTTACTTTGATGGTTGCAAATTTTATATGTATATAAATAAAAACACTCACAGATACATACTATATTTTTTTAAAAAAAGTAAAAACCTAAGGTTGGTGGGACTCATTTGTATCCGGTTTTAAGTCATTAAAAGGTTTGACAGGTTCGGCCACTGAAGGCTCAAGACAAGTGAATTTTAAGGTAGTTTGGTTTTCTGTTTTTGTATTTTTATTTCCTTGTATTCATCCTTCGTATTTTAATGAAAAGTTTTAGTTCTGTTGATGTTTTTGAGAAAAGATGACATCCTCATGATGTTCTACTTCAGATACACAACCATAAAGTTTTTTTACTACCATACATATAGAATTTCCAGTTGATAAAACATTGATACACACATTAATTCTGGTTGGTCATTGATCTTTCACACTGAAATAGAACTTCTGAATAAATATAGGTTTTTAGCGAGATCTCATGGACAGCGGCTGGCAACCGAGATGCAACTTAAACGGGAAAAAGTTTACTCATGAAAAGCAGTTAGCAAAATCCCACACTAACTGCTGAAAAAATATTTCTACACAACATTTTAAAAACCAATAAATCCTGGAACAGACAGTTGTGCCACCTACCTGATAAGAAGACCCCATGATTCTTAAAGAAGATCGAGTTCTTTTTTTATCATAAAAAGTCCTCTAATGTAGGTAAAAATAACCATGACTAAAAAATCCAAACAAATAAAAAAAAAACTTATAAAGGTACGTTGACATCAATATAAAGAGGCCATAAAACAAACTTACGGATCAAAAACTCTTCCACGTGCAAACTTAGATGCATCCAAGTCCAAGTCGTCTTCTTGCAACACAGACTCAAGAACAGAGAGTAGAGCTGGCGATACAGAAGGATGGGTATAATCTTTGGTTGTTTTCTTCATCTTGTATAGATCTAGTTTCAGAATTCGATGGCCCTTGAACAAATATCAGAAATATAATGGGTCAGGTTCATAAAGAATAAAACGGTAAAAAAGGAACTACACACATACTTTTCAGAAACTCCTACTATTCGATTGACCCTTCACACTGAATACTATTTGAAAATAGATATCCTGATAATTTTCAGTTTCTCTTTTATTCTTGCTTCTTATGTTTGTCAAAATCAATGCAACACTACATAAATTTGTATTTTTCCAATATCCTGATCAATTTGCTTCAAGGATAGCTCAGGGGTTTTCTAGAACGCTGAAATTGAATTTGATGTTAGTTTTGCATAATACTAACTCCTCTGTAAGATTACCGTTTTTTTTTTCCCCAGAAAAATACCGGTTTCCCACCATTTTAAGGCCCTGATAAAGTAGTGCCAAAATAGCGAAAGGAAAAATTAAGAGGGGTTTAATTTAAATACCAGTCTTAGCAAATTAAAACGTTACAAAAGAAGAAACCTACCGGATACCTGGCATTTGAGCCAAATTCCAAAGTTTTATTGGCAAATTCAATTTTTGGCTCACAACTAGTCAACCTAGGAAGATATTCTTCTACATTATCTATTTTGTTGGTGTTTTCTTCTTTGCTCTTCCACTCTTGCTCATTGAAATCATAGAAACTGGTTTCAATCACTTTCTTCACTTCCTCTTGAGGCACGAAATTTTCTGCCACCAAATGCCACTTCTTCAGATCTCTGTAAACATAAAAGAACGCTATTCATCACTGAAATTAATATATCAAGGAACAGAGAAGAAAGGGAGGCTTATAAAAAAGTAAAAAACTTACAAAATTTGAATGATAGACATTCGAAATTCCCTGAGCTGTGGTAAACATGACTAAACTTCTGATTCTTAATTAAAGCTCTTGGGCAATTTTCCAGAAATTAGATTGTAATTAAGATGAAGTTGCGTTTGATTTGAGGGCTAAAAATGTTGTAGCTGTAGCGTTACAAGCAGATATCACGATTCTACAGCACAATTTCAAAGAAATTTGTGTTTCCTAAGAAGCAAGCACTGGCTAAACTCTCACAAACACAAGATAGGTAGTTTCCCCTTGCAACAAAGGACATACTATTTCCCCAAAAATAGTATTGTTTCATCGCAATATCCATACTATAGAAACAGAGCTAAACAAAGTAGCTTAGTTCTCCTTCACTTAATTGAATGTCGCCCTTCTTAGAATCAAAAGCAAAATCACAGAGAGCTGATCAGGTATTTTTTCCCGATTTTTAAAATATTAGACCTACATTGACCTAGGTCTCAAACAGTCTAAAACACTTTAATATTACGATGTTAAGTTCGAAAACTACATATTGCAATTGCATTTTTTAAAAATGAATGATCCTTTTTTAATTTTTTTTTTGAGGGTTTCCTTGCGATTAAATTTAATTCTTTCAGTTGAGTAAAGAAAATTTACAGAAAATTTTGATAGAGAAGTTTCTTTTCTGTTGGTTAGTTTCCCTCAAAAAAATAAAACAAGAGCAGAAGAAAGAATCATGTGAACTGTTTCAGATGATGAATGAAGGCAGAACAGATGTACTGATCAAACAAAGGTTAAGCTTTAAGGTAAAACAGTGTGTTTTAATGATGAGGAGAAAATACTTCAGTACGTTTTCTGCATGCGGTAGTAACCTCAAGGAGCATTAAGTAGAACTCACAATGCCTTAAGTTTTTTCTGTGCTTCTTTTTGGGCTCAAATATCAACACTGTGCTGCTACATGAAATCGAATGAGATGCCCATGTTTATTGAATTTTACTTTTAATAATTTTAAATTTATTTACTTTTAAAAATGGTTGAAAAAAAAGTATGCGGATGGTAAAAAATAAAGAAACTTAGTCTGTACTTGGTAAGTGCTTCTTCCATAGTTTGAAGCTCAATCCTGTCTTTAGAATACTGATCGTTACAATCATTGATTTCTTGTACAATGGCTTCCAATTTTGTTTCATATTTCTTAATTTTTTTCCGTTTAATATCACATTCATTGACTAGATTGGTGTAGACTCCTCGAATCTCTTGTTCATACTCTTCCTTCTCTCGTAACATTCTTCTCATTTCTGCTTCTCTTTGCTAGAAAAAAGGGAAAAGACCGAGTTGAATCAATAATAAGAATCCGATTTCCTTTCATGCTTTTCCATAACAGAATAATTGTTCTTACAAATAAATGAACAGATTAGCAGCATTGAATTTCTTCTTCTTGAAATAAAACAAATACCGACAGGTTTGATCAGGCCAATATAATTGTGTGATGTTACGCTGAAATTTTTCAAAGCACGAAAAATTTTAAGAAAAGATGCAATATGATTATTCAAGAAATTTTACGAACTGATGGCTAGGTGAAAAAAGGCTTATCTCAATTGCAACATTTTAAAATATGCAATTCTTTCTTACTTCCTTTAAGGAAAACTAATCAGAATATTTCCTTGTAATTTTGTGCGATGTTTTCATTGCTACATCTGGACTCAGCGCTACTTTATCATCCTGATACTTTTAATGTAACTAAGGATAATGATCAAACCAACCTAAAAGGTTATGCAAAGAAGTTTTTAATTAATAACTTTTAGTTGTAAAACATTGGTTGTATGGGATAAAAATTAAAAACAATTTTTAAATTTACAACATTTTCTAAAGTATTTATGAGTAAAATTTTGATTATTTTTGAATGATGCCTCACACTAACCTTGCACTTGTTGATTTCTGCTGTGTGTCTCTCGAGTAGTTGCTTCTGATGATTTGTATGATCAATAATATTTTTACCACCCTGAATAAGTTTTGATTCCATCATTTTTAGTTTCATCGCTAGTTCTTCTGTCACCTGTCTCTCTGCCTCAAGTTCTTTTTTCTTCTTCTCAACTTCCTCCATCATAACATATTTTTCCTGGAAACAAAATAAAATCAAACGTGATATGAAGAAGGCCATTTCATCTAATGGACTACTTGAAAAAGTATTTTAGAGATTTAAAATTCATTTTTATTGATATCTGACTCAGGATGGCTGGATTTCCAGCTGAAATGTTATGGTTGTTTTAATTTTGTTTTTGTCTGGTTACCCACGGTTTTCGTTTTTTGTGAATTTATTGAATTTTCTTTGCCACCAGCTGCTGTGTAAAAGTACATCTCAAACATCTACTTGAAAATTATGCACATTTCAGATTTTAAACCTGAGAACTTTGTTAGAGCAAAACCTCTCAGTTCAAACTTTTGAGAAATTAAACTGCAGATTTTGAACAGAAAATAAATTTTAGGATCGAACATATCTAGTTTTTGGGCTTTGACAATGAGACTGTACATTAGATACACATACCAGACTGGGAACTGAATTGTCTTAGCTGGTTTTCCATAATTTCGAATCTACTACTCACAACCTCCTGGGGTCTATGAGCTTTTAAAATCAAATTTTCCAAGCGTCAAGTTCTAGAAAAACAGAGCTGAAAAGATAATTTTTCAGCTTTTTGACACATGTTTTCTAAAAAAGATAAGGCACTGCTGCTGTGCCAGATATATGGAGCCCACTGCTCTTAAGCAGTTGACACGAGGTTGTAAGATGCATTTCTCACTATCCGCACCATTGCACAGCAAGGGAAGAGGAACTCTCCTTGAGCACTAACATATTTTCTAGATGAAATGCATTAAATTAGTGAAAAATTCACTTTAGAGCATCGTTTTTCCTAGATTCGCCACTTATAAAGTTCGGCTTTAAAAGCTCATTGTTCTCAGGCCGTCGTAAAACATCACATAAGATAATAAAGAGATTTAGCCAGTGCTGCGTTCCTTGGTATCTGCAGGTTCCTTCATTTGATTCACCTTCTCTAGGGGTAAAAGTAAAATCTTACAGAGTCTGTCGCATCCGTAGACATAATATTTGAAATTTCTTTATTTATGTTATCGTCTTCCGCTTTACAGATGTCCTCAAAAGAGAGGCTGGTGACAGAGATAGTATCATCTTTCCTTTTTCTGGTCTTTTTAAATCCTACTGAATGTTTGGCCATTTTGTCCGCTAACATATTCTGAAAAACAGGAAGGTTAATTTAATTATAAAATCAATGACAAGACACCAAAAACCAAGAGGAGCTAGAATTTGTAACTTTGCAAGGAAAAAACTAGCAAACAAAGAAATAACTTGTTCTTCGTCAACAGTTTAGTGCAAGTAAGGAGAGGTACCAAATAAAAATTTGAAAAAAAGTTGTTACGAATTACGGGGGCATCTTGAGAGCTGTGGTAACATAACCCTCTCATTAAGACCGATGATTAACTGATGAGGGGCCATCTTGGAAGGCTTGCCAGTGCTCCATCTTTTTATTACCCAGTCGCCAATTTTTATTCCATCCAACCTCTCACTTTTTCCTCCGGTCGCATTTTTTTCGGCGTACTTTTTATGGAGTTTTTGTTCAGATCTCATCACTTTGCTATCTTGCCTCTTCAGAGGTCTGCACCTGTTCTCTGGGGCTTTTAGCCTTTCCGGTTCCCAAATGAACCCGGCTTTTCATTTCATTATTTTTTTATGAAACTATTAATTGTGCCTGACAGTATATGACTTTTACTGTTAGGGGGAGGGGTGTAATGTGATGCAGTATTCACTTACCTTCAATCTATTAATTTCTTCTTGATACTCTCTGATTAATGTATCTTTTGGATCTTCATTGATTCTTGGTTTGTTCTGAATATTCTTTGCGCGACTTGCATAGCGTAAAGTTGTGACCGTCTCTTCATAGTTATAACTTGCAGGACCGATGTTAGCAATCATTAGAGTTTTTGAGTTACCTCCCAAGGAATCTATGAAAAATAAAAGGAGTCTCAAATCAATATTTCACTTTTAAAATCGATGAGTCAAATTAGTTAAAAATTGGTGGTATACATGGATCCCACTTAGCAGAGGGGAACCAACTTGATTTCAGTGTTGTAAAAATCGTGCATCTTCAACTTTACTTATGTTAAGAAAATGCCTGCGGTAGGAGATAATTTTTGTTCTTTTACCGAAAAATTGTTGGTTTTAATCAGCGTCTGTGAATTGTTTTTCTTCTTGACTGACAATCAGGTCTACCCAAAGAGAGGGGCAAGAAAACCTAATCTAAATCAACAAACAAGTTTGCAAACTATTACAAAATTTCCTTACGCATGATTTGCATTGATATAAAGCTTCCGTTTTTCAACATAAAGAAATAAGGAGGACACAAACGCTTGAAATCATGCGCAAGAAAAACTTTGCAAGATTGTTTGTTTATTTAGATTAGGTTCTCTTACGCTTCTTTCTGGGCAAACCTTGTCACCAGCGGCTAAGGAAAACTCCCCACAACCTGAACTTATCCTTACAATAATGAGTGTGATCTTTACAAACAATCCTTATAACAATCAGCAAGCTGATAAATACCTTGAAGCAGTCGAGTCAATTTTGAATCTCGGTATGGAATGTGATGTCCTTTCCCATCAACCAAAGCTGAGATAACATTGCCAAGTGCTGAGAGAGATAAATTTATTTTACTTGCCTCTTTCAAACGGCCTCCCTGTGGACAAAAATGAAAATGAGTCATTTGTTGGAGTAAATGATAACAGTGTTCGAGACTCACAGGCGCCAAAGCGCCAAATGCGCCTAAGAAATCGGTCATGGCGCCTAAAAAATGAAGGCTCTACACCAACAAGGCCCCTAAAAAATTACACCCCCCTCCCCCCTAAAAAAAATCCTAATTCTTCTGTTTGGTGATTTTCGAAATTTCCCCCAAATTACAGCAACTAGTTCTGCAACTAAAACATCTTGCATCTAACTTTTCACTAAATGCGCTGAGATATATAGGCAAAAAGTGAATTTGGCCCCTAAAAATCAAGCTTGATGCGCCACATGGCTCCTGAAACTCAGAGGCAAGTTTCAAACACTGAATGATATTACATTTCATTTCATTTTTTTAAATTTAATTCCTTTGTTTACTTTCAAAAGTACTTACTCAGGTTGTTGTCATACGGTGGGTCATGAGAAGAAAGTCTTGGACGGTCAGTTTTTAAATATTGACTTGGTTTAAAAATTATTGACTGGAAACTATGCTAAACCAATACTACCACTGAATTTATGCTTTCCCTTAGGAAAAAACATTTTTCCTGCAATGAACACTCAGGTCACTCAAAACAGACAGAAACAACTGAACTGACAAATCTAAAACAAATATGCACATGAATCACAAGTCAAAGCTGTGCGAGAACACAGCTTAGCACAGAGCCCCATTTTTGTAGAAATTACTTTTCCTGTGTGCAAGGAGTTTGTTTTTTAAGGAGAAAAAGAACTATAAAATACTCACGCTTGATCCAGTTTTGGATTGCCGTTCACTACCAGCTAAATCTACTAAATTCAGTTTTCCGACTCGTACTTTATCTGAGGAACTATTGTCACTCATTTCAATTCTAATCATAAAGATGGCATGGGATCTAGAACTTCGTTCATTCATATCAGTTGCTCTGAAAATCAAACGAGAAGTCACTTTTTAATGGAATGTTACTTTTTTCGTACTTCATGCTCGTCTTTTTTGGATCAGCATAGTGTATTGTAGTATAACTAACAAGTGGTATAACTTGAAATAATTGTGAATTCGGCTTCATGAAATACATGAAAAATCTTTGAAACAGAAGTGTCCTTGAAATTTCAGTAGTTTTTGTGGACTTTATATGTTGCTCTTGAATTAATGTCATTAAATAAATCAATATGATTAACGCTTCTGTGATGATAACCTGATCTATCAAAAGAATTGGTGGATATTAAACCCGAACATGTTCATTGCCTGATGAGTTCTATAATACAGGCATTCTTATAAGGTCGACAACCTTCCGAGAAATGGATTTGTTAGGTTTTGATATGGGCCGATTTGAGTGAGCAAATTTAGTACCTGATTTTGTTCAATTTCTAAACAGAATTTTTGCTAATGATTGCTTTTATTGACAAGAATAAGGTTTGATTCGGATCAAAAATTTAAGGTTCAGACAGCTCTTACTATCGGTCATATTGTGTCATCTTTTCAGTCTTACAATGGAATGAAAAACTCTGAGTAAAAACTGCGAACTGAATGGAAGAGAGAATGACATACCCAACGGTACGATTCAAATTCCCAACGCTCATGACTCGTTCGATATCTTCAATACTGGTACAGTCTTGGGATTTCAGTCCTTTGACGTAGATTCCACAACCTGGATTCTCCCTTAACTCTAACTTCTTCTCAGGGTTCTTCACCAATAGATCTCTGGAACATTAAAAGAAACAGAACTTTACTTACTGATGTAATTTCCTTATGAAGCCACTTTATCGGTAACACAAAAACACTAAGATACACATCATTATTTGCACTTGAAAAGCTTGAATATACACATAAGGCTCAAACAATGAATATTCATGGCTCAGGAATGGCACAGAGAAACGACAGGAATGTGTGATCGAGCTAAAACAAGAGGAAAATTCCAACATGACTATATTGGAAAAGCGTGCCGAATAACCAAGATATTGGACACATAATATTTTGGTATTATTTGTATCGATTGGTGCTTTTTGCTAAATTTGAGAGAAAATTGATGCATGAACATTGAATGTAAATTAATTTTAAAGAATCCGTCCAATTATCTTGATTTTAAGCTGATATGCATCATTTGAGCACAACGGCGATTTGCAGCAAACTGCCATAAATCAGCTTGAAATCAAGGTAATTGGACGGAATTTGAGTGCGCTTTCATCTTAATTTCAAGATGGAACTTTTCTACACTAAAAGATAAATTTTTCAACGGCAACAGCAAAGAAATTTCGGTTTGGGTACTAGGGGTCATTAAGGAGGGATAAAGGGTGCCTCATGTTCCTACCCTCACAATGGACGGGTTGTCGGCCTCTCGTCCGTGAACAAAAGAGGTGCCAGATCGAAAAAAGTCGGGTGATCGCGTGAGAGACTGATGCGTTGCCAATTTACGGATTTTAATGCTGAATACAAAGTCTCAGATTTCATGAAATGGACTATAGTAGACTTAACATAAGCACAAAGTGCTCATTGGCTAAAAAGTTGCGGCGGGAAAGAAGCTTCTAGCTTTGAGTTGTTCTAGGATAGAAAACCTTATTCGAGGTTTCTATCAAATGAAATAATACGGTTTTGACAGGAAAATATTCTTAAGGGTTTCCCCTGGCAAGTTCGTTCGGTTTTCTGATGAATGAACATTAGGGCTTGACAGTATGACGGTTCAAAGACAAAAAAACAGGTCCGGGGAAAAAATATTTGGACCGCCCACTGAATAGCATGGGTTGGTCGGTGTACTGTACTACGGTACATCCGAGTGATTTCAAAAAGCGAGCCCTACTGGCACACTTAAAAAAAGGGTGCAAAGGCTGGTGTAGACTTTGCAGTACATTACGATAGTGACTAAGAAAAGATATCCTATGATTAGTCATTTAGCAAACAGAGTTCTTCACTTTGGAGGTTTCAATTAAATTCCTGCATTGAATGATACTTCTGAATGACAAAGGGTGATATTTTAAAACTCTTCCGGCAAAATTTTCATAACTTACCGAATTTCTTCTTGATAAATTTCCAAATAAGATGAGCGAACCAGGAACTGAGTATTAGGTGATTTAGAGATGTGACTAAAAATATGCTCAAAAGAGTTAGGTATAATGCCCTTTGCTTTAAGGTTATCTTTGCAACCTAAAAAAACAAAAGAATAACTGGAAAAATTTTTAAGATAACAAACAAATATCCAGGTTAAAAAATTATCTTTCTGCTGGAGGAATGGACAACAAGAGACAGTACATTACGGTCCAACAAAAACCGTCATGCATGGGTTGTTATACGATAGGATTATAGTAAACGTGTGCTAAACCAAAAGGAAGAGATGATTGTTTGGTAAAATTAGTTAAAAATCATAATGAGCATATAAATGTGTTAAATTCTTTCATGTGTCTTAATACATTCGGAATTTATGTATTTATGAACTTCCAGCTTCCTAGGAGTAAATGTTCAATTTTGTGGCAAAATGCCTGATTTCACCTCATAAGGCACAATTTACTCCACCTTTTCAAAATATCGAGCAAAAAAAAACCAAACAAAAGGCTATCAGCTTTTGAAAGTGCCGCACAAACCAAGGTTAGCCTCAAAATTGCTGCAATCCTGGGATCGTAACTTCAGGTAGCTTGTGCACCCCAGTGCCTAAGTAAATGTGTGATTTGATTACCTTCCATGGTGTATGTTTTTCCAGTTCCAGTTTGTCCATAGGCAAAAATAGTTCCATTGAATCCCATCAAAACAGAATCTACTAATGGGCGTACCAATTCATCATAAATTGATTGCTGAGTTGACCTGTAAATGAAATTATTGAGATTTATTATTAGCTTCAGTTGCATAAAGAAGGTAAGAAATATCATAGAACCTGTATACAACCTAACTAAATGTAGGAACATACATTTTAATTCTGCTTCTTCTGGCAAAAACCTTCCTATCTCTGAATGATGTAAAAAAGATGATGCACAAAAGAAAGTAAAGAGTAAAGAAGTATAATTTTCACTTTTATCCGCTCTCTATAGACAATCTTTCTTTGAAGATATAAACATCTTTTACTTCAGGATATATTCTTAAGTAATAACTAGGAGAACTTTCCCTATTCATTTTTTTTTTACATATTTTAGAACAAGAAATGACACATTTATCATTCAATGATGCTGTAGCAAAAACACTGCCTGAGTGTTACAAATTGTGCCTCACAGGATTCTTTGAATACGCTTTTGCTGACACTGTAGCTCTGCTGGTCGCTAAATCTACATAACTTCTAATGGTGACTGCATGCAAATTTTCGATTACAAAACTTTAGGAATTGTTTAAGAACAGTGCAGAACTGCTACAGCATTTCTGCTTTTAATATTTATAGAAATAATGATAAAAAAAACATCTGGTAAAAATTAAAATGAACTTATTTTCCAAATCCAGTATGGGAAGAGTTTGTTACCTTCTGGTCAAAGTATCACATGTGCCACTTGTGTTTAGGTACATTGTTACCAAACTTCTTAAACTCATACAATTTTTTGCAGAGAAACTAATGAACAGAATCCCTTGAAAATTTTACGCGATAATTCTTTGGTCACTGACAATAATTCCTGAAATTTTCATGAAAGTGTGTGCAAAGGCTTAAAATTAAAACAATACAGAGATGTTCAGCTACGTTTTTTTCTTTGGCCGAGAGCTGACAAATTGTTGACTCCTTTCATTAACTTACTTCCAATCATGCACAGCATCAAAGGTAAAAGCTTTCTTGTTGGTTTTCATGTTATCATCTTTGGGGTTAATGATTTCTACACTCGAAGAATCTGGATAAACTTCCACGACACTGAAAATTAAAAGACAAAGATTAGTTATTATTGAATGTTGAATCTTCTTCCAAACGGGATAGGAGGCTACGGTAAAAATTTCCATTTCGCTCCCCCGCCCTTTGAACTAATTGTTTAAAAATTAAAGAGCTGTTCGACCTCCGTTGTAGAATAGGTGAACAGGGGAGTTCATAGATGGTGACAAATAAAACAGTGTTTTCAGCTGCATCTCATTGAGACACCATTATATGTAGCATGTTGATGAGTATTTTTGTCTCCTGCAAAGAGGCTACCCCTTTTTTGATTTAACGCTTACATTCCAGCAATTGACAAATTTTGTTTGGAGCTACTCAGAACTTTAAAGGGCCTTTCAAAGATTACTTGACACTGGAGGAAGGTCTGAGCTTGCATTGCAGGAGGGAATTCTAAAATTTAAGACAGAAATCATCAAGATGGTAAATCAAGGTGGCATTGTTTCGTCCGAAATTAATCAAAAAATGTCAATTTGAGGGGGATCAAACAGAACACCATGTAATTTTTGTGGGGGATTCAAGCCTATTGCCGGTATGCTAAAGAGAGGAGGGGTGAAAAAATCTGATTTTCAACATTATGTACATATTGTGTGAACAGCTCCTAACTACTAATTGTTAGTGTGATGTCCCTTTTCTAATGCCACATCCTTCTCAACTGACATCATGCAAGAGTAAAATTAATCTATGCTTAAAGTCAGGTAGATTAAGTAAGGCAGCTGTTTTAGATATTGACTTAACTTTGGAGGAAAAAGATGTTTTGATGTTTGGGTGTTGAAGATCTCTGTAAAAGCAAGAATGTAAATTGTGTACTTAAAATGAAATGAAAAAAAGTAGGTATATGTACTCACTTATTGTATCCTTGTTCAACTTCTTTTTGATTCATTGGTCTGCATCGAACAACAACTTGGACACATTCTTTTTTCTGGAGGGAAAACAATTTAAAACAACATAATCTAATGAAAATGTACATATTATAATTTCCACATTATCACACTACTAGAGTTAGATTTGATTATTTAATTTTGCCTAAAACCAAATGCTATTTCAAAAACTTGATGTTGGAATCCAATAATCTACTTAAATTACTGTAAGAATTTAAGGCTCATCAGAGGAACAAAATTGAAAGAAAAATGAATGTTTATATCACGAAAGAAGTTTTTATTTCTTTTTGCCACTTTTCTAATGATGCTACCAAAATGAAATATTCAATGAGAGGACCTTGCATGAAAACAAAATTTTTTGTGTATGGACAGGTCAAAGAAAAATATTTGCAATTAGGAATTTACTTACTGGAGTTGTTAATCTTTCAGGAGAAACAATAGATATGCTGTCTTCTTGTGAATCCATATTTTTGCTAGTGTACGTACAGAGCTCACGTCAGGAAATGATAGAAGGATTGCTATATGCTGATTTTGGAGGATATTACTTTGCTATCAAAATGATTTTTCAGTGGGAACATTCTCAAAGATATTTGCTGAGAAATCTGAAAATTAGAGAGAGTTCATGACAACTCAGATTATCTGTGTCTGCTTGAAGTAAAAAAAAAAAGACAATAGAATACTACTGTTGCAGTGAGTTAGTCCTGTCTGTTTCAAATTTGAAAAACACAAAGGAGTCATTTTGAGAGAAACGGGTTTAAATCTGGGCAAGATCAACTTTTTCAAAAATTCAGTAATTAGAATATTCAATATTCACACTAAAGGCAAAATATGGGTCACTGGGTCAGTTGCATAATATTTCTGGGTGCACTGTATCCAACAATTATTCTAAGTGTTACATTTCACAAAAAAACCAAAAAGTCCATTAAAAAGTTTGAAAAAATACTTTCAAGGAGAGATAAAGCTTATTCAAATCTGACCAGCCAGAGGCCAAAAGCTGTGATGACATAACTAAATTACGTCTTTGGCAGAGCTTTAGCCAATCAGTAAATGTAGACTCCCTTGCTGGCCTATGTCAATTAAGAAATAAGAAACTGCCAAAAATATCGTTTCAAATGAGTCTAGAATATGACAACTTCAAAATCGATTTTCTCTGTCAATTTGAGTAAAGAAAAAATCCAGGAAAAGTGACTGAGGTCTCAACTCATTCAGTACTTTAAGGAAATGAATTTAAAAAGAAATAGGCTCCACTGACCCATTCAGATGATTCACAAACCTATTCTTTGAAATATTTTTGCGGTCTTCAAGAAAAAACAAGGAAGAAATTATTTAGAACTTATTTCTGGTTGCTTGAAAAGTTCAATATGGGAGGTACGGGCAGCTTTACCTCGGTCTTTACTAGTTGTCATGGTTGAATAAGAATGCGAACGAAAATTCCTAAGTAAATACAATATGCATCATAAGTCTACAAGGACTGTTCCTTTGCTTACTTACCTGATCAGATCATTTCTCAAAATATGACTGATGGCAATCCACCAACTTCAACAGCATTTCATTTCAATTCGATCACAGTTTGACAGTCTTGAGGCAAAAAAGCGCAATACTCCCACTGGATAAGTACTCTTCAGCGAAATATTACAGGGCACTACAAAAGATTGAACAAATGATGATCAATAATTTCTGAATCTTAAAAAGAGGAACAGATCATACTGTGTCGGGTGCAATTTAGGTAAAAGACACATGAGCCTTAATTAATAAACACTGCAGATGCAAGAAGTTTCTTGTAAAATTAGGTAGCATGATGGACTGCTTCAACTATACAACACAGAAATCTAAGTACCAGTTTATTCCCTTTGGTCCATTGAAGGAGGTTAAGTTATTGTTGGATCGCCATTGTTAGAAAGACCAATAAGATTTAGGGACATGTTCTCTCAGTGATATCACAACTGTATCAGTCTGTGGGAGAGTGCCTTAAAACAAAACTGAGAGAAATAATCATGACAGGAGTAATTTATGGAATAAGTTAACACTTTCGGGAGTCACTCTAGGGGTACTTTACTGGGAAAGCGACAAGTTTCAAATTCCACAGGTATTTCATAGGAGCTCACTAACTGCATAGAGGCAGTCAATACCTACAGAAAAATGGTGAGTGCCCTCCGCTGAGCATTTAACTTCATTCCCAGTGGAAGTACTACTTCTAATCAGCACAACATGCTCAAAATGCAGCAAACCTATCATTCTACTTGATATTAACTTTACGGACACATCCGTCGAAAGTTCAGAGAGTGTTTGCCATCCAGTTAGGTTAGGTTCTATTACTCGTAGTTTGTCTGACTGGTCTGACGAATCATGTAGTTCGTCAAACAGCTCGTCATATACTAAACTTCATCCACATATCCTGCTTGTCCATGCAGAGCCTTTCCAAAGGCAAAATTCGGTTAGAAGTACTGGGAAGGATACAAATTTCCTTAAATTACATCGTAATATACTCTGAGCTGTGGTAAATTTTAGGATGTACTAAAAAAAAGTATATTTGAGGGTACGCACGGATTGAGAAGGCATACTTACAAACTTCAGCACAGAAAAGGGTGGAAACGAAGAACAATAGTGATGAGGATAACCCAACTTTGAAATTATTATCAAAATAACTGAAAATTGGGAAAAGCATCAATATCCAAAACTAGGAACTGGGAGCATCGACAGAGCCTTCTGTAAAAAATTAGTTGATTTAGAACATTATTATCAGGGTTTGTTTACTAGATCAAGCCCAGTGGAGAAGTACGGAATGGACATTGCATGATCGCGCGGAGGATTCTGGGATGGAAAGACCCCAGTCTCAGTCTCAGCACATTTGAACCAATGAACTATTGGTTCTCATTGATGTCAAAGCTCAAGAGCCTATGACGTGACGAGCCATTGACGTCCTTCACCTCGCAGAGCCAATCACAGTAAGACTTCTCGAATTCTGATAAGCGAACAACCCTTGGAACAACCCAGCAACCGGGCGGTCAGTTTCAAATCGCTACATTTTCCCAGTTATTCCACTTTTCGAACAGAAGGAATCTTAACGGCAAATTCTGAACCAGACGTTTTGATTGGTCCAGAGCGGTTCATTCCATTTATTCCGAGTTGAACCAAAATAAGCGGGAATTTCAAATAATTCCGGATATCCTGTTTACTAAATCGTTTCCGTTTCCGGTAAAACAATGTTGACAAATTTACAAAAATTCGTTGGGTAAAACTGACAACACTGTTTTACCGGAAACGGAAACGATTTGGCAAACAGGATATCCGGAATTTGTAAAACTGACAACACTGCTTTATTTGAAATTCCCGCTTATTTTGGTTCAACTCGGAATAAATGGAATGAATCGCTCTGGACCAATCAAAGCGTCTGGTTCAGAATTTGCGGTTAAGATTCCTTTTGTTCGAATAGAGGAATAATTGGAAAATAGGTTGTACAAATTGCAAACTTGTCTTGTCTCTGTGATGCTAAATTTTTTCATTTGAATAGATTTTTTCGCCGTCTTGGCATAAGATTCCGAGGAAATTTCATTAATTCATTCAATAACTTCATTTATTTTGCTTCGTCACAACAAAGTAGGAACAAGAATTCTGACAAACCGCAATGGAGATGTTGTTCTCCCAGTGATCAACTGGAGAGAACTTTCCTTTCACTCTGGGCCGTTTAATCAATAGCTACGTTTATGCGAGGCTCGAAACCGGGGTTTCATGAAACCCGAGTTTGTAATGCAAGTTTCCTCCGTCGGGTTTATGCGTGCGCTGTAACCCGACTTTCGCGGGAAATCAAACTTTCCGATTTTGGCGCTGTTTATGCGCATATTTTCGATTGAACTTGAATTTCATGTTGGCGCCATTTTCACAAGCTATACTTCATTTTTCCACTATGAATTGATTCAATAAATTATTAGGTATTACTCTTTTAACCTGTGTATGTTCAATTTTTCCACAATATATAAGCGGAGGCTTCATCTTCACTAGAAAAGCCTTTACTGACTTTCTGAGCAACAGTTGGAAAAATGACAGTAGATGTTTAATCATTTCACGTTCATCTTTAAAATTGAATGAATACCTAATCTCAACAACCCTCCAAATCATGCTCGAGCTTATATTCTGAGTTCAGAAAAGTTGCCATAGGTAATTTTTAGTCATGTTAAAAATAATTATGGCAGGCGCAGAAATTCATCATGTTGTTGATTGAGCTTCTAATGATCTTACAATAGGTACTTAGATATAGGCATTGAAAGTGTAGGAGTGCTAATCCAGTAAAGCACCGCACTTTCACTCCATGCTGTCGTAAAGATTGTGTGTCTGCCATTATTGTAGTGAAACAAATAAAGAATCGGGATATACTTATGGGAATTCCTCCTTCAAGATATGATCAAAATAAGCAGATATTGATAGGTCAACAATGTATCGCTGAAGCAGAAGCGTCTAAATCCTCTTGAGGCAACGGACGGTGACAATCTCAACAAACTGGTGACGCTTCACAAATTTTGAATTTCCACATTCCCAGAGACACGCGCTGAAATCCTGTTTCTCACCCCTCTTTCCGACTGCTCTCCGAGTCCATGAGCAAGACAGGAAGAAAATAGGCAAGCTACCACCACTGTTTGCCTACCTATGTGTGTTTTTCTTAAACTTGATTTTCAAAGGTGACTCATGTAAAGAGCAACTGACAAACAAGATTTCAGAACCTGCCATTGCATTTCACTAATCTAAGACACAAACCCAACCTTACCATTGATATTCTTTCGCTTAGACTGTATATTATTCTCCCACTGAGATTCGATATGAACTCAATTCAAAAATCCTTCTGAATTTAATTATTCAGGTAGATTGGAATCTGGAGCTCTCAGTCTATCTGTAAAGCGCATTTACTAACATTCACTGCTGTCACAAGATATTTTTGCACAGGCAGAGCCACTTTCCACAGTTGATGCATCTCTAACGCCAAAGCTCAATTATGACAAGTGGTTCAACGACCAAAAATTGTTACACGCCTCAATAAAAACCTTATTCTTATCTCAAATTGAAAATCTTGGATCACAGAGCACTCACCGAAGAATCTCCTTCCTTCTGCATCAGTATGAGAAGAGTGACGATACTTTGGAGCAATAACTTTGAACTAGTTTCAATAAATGATGGCTTCAGAATTTGAGTCATCATTTACTAGAGATTGGATCAAAGAAATAAGTCAGCAGGTCACGGTTGTGGCTGGAGTCACACTTCCAGTAGGACAACCAGGAAATAGATACACGGATAACACACAAATTCAAGAGCTATGCAGTTCTGACTGGATCAGATTTTAGATTTAATCGGTAGATTGAAATGAAAAAATTCGGTGCACTACTTAAAGGGAAGCAGGGTGCCTTATCTTGAAATCTTAGGCAAATCGTTGGGATACAGTAAAAAAGTTCTCCGCAGATGATGAACTGGTAGGTAAGGCTATTACTCAATTGTAGCCTGTAAAGCTCTTTGCTTGCTTTGCTTCTGTAGTCATAAAATGTTGATTAGAGTTGCAAGAATTATCTGAAAAAGCAGTAATAAGCCTGGATTCCATCTGACACTAAACACCTTCACTAGAAAGTAACGTCCTACGTTTAGCTAAATAAGGATAAGTAAGCCACATATAACTGAAGGAATCACGTAAAAGTGCTTAAGCAACAATTGTAGTAAAATTATGATTGTAAAAAATGTTGAATAATGGCAAAATTAAAGCTAAATCGTGGGATAAGCACCAGTTGTTTACGAACGTTATGATAATAATCCGCCATATTGCCGATCGCGCAGCTGAAAATCGCATTTGAAGTCGAATTTCAACTAATTTCAACCTCCGGTTCGTTTATGCGGAGTGCGAAAACCTAGTCTTTAGTGTAAAATAAGGTTTCAAACACAAATTTCGGAAACCTACATTTCGTTAGTTCCGTATCGTTTATGCCGTGATTTGAACCTTGGTTTCAAACTCCATAGCTAATTATTTTTCGAAGATCATCCATCCCGGAACAAAATTTTAGTAGATTTTTATCGAACCAACCATTGACCAAGACATTAAACTTTGTTTATTCTCTAGGGAAATGATCATCTAGTGTGTGATCCCGAACTTTTGTAAGTGGCTGTTTATCTGCAAAGCGGAATTAGGCCAATCAACCTACAACAACAACAACAACAACAACGATATATATGTATTTTTTTGAGAATATTTTTTTTTTTTTTTTTTTTCGAGAAATTATATATTCTGAGAAAAAATAAATTCTCAAACCAATTATATATTCTCAAGGAAAAAAATATATATTCTCAAAAAAATACATATATATCGGGAAAAAAATATATATTCGGAAAAAAAATATATTCTCACAAAAATTAATATATTCGGGAATTTTGGACCTAACGGCCCGCCATAGTCTTTATGTCTTTGGTTGAACCCAATGACTGACCTGTGTGGATTGGTCTTCTTGTTACAACCTAACCTCAAACTAAAACGTGTTTTCCGTTTTTGCGCTGTCCCGCTGTCATATGCATGCGCTGTCATGACTTGAATGAATCTTCTCTCAATGGATTGTGAAGAAATTTTTCAAAAGCTTGCATGTGGAGCCAAGTTTCGTCGGTTAGGACCCAAGAACCCGAAGAAAGATTGTCAGTCACCCGTGAGTATTCAATGATTTTCTAGCACTTGATACCTTTTGCAGTCCCTCAAAGTTCGATGGAGGCGTAAAGAACTTCAAGCACTTATAGCCGTCGGTTTCAAATGGAATTATCCGAGTGCAGGATGCGAGCCAACCTCATGGGTGTTCTGTGATTTCTATGTTTGTTCCATGTTGACCGAATTTATCACTCATTTGTAGGTCTTGCGCTACCTTTTCAAACTCAAATGGATGGTTGAAGTTTTGTCTCTATATTGTAACTGTACACCTGAGATTCGTCACTGGAAATTATTGTATCCAAAAATAAAGGATCATTGTTAGAATGTTCAAGAAGCTCAAGGGAAATTGATGTTCGGTTGGATTTTTGTTGAACAGGCAACAATCGCAGGACAAGTTTAGATGAAACTCGATGCATGTCTTAATATTTCATCAAAATCGTATGTGCAGAACCCTCAGAAATATCACACTGCTCAGAAAGCTTGAAATGACCATTTTCGAGCGCGTTTGCCTGCACTTTTTTCACGTGGCAAATGTCGGTTGCTGTTGATGGTTGTTTCCCGTGCTCCTCACCTTCGACGGACTTTGGACCAGTTTTGAACCATTTAGACCACTCAAAACTTTAAGAACAACTCTTACAATGATCTTAGTAAACTTTCCTTAGCATACCAAAAGTTTTGTACAAGGTACAGAGCTGGATTTAGGGGGGGGGGGGCCAAGGTGTCATGGCACCGGGCGGCAAATTTCGGTTTTTTTTCGTAGAAAAACAAAGGAGAGAGAAAAAATGAGGTAAAAACTAAGTACTGGGCAGCGGCGGAGCACTGAACTCCATTTTGAATTGATTCCATCTCCGGGTGAGTCATCTCAATCCTCTCTGAAAATCATTGGCAACTTCAAGGTGGCAAATTTGCCGCTTAATAGGAAATTATTTCTTGACTCTCTCCGCAAAATTACACAGAATTTTATTTGTTCATGCTCTTTGAACTATGAGGGGAGGGCCGTACAGCGACTTTATTGCCTCGTATGGCTCGATTTTTAGCCTGACAGACCTTTCTTAGTCAAAACTCTATCCATTTTTGTTCGAGAAAAATTTGCAAGATGTGTACCCGAATATTTCCATTGCAATACATAATACCTTTCCGCACCGGTGACCAATTGCTCGGCGGAGCGATCTTTCTCCGCTGAGGGGCGAGTGCACAAGTATCTAAGGATATATCAGTGGCATTAGAGACTTGTGAATGTCGCGATGATGTCAATACGTAGAGAGAAAAAAGGAGGTGTTTGCATCTTGAGGACTGTCTACCCCGTGACGTCGAGGTCGGTACAGGTACTCCAGAAAAATCTGGAATTCGAAGTATGAAAAATTGATCAATATGTCCGATTTTTTTGCTTAAATTAACTCAATAAATTCAAACACAATATATAGAATTACTTTTTTCCATAAACTATACCATTTTCGAGAAAATCTATGATAAAAATCGTCGTACCGACCTCCGTCATCAAAAAAGTCCAAGATGCCCGAAATTCAACCACCTCCTTTTTTTCTCTATGATGTCAATGGAATTCGACATCACTATGCAACTGGATTTCGAGGACATAATAGAGAAGTTCGTGCATGTCAAAGCGAGAAAGAAAAATTTCTAGAGCTTTCAATGCCTCGGTGAAACTCTATGCCCCTCTAATTTTCTCGCTCTTCTCAACTAAATCAATCCGTAAGTTTTTCGAAAACTTGAGTAGGTAGGTACATCGATGACCAAAGTGCGAAACCCCAAATCTCCATTTGCGACGTTCCAGACTTCCTGTGATACTTTATTTATTCTATGAAAAAGTAGTCAACGTAATTTCTTGACATTTTTTCCTGTAAGCAGAATATTCTGTATGATTATGAATCTCAAGCTATAAAGTTTGCTTGTTTCTCTTTGGAAAAATAAAATAGAAGCGGAAATTCTAAAACATCGCGACGAAAATACGAGATTTTGCACTTCAGCATCAACATTTAATTAAATCTTTTACTTTGTTCAATTTTCGCCTTTTTCGTTCCTCAAATCCTTAGTCCTTGAAGAGTCATTTTCTCCTCCTAAAATATTTGTTTACAACACTTTCCTGCATGTAGATGCGCATTTTTCTGACTATCGGAGAATCAGATTTCTCTTCTGTCGTGTTTTCGAAACTTATATTTCGTGCGCATCGCGTGTTTCTATAAGACATTACACAGTCCGGGAGGGGGGGGGGCGGCAAAATTTTTCGGGCACCGTGCGGCTAAAACTTAAATCCGGCTCTGATGGTATACCGAGTTTGAAAGAAAATTTAATGTGAAACCTTTGCGCTATCAGTGGTCCTAAGATGAGAATCGCAGAACGCACCTGACTTACTCGTATTCAAGGTGACACAGAATGAACACAGATTGAAATAAGCAAAATCTGTGAATCTAGTGTTCTTGAGTATGTTATCAGCTATAAGGAAAGTTCAAGGAAACCTAATTTAGATGCAAAATGGGCTATTTATCACCAAAATCAGGTTTCCTATATAACAGACGTCGTATTCAGACATTATTTTTTTTTTTTTTTGAAGAATCCAGCTCTTTTGTTTTGTTAATATTGATTTTGTGATTGGAACTTCCAGGATTATGGAGCACCTGCTGGCAAAATAAGGAAGGTACGGCAAGTCAAAGACGAAAACTGCAGGGGCAATGATGAAACTAGACCACTTTCAGATGACTCAGATGTTGAAAAAGATCATGCTGAGGAAAAATCCATCACCTACAAAGATACTTTAGCAGATAAAAGCAACAAGAAAGACATGGTAAAGAATGAACACCTTGACTGGTTTATTTTCAGGACTTCTTGTCAGGACAGTCTTTTAGGGCTGTTCATTTCTTCTTTTATAATTGAATGACCTTCTCGATGGCATACTGTCAAAATTTGAACATTTTGAGGAAGCAGGAAAATATTTGATTTCGTCGATGATTTTCATATTTCCGTTCAGAAAAATTTACCCATGTTCTTCATACAATCTGTAATAAGACCAAGATTACCCTTAGTCTTAGGGAGGCAACCCTGCTCAACATGCATTAAATCAAAGTTGATAGTGAACGAAATATTTGAGTTGGAACGTCAAGAGGTCAAAGAATAAAGAACTGAACAAACAAAGAAACAGAGCGACCTGTGAGAAACGCAGAATAGATTGTATTCGATACATCAAATGGGTGAGATTGTATCGATATCAATTGGTTCAAAACATAAACATAGCCTCAAAAGTAAATTCAGAAATCTGAGAGAACGGATCTTTTGTAACAGATTTTTTATTCTTTTGAGTACCAAATGCCAATGCAAAGTGAAATTGTCAGGAAATTTATCATTTTCAGCTTTTCCAACTAAAATCCTTTCAGCTTGATTTGAGGTTATGTTCAATTGTTTTGAACCAAACGATACATCGAACCGTTATCGAATACGGTCTATAGAGCCTTCAAGACTGCAGGTACACTCTACCCATTGCATGTACGCTAGGTAGCATTTTGCAATCATGAAATGTTGGCAATTTTTAGCATGATTGCTGTGATATTCTCTGGAAGGAAACCCGCTTATCATGTAAAAAATTTCCTGACTAGGAAAATTTCGGGAAAGTCATGCCCTGTACGGAAGAATGACACTATAAACTTAGATCAATGCAAAAAAAATGGAGCGAAGGAGGTATTTAGTTGCCCAAAATGAGTTTCTTCCATTGTGATTATTGCCCCTGGAGCTTCGACAACTGAAATCGAAAATGTAGTTTTTAGAATCTGTTTGTGCTCCTCTTGATGCTTCAACCCAATTTTATAGTTCTCGACCAACTTTGATTTAATGCATGTGCAGGAGCACCATGACTGGCAAAGGTGGCTCAGAGATTATGCCGTCTTTCCAATGAAACCGGTATTCAGGCGTTTTAGAAAGAAACTTAATGCACAATATAATTTCGGTTGAGTCACTTGGTAGTAAGATTCGTCCACCCTCAAAGAATAATATTCCATCGATAATTCAATTTCTGAAATTAGGCTGTTATGCTCTTCAAGTAATAGGTTCCCTCTAAAGCTTCTCCTAGTTTCCAACATTCCCTTTTTCTGAAGTATTAAACATAAGAGAGCTCTACAACTATTCTCTTTCTTGTGATTGGGAGGAACCAAAATTAACGAGGATTAAAAAATGTCAGTGTCACAATTTCTGTAAGAGCCTTTAGTCCAGGCAAATAAGCTTAAAAAGAAACCATACCCTGCTGAAATCCTGGGTAGCAATTAGTTCAGTGATGCCAACGTAATTTTTGATGCAAAAATGGCCTAAAATTGTCTTTTTTGGCGGATTATGGCCTGTAACTCAAGAAATAATGATCTGACGACAAAATGAGATATTTTCAAAATTGTAGCTCGCTAAATTTTCTATATAGTTGTTTCTATTCATTTTTTGTTCAAGGAAAAATTAAACCCGCTGGAGGGTGCCAAACTTCGGAAAAAGAGCAGAAATTGACATTTTTCGCGGTTTCTGACCATTGCTTCTTTCTTCCATCTTTCGGTTCATTTGTTGACAAACGAAGTGAAGACGATGGAAATTTACAATGAATCACGTATACCGAGTTCAAAAAGAAGGAATTGCCGCATTGCTATATATATATATATATATAATTTTATATAATATATTAAAACAGCAAAAAAACAATTTTATATAATCTCGGCAACATTGCAATGCGGTAATTCTTTATTTTTGAACTCGGTGCACGTAATTCATTGTACATTTCCATCGCCTTCACTTCATTTGTCAATAGATGGACCGACAGATGGGAAGAGGAAGCAATGGTCAGAAACCGCGGAAAATGCCAATTCCTGCTCTTTTTCCGAAGTTTGGCACCCTCCAGCGGTTTTAATTTTTCCTTGAACAAAAAATGCATAGAAACAATTTTATAGGAAAGGAGGGGTTGCGATTTGGGCCGAAATCGGCCCCTCCACGGAATTGAATAATTTTTGGATATTTGGCAGTTGACGGTGCATATATGACGGAAATAATCGAGTTTTGCCCATACTCAAGTTTTTTGGCTGCGAAACAGGGGCCTAAACATGGCTCCATGGCCGAAAATAGCTGAAATTTCGCGTTTTCCGCGGTTCTACCTCAGATTTCGACCTGAGCCCTAAGGCGACACCTACCCACGTAACATACTCGAATATGATCAACCGTCGCCTTTGGGCCCAACTTCAAAATCGAACATATCCAACTTTCCAAGGCAACATACTTATCTGACCTCATGAGGCCATGATAAGCACTGCAAAAACTGCGAAAACTGCATTCAGTAGAAAAGAACCTATCTTGAAGTTTCTATCATTAGATATCTCTCATCTGGGATAGTTATCAAATACAAACCTGTATGCTGTTTTATTACAGTGAGCTTTTCATAATGGTAACATTACCAAGCACTGGAGAGCTCAAGCAAGCAATCAAGGAACCTGGAGTTGACAAGTTAACCTATACGTGAAATAGTACAAAACTCAGTTTTAATAGTCATTCAAGTGACTGGTGACAGTCAATATAGGAAGACCGTATAAATCCGCTCTCTATATTCGAAGGCAAGTTCTGGGTTCAGTACAGAACCTGAAAAGAACGTTGGACTGCAAACAGGAATACTCAACTATTTCCGGCTAAAAAGTTGGAAAAGTTCGATTTTGAAGTTGGGCCCAAAGGCGACGGTTGATCATGCTCTAGTATGTTACGAGTCTAGATGTCCCAGACACCATATTCGAAGCTCATCACCTGTCGCCTTTGGGCCCAGGTCAAAATCTGAGGTAGAACCGCTGAAAACATGGATTCTCAGCTATTTCGGGCTAAAAAGTTGGAAAAGTTCGATTTTGAAGTTGGGCCCAAAGGCGACGGTTGATCATATTCAAGTATGTTACGTGTCTAGGTGTCTCAGACACCATATTCGAAGCTCATCACCCGTCGCCTTTGGGCCCAGGTCGAAATCTGAGGTAGACCCACGAAAAACGCGAAATTTCAGGTATTTTCGGCTCCGGAGCCATGTTTAGGCCCCTGCCCCTATTTCGCAGCCAAAAAACGGGAGTATCGGCAAAACTCGATTATTTTCGTCCAATATGCCCCGTCAACTGCCAAATATCCAAAAATTATTCAATTCCGTGGAGGGGCCGATTTCGGCCCAAATCGCAACCCCCCTTTAATGAGCTTTAATTTTGAAAATAACTCATTTTGTCGTCAGATCAACATACCGCGAGTTACAGGCCGTAATCCGCCATTAAAACCAATTTTAGATCATTTATGCCAAATTTGGCAACTTTCCGGCCCGAATTTTTTGGTGTTAGGTTGAAATTCGGTATCAGCGTCAAAAATTGCACTGGAATCACTGTAAACATTGCTACCCAGGATTTTTGCAAGCTCTTTTCTGTAGTTGCCTGGGCTGTATCGCACCCAATAGTGAGTGTTTCAATTGCCTAGTCATCTGTATTGTGATTTGTTTGTATGAATGAAGAACAAAATTGAATTAGTCATTGAAACGAACCTCCTGTAGTAATCTTACTCATCATGACCTGCTGGAAGAATCGTATGCGGCACCTCCCAATTTTTTTTTCTCTCTCTTTCTTTAACAAGCAAAGAAGCTTCGCCCCCTTCCAATAATAAGCACCAAACAGTGAAAATAATTTTCTATTCATATCTACTTAGATTTGTGTAAATTTTTGTGTCTGCAAGTGTCAACTGCTTTAATTTTTTTATTATTCAAATTCAAAAAACAATTGGCACCTACTAATGTGTGAGGAACCGCCAAAAGTTCCATTTTATACAACATTTTGCTTATTTCTTTTACATTACAGGTAGACCACTTACGGAAATCAATGAAAATTTCTACAGCAGGACAATCCGTTCCAAAACCGTTTGAATCATTTGAAGAATTAATATCAGATTACAATATTTCCAGAAAACTAGTGCAAAATATCTTAAATTTTGGTTTTACTAAGCCAACTCCTGTACAAATGCAAGCCATTCCATGTATGCTGCAGGTAAATTTCTTTTATCAGTCTTTTTGGTTTTGCAAAAATAATGCTCCTAGATCTTTTAATATCAGTGTGTAAAATATTTTGACATATAGCCCAAATTGAGATATTTTTGACGTTTTCGAAGTGATTGGAGGCACCGCACAATGAGGAATGTAAGACATAGGAACCAAGTAAATTTTTTTATTCCTTAAGGAGGGTATGAACTTACTTTGCACAAATCCTTAGACCTCCACTGCCACTACAAGGTGTTCAATAGATTTTTCCCAACAGGACCAAGTTCAGGTATTTTTGACGTTTTCGCTGCCATTTCAGGCAAATGACGGCATTAGTTCCCGACAAAAGCAAGATATCTAAATCTAAAGCTACCTAATCACCTAGTGGTCTGATCAGTAGTTTTAGCAAAGAGAGCTAGATTCATTGATCTTGATACGCACTGGATACAATATACAGAAAAGTATAACATATCAACGGATGCTAAATCAAACGAACAATAACTCCAACAGGTTTTTATTCAATCCTTACCAACTGCAAACACTCTTTAAGGTGGTAACGTGATTTTTAATAATTATGAAAAGGAGGGGTATCGATAAGGGCCTTTTTTGGCTCCCCCGTAAAGGACCTTTTTGGGTCCCCCCTAGAATCTGGAAATTTATGCGGGTTTTCCAAGTTACTTAATGCAGTTTACGGAAATAATAATGATTTGGTCTATAGGCCAATGGATACGTGTTAAACGGTTGCCTGAACATACGGCTGCAGGCACATTTTAGGGAAAATGCGTGTTTTTCTATCACTCCGAGGCTTCCTTGACACCGAGCGCATCGTCTAACTAAAACGAGCTTTTGATATGTTATGAAAGAGGCTTGGGGACACATTTTAACCCTGGTTTGGTTTTAGTTAGATGATTTGCTCATAGTTAAGAAAAACTTTTTCAAAAGTCGACTTTTAAGGGACATCCGCAAAAATCTTAGGGAAACACGTCTCTCCAACTGTATGGACGCTACGTATATTATCGAGGGCAGTTATCAAGCCTTGTTAAACTCTTACAAGAAGACTCTATTTGATTGTAGCCAAATAAAACCCGTACCGACGTAATTCCCCAAGATTTTAGCGGATGTCCTGTGAAAGTCGACTTTTGAAAAAGTTTTTTTAACGATGAGCGCATTATCTAACTGTAACCATACGAGGGTTAAAATGTGTCCTTAAGCCTCCTTGATAACATATCAAAAGCTTGCTTTAGTTAGACAATGCGCTCAGTGTCAAAAAAGCTGAAAATGTGCCTGCAGACATAGGTTCAGGCAACCGTTTAACACGTTTCCAGTGGCCTATGGACCAAATCATGATTATGTCTGTAAACTACATTGACACAACTTGGAAACCTGCATAAATTTCCAGATTCTAGGTGGGGCCTAAAAAGGTCCTCTAAGGGGGGGCAAAAAAGGCCCTTATCGGTACCCCTCCTTTAAAAAATGGCCAAAACGTTGCAAGAATAGACGTAAATTATGATTTCTTCTACATTGGTAGATAGAGCATAATTTTCTGCGTTTTCTGGTATAAATACGAGCTCTGTAACAGCATTTTGGCGAAAGTTATGGATGTTTGAAGGTTTAAAAAATGGCAACGCTGTTTCCCTGGAGTTCCTGCAAAAATCAAACTAGGGGTAAGCATCTCTCAACTAGTACTATTAGCCCATGAAGTTTCGTTCATTCCGGGCTGGGTACATTTTTCGCCTGTATGAATAATCCTCTTTTTAAGTAATCCCTTTTTTATTCCTCATCATCATTCCTCGAAAAAGGGCAGGACTCTATGTCAGGGGTGGCGTGCGCGTGAAGGGTTGAAATTTCACTTATGTAAGTTTTTACACATTTGACGTTCGTTTTTTGCTACCACGGTCCAAACATAAGCATAGGGTGTTCCGTTTTCAGGCGACCATCTCAAAACCTTGCTCCTCGGGCTTTTTCTCATTCCTTTTGGTCTCCAAAAGATAATTCTGAACTTTTAGCAACATGGCTGAAGCCTACACTTCCCCAAAAGCGATGAAAATTTTGGGACCAATTACATTAGTTTATATGGGGAGAAAACAGGCTGATTCGCGAAACTACGTTTTTCGGCTGCAAAATGCGCCGAAGTTATTTCAAACCAGATCATCTCTTGGGATGTCATCCAGAGGCCTATCTTGAACGAGAAAATTCCACTTTTGACCCTAAGATGGGGTAGGGTGGGTCACAGCGTAGTTAGTTTTGAGGCGCTACGCGCAGGAAAGTGAACGCATTTGACAGTTTTTCATCAACCTTAAAACAGGTCCTCTGAAGCCGAGGAGGCTAATGTATCTCACAATTATATTAAAATAATGTACTAGACTTGCTTTTATCCCTTAAGACTATTTTCGACCATTTACACTGTTGCCAAATTTACTCGAGCCTGGAAGGAAATTAGTGTACTAGAGGGCTACGCCCTCTGGCCACTATGCGGCCCAGCCCCCTGAAGGCGCCCTGCGCCATCAATGGGCCGCTTCGCAGCCCTATTTTTACCCTCCTATCAATGTTGGTTTCATTTTTCCCCTAAAAAATTACGATGTGAGGTACACTTTATTTTAGAATGAAATGATTTTTGTTTTTGATGAATAGAGGAAAAAAATTTTTTGAAGTCCAAAGGATGCGTTTTGCAATGACTGACTAATGAAACATTGCAGTAAAACAACGAAAAATGATAATCAGGTCGTAATAAAGTAACGAAGGAGTCAGGAATCGAACCCACAACATGAACCGTGTAGGCGCTTCTGACGTCTGAGACGACTCGGCCACCGCTCATCCTGGAGGGGGCGGAGCGAATCTTGTGTTGATAAATGGAGCTGATGCGCAGGCTACTCAGCCACTGCGCAACCTTCTGCGCATAGCGGCAACTGGTTGCGGAGCATTCTGTAAATTTGCTCACTTTTATAACTTGATTGTAAAACTAACCTGGGTCCTATTTCCAAAATCTGATTAGAGCGGGCTCATCTAAGGCCTCTTACCTGTCGATTTACGCAAAAATCATGGAAATCGGCCCGGTAGAACGCTCAAACAAACTATGACAAAAAACCTAAATTTACATTGTTTAAAGGGGAAAATTCTCAACTTTACCACGTAATTTAAAAAGACCTGGATTATATTTTGAAAATCTGAATAGAGAGGGCTCATCTAGAAACAATTGCCCGCCGATAGCCGCAAAATTATGAAAATCGGCCCGGTAGAACTAAGCGTTACCAGTTACGCAAAATTAGGAGGTCTCGGAGCTTATAGTATAGATATCATGTTCTGCACTTGAGTGATTTTGGCAACAATGTAAGTGGTTGAAAATAGTTCTGAATGGATGGAAACAACTCTTGTACATTATTTTATTACATTTGTGACATAAATTAGCCTCCTCAGCTTCAGAGGACCTGTTTTAAGGTTGATGAAAAACTGTCGAATGCAATCATTTTCCTGCGCGCAGCGCCTCAAAACTATAACTACGCCGTGACCCACTGACCCACCTTACCCCCATCTTTGGGTCAAGAATGTAATTTTCCCGTTCAGAATAGGCCTCTGGATGACATCCCAAGAGATGGTCTGGTTTGAAATAACTTCGGCGCATTTTACAGCCGAAAATCGTAGTTCCGCGAATCGGCTTATTTTCTCCCCATTTAAACCATGTAATTGCTCCCAAAATTTTCATCGTTTTGGGGGAAAGTGTAGACTTCAGTTATGGTGCTGAAACTTAAGAATTATCTTCTGGGGACCAAAAGGAATGGGAAAAAGCTGGGGGAGCAAGTTTTTGAGATGGTCGCCTGAAAATGGAACACCCTACAAAAAAACCCTTGGCCTGTTTAAACCCGCTGTAGTGGACCTTATTGAATCAAAGATTGGAGATAATGATGCCTGCAAAGACTCCATCCATACATTATCGTAATCTCAAGCTAAAACTCATACTAAAACAGTGTTTAAAGGAATAACAATTCCTTTAATTACTGTTTTGAAATTTCACTGGAATTTTACAGCAAGAAAAGTTAAATAATGGATGCCAGATGTACCAATGAATCAGGAAAAACTAGTGATCTAGAATAATAAGTCTGAATTGAAGCATTCATTCGCAGAGTTCTTACTTCAGAATTTATCTATAAAAGAGTGACTGCGTCATGAAGTTTAAGCATCAACCTTCAAACAAAAAATGAACATTTATCAACAACCCTGTTTTCTGTCAGAAAACGCTCAGAGTCATTTTTTTGCAGTATGAACAGAGAATTAATCAATGAATCCACAGAAGAACTCTAATGTGCTAATGTTAAAGACAGAAGAGGGTTAACAATTCAGCCAGAAGTAATATAAAGCAAAATGAAGTGACAGAAAGCCAGAAACTTAAGTTATTTATACAAAGAAAAGCTACCTCAGGACACCAATTACTAAAGGAGCAAGTCAATCACTAAAAAAAACCTCCAAGAAAAAAGCAACTTGTCTTCCACAATGATTGCTAAAAATAATCAATACCCAGCTTACAAAAAAAAAAAAACCCAATAATAATAATGTAGCTTGAACTGTAAGTAACGGAATGGTAGAAAAGCACTGGGTCTGCACTATTCTGTAGGGAAATCAAGGCCAAAAAATCCTGAAAATTTTCAATTAGAGTAAAAATATGAACTCTAATGAGTATGAGTGAAAGACTTCGAGGGGGAGGGGGGGGGGACTGGGGAGGTGTTCAGCTAAACAGATGCATTTGAATTTGAATACTGAGCTGAGGTCACGCCAAGGGGCTTGTATAGATTTGGGTCTTTTTAGGTCGAAGTAGTACCCCATCAACCCAGTGACCAGTGTGATCTACTGACGAGGTCTTAAAAGACCCAAATCGATGTAGGTCTCTCAGCATGACTCCAGTTTAGTATTCCAATGCATCCGCCTGAGCTGAACATTCTCCCTCCTCAGTCTCGCATGGATACTAATCAGAGATAATATTTTTTACTCTACTTAGAAGTGTTGAGGATTTTTGGCCTTGATTTCCCTGCAGAATAGTGCAGGTTCAGTAAACTATTCTGCCATCCTGCTGTCCAGCTTACTTTGTAGTTGATTCCTGAAGTCTTTGTCAGGTGCGTCATAAAAATATATGAAATGAAAATAACTTTGAAAGGCCTCAAGATTATGTCTGCAACATCTATTTTTAAACATATTTTTCTCCAAGATCTCATAGAGTACGCTGAATGGGTAGATTTTCTTGATTAGACTTGTTAGATTAGATGTAGGTACGTTCCTTAAATCAAAATTCCTTCCATACATTTTTTTATTTTTTTAAAAAGAAACACACAATTTTCAGGGTCGTCAGGTTCTCGCATGTGCTCCTACAGGATCGGGTAAAACTGCTGCTTTTCTTATTCCTGTCATTCATGCTCTTGGAGGTCCAAAAAAACAAGGATTTAGAGCTGTCATTGTTTCACCAACAAGGGAATTAGCCAAGCAAACATTTAGGTATTTTGTCTATCAATTTTACTTTCATCTTCAATAAAGATACTTGTACTTTACAGTTATAATTTCATCCTTTTTGCAGTAGTTGGATGCATGGACAGTCTTTCTGAAATAATACTGGTTAGCAATTTGTATATCGTGTTCAGGCTTGTAATCGGGCTGTAATTTTGAACATTTTCTGTGTTTGGTTCTGGGTAGCAACAGGGTTCCTCCTTTTACACGCTATTCTGGTAAATTGCCCGGGCTTTTTTAATGGAACGCTGAAACTGCATGCTAGGTGTTTGTGCGCCTTACTGAATCTGCTGATCCAAAAATTCTGAATTCCATCGAGTCAAGCACCTTTCCAGTTGGATGTTTTGCTCATGAGTCTTTTGATATTCATTTTGGTGATTTCCTTCCAGTTCATCTCCAGTATATCTCTGTCCTTTTTTTACACTCAATCCATTCGGCTTCTTTTTCTTGTGCTCAAGGAGTCTCCTAGATTCCTTTCCAGAAGTGCTCAATGATGTAATGAAATACAGCCCCATCAAGTTGGCAACAACATGTAGAGTGTTAAGTTGTCTGCCTGTTGGCAGCCAAGTGTCAAGGTCAGTGTACCATTCTCTTATCACTTTATTGAATAAGAGTTTGCCTTACACTTCAAGTACCAGTTCTTTTTAGTCGTGCGGCGAAGCCGTATAGACTCTAGGTTTCGCCGAAGGCTAAAAAATGTTCACACTTTTAGGCTAAGTCCAAGAGGAGAATTTTCGAGGAACCAAGTAACATATGAGGTATTGATATCGGTGCATTTTGGCCCAAGGGAGATGTTACATGTGCGAGGAATTTGCAATTTGACTGTTGATTCTTGTATAAAAGTTCGCGAGGAACACAATGGTGCCACTGGTTTTCTCTGAAATCATCTCCCAAGCTCAAAAAAAGCTCTCAAGTTGAGGCCAAAATGAAGGGGATATCCCACCTTACCCTGAGAGTCCACGTCTACATGAAGACAAACTCTTCATGCAAAGATAGGGAGCAAATACATTAGCAGGGTTGCCGTGTTTTTAGTTTTGGAGTCCCCAGATAAATTGGTAGCCCTGTCAATGTATTAGCTCCCTACCTTAGCATGGAGAGTTGGTCTTGGTCTAGACTTGGACTCTCAGGGTAGGGTGGGATATTCCCTCCATTTTGGCCTCAACTTGAGTGCTTTTTTTTGAGCTTGGGAGATGATTTCAGTGAAAACCAGTGGCACCATCGTGTTTCTCATAACCTTTTACACAAGATTCAACAGTCAAATCGCAAAGTCCTCACACATGCAACATCTCCATTATGCCAAATGAAATTTCTGATCATTTAGCCATGGTTTGGTAGCGTTTAGCAATCAACTGTGACCATAATGTAAAGAACCCACACAGGTGCATTTCGGCTCAATGTCGCCATATGGCATTCTTTATCATCGAGTCACAGTTCAATAGCGTAAATAAGCAACCAACGGTGGCCAAAATGTCAAGACTCCAAACTGGTGCTTTTTGGCTGAATTTCACTCAATAGGATCTTTGATGATTTATCAGTAATGGTTGATGTTTATGTTGATTAATTATTACTGTCTGAAAGTGAATCCTGTGGGAGAATATTATAGGGTTGGTTCAAACAAGTTTTAGAATTTTTTTCCTTAGCGCTAATGGACCCTAAGGGACAACTTCAATTCATCGAACTAAAAGTTTTCAATGTTCATAACCATTTTTTAATTGTCAGAATTCACTAGACCACATTATATTCATGATGAATTTAAAGAATATCGCTGTCAAAAGTTGAGTTCTCCTTCAATTTAGCTCTTTTTGTCATTACCTTAAAGACCATACGGAAAGTGCTAAATCTACGGAAAACTCAACTTTTCACAGCGATATTCTTCAAATTTATCATGAATATAATGTGGTCTAGTGAGTTCTGACATTTAAAAATGGGTATGAACATTTAAGGCTTTATTTTCCTTGAATTTAAGTGGTCTTTCAGGGTCTACGGTAAGAAAAAAACTCTAAAACACGTTAAAAGTTACTTGAACCTACCCTATAATGTTGAGCTATGACTTCAACTTTCATGAACCCTTACTTGTGCCTTTCAGCTTGATTTCGCTAAATGGAATTATTTATGATTGAAGTCGTGGTTGAGTTTACTATGCTGATAAAATATCATTGGAAAATTTAGGTTTCACCATCATAGTCTTCTAAAAATAACCATCAGCATTACTGCGCCAACCAAAATCTAGCCCAAAAAAAAATAATTCGGCTGAAAAAGTTTGAGAAGTTGGGATGTGCAGTCTCAAAATAAAAATACCTAGCTGTGATTGGACATAGCTTTGCTTTCATTGAGACTTTCAAATTTTATGAATAAAAAACAGTAAGCGTTTAGCAAAAACAGTTAGTTTTGTCTTTACCCGTAGACCATACAAAAAGAGCTAAATTGAAGGAGAACTTAGCTTTTGACAGCGATGCTCTTCAAATTTTTCACATACCTATACAATGTGTTCTAGTGAGTTTGGATGGTAAAAAATGGTCAGGAACATTTAAAGCTTTATTTTCCATGAATGTAAGTTGTCGTTCAGGATAGATTCTGACGACTAGATCCTTACTAGAGTAAGAAAAGAAAGTCTAAAATTGTTGAAAGTCACAGAAAAACGCGAAAAAAGAAAAAAGTCGAAAAGGAAGTCAAATTTACATAACAATTAAATTAACATAAAAATTTCGTAAAAAGTATTGGAAATTACGAACAAATGTATTTACGTAAAAACTGTATTAAAAAGAAAGTTAATTTTAATTAAGAAAAATAATCTTGGTAAATCAATTTCTCACGTAAATTTGACTCAAAATTCATTTAAAAAACAGGGCCGGATTTACCTACTTGCTGCCTATGGGTCACCTGTATTTTGCCGCCCCCTTCTCATTCGTTTCGAAACATCAATAAAAAACAACTTAATCGGCCCGAAACAGTAACAGAGAAACAACTTAAAACGGGACTAAGGCCGCAAATAATAAAAAGAAACACATAAAATATAATAAGAAACCCGGGACGTTTCGCAGGGATCACACCCGCATTTTCAACCGGCAAAACAAGAAAAATTAAAAGAAAGGACACTATGCCCCTCACTACTAGCAAAAGTTCGCACGGAACTTTGCGTGAAAGTTAAGTTCCGTAAACCTATCTACATATGTGTGAACAAGGCCTTCCATTTGTAAGAAATGAAGGTAAAAATTATGCAAGAACAAACATAAATGTGGTTTAATAATTTTAACTTCCGCCGGCGCGCCGCGCTGACCGCACTGTGTTTGGCGCAATGCGTGAAGTATTCCTACAGTCTTGTCGGCGCTATGCGTTTCACGCCGATCGCCGCACAGTGGATTGAGTCAATTAGAGGGGTCGAACATGAAATTTTTTACAAAAACTGCAAATGTTGATGTTTATTTCGTCACATTTTAAAGTTCAAGGGGTGATACTGGAAGAAAATATCACGAGAAAACCAGTGGAACAGCTTGCAGAACATTAGATTTTTGTATAAACGGAGTTATGAGCGTTTTAAGTTCCCAAATTTTTTCCGACCTCTCTCATTGACTCGATTCACCGTGCGCCGCGCTGAGGGCTTCTCCTTTTTATCTCAAGTCCTCATCATCACTGCTGCACCGCTCCATGCCAAATTCCGTGTTTAGTTTCTCTCTTAACTCGACTAATTTAAGGTGCTGTCTCTTGTGTCACCGAAAGACGCTTTCTCGTTTGTAAATTTTTTTTTCTGAATCCGATTTTTTTTAAACCTACATTTTAAAAAAATGCAAAATTTGCCGCCCCCTGCGTTAAGAAATGAGAGATGCTGTACTTTATTACCCAATGCATCTGACGAGTTTTTCAATTCAAAAAGAAACGTATGACACTCCACAAATAAATCACGTTTGGAGCGCAAACCGGAAAAAAACACGATTTGTCAAAAGTATTCATTAAGTATTGCACTTTCCACAGAAGCATATTGCACAAAAATGTCACTGTAACGACTTCCGGATATGGTTGCGACCAACTTAAGGCTCAAAGTTTTGATTTGTTCGCTCCCTAAAAAAAATGGTCCATCTCTGTAACTGTGCGCACCAAAACTGACAAAGATCCCAGGGTCACAGGCTGTCCGTGGTCCCGGAGAGAGGGGGAAATTTTTCAGGGTTGAAATCCTTCCTCATATTTAATTGTTTTTTAAATAAACTTAGGCTAGGACACTATCCCTAAATAAAAAACAGACCAATTTGGCTTCAATGCTTCGAGCTCTGCACGTGTGAACTTGAGTTTTTATTACTCTCGTTCGTTTTTATTACTTCGTTTTTATTACTCTCGCCAGGGTCGGTCCGCCCAGGGCCGAAGGGGGCCCTCCCTCCCCCCTTCCTCCTCTTACAGTCACGCGCCTCCCTCCCCCCTCGAATCGATTTTTCTTTCTTTCTTCTGCTGAGTTGTGTATTTTACACCTCGGAAAATCGGAAATTATGGTCAATTTTTCATAGTTCGAATTTCGGATTTCGCTGGCCAGGTTGTACAGACCTACGTCACAGGGTAAACAAACCTCAAGATGCAAATACCTCCTTTTTTTTCTCTATGTAATATCTTCGTCCATGGTATAGGACTTTTCGCGTGGCTGCTCGACGATTTGTTAATCTGTGGAGGTTAAGCTACATTCACGCGTCGCAAGCAACCTGGCGCGTCTGCTTCTTGCTACTGCGAGCGCGCCTTCATTTCCTCCCGCACGCAACAAGGACAACCGCGATGATAAAGAATTCCATTCGGCGAAATCGAGCCGAGAGCAGGCACCACGAGTATATATATATGGGTTATTTTAGTGATGGGTGGGATTTTATTTAAAATTCCTATGAATCCTAGGTATAGTATTTACTGTAGTAAACAATTATCATTTATTCCATCACTTCTTCGGATCATTTATTTTTAATCAATCTATATTCATGTGAAGTGTAGCTCATCTGCATTTTTCTTTCCCTGGAACCTAAATGTATATTATGAGTTTGAATCCATCAGAAACTAAGTCAGTCAAAATCAAATTTAACTACATACGAAGTGAAAACGATTTGTATTTCGCAAATCAAAGTGATAGTTAAAGCAACCAAACTGTGTCAGACATGTTCCCAAATTACTAGGTAAGGCTTTTATCAGCTCATCATCTGATCCAATAATTTTAATTGTGGCATTTCATTTGGCATGTCGCCGCACGACTTCTGTGATACTCAAAGTCTCACATATATAATTTGAAAGGGGGGGGGTCTGGGGGGCGGCGCCCCCTCAGCAGGTAGCTTTTGTTACTTGTTTTTCTAATGACTTCGAACTTAAGTCAATAAGCTTAGCTCTAAACGTCCATCTATCAACCTCCGTCTGCTTTGAGCCTTCCTGGGGCAATTCTGTCTTCTGGCGTAGCTGTTTAGCTGTGCTAGGTTTTCTCAGAATATTTTACTTTTCAATAACTGCTTACCTCTTTTTTTCATATCCGGTCAGCTTGAATTGATTTCATCGGGAGCCTTTGCCTTTGCCGTTTTATGACTTCTGTAAGATCTCCGTTATCCAGGATTTTAAATTTTTTGAATAGATTTCGCTTTAGTGCTTTCATCCGTGCGCTACCATCATCCTTCTTGATTTCAATTAATTGAGATAACTCGCCTCTAATCTCTGCTATATTGAAACGCAATCTTAGTTTTCTGGTGACTCTGACGGAGGTTTCTTTTTTTTAGGGTTAGTTGGTTCCACTTTGGTTGTTTCTTTTTTTAACTTTATACCTGTCGCGTAGATAATGCTCCTCGGCAGTGTTAACGAAATGTCCTCACCTCTTCCTTTATTTTCGCGAGTATTTCATCGACAGACCTGTTTATTAGTCTGAGAATCTCTTTGCCAAGCTTGTAACTATAGACTGTCTCTGAACTCTTAAGAGTAAAATCATTAGCACTTACAATTAGCCTACATTTTATTTGAAAAACGAACTCATTTCCTTTTGATCACCATCATAGTAAACTCACCAGGTTATAGACTTAATCATGATTTATCTGGATGAAACTTAGCTCTCAGCTGTTTTTTATTTTCTTTATCTTCTCTCTTTTTGATTTTCCAGTGCATTGAACTCAAGAAGATATATTTAAACGCTCATCGATTTTTGGCGTAAATCTCAGTCTATTTGACTCATAAGAGCAATAGTCTCGAACTGGACGTTCATATATTTATGCTGAAAGGAATCGTAAGCATAGGGTATACGTGCAACCAAGTTCTTTTCAGGATAAATACATCCAATTATTTTGCTGTGTTTCTTAGAACACTGTACAAACATTCAGACATTGCCAACTTCCCCCATAAATTTTTTTTTAATTTTTTTGCGGAAAATCGAAAGTTCCTCGAAATCTTTACATACTGTAAATCAAATTGCAGAAGAAATTCATAGAGAAGTTGGAAGGAAAATTTACGAGTTTCCAGAATATTTGTATTTTAAGCAAGGAAATTGGATAATGTTGCAATGTTCATACAGCTCTTTTGCTTTAGCACTGTTACAGCTAGCTGTATTGTTCATTTTATTATTTATTTATTTATTTATTTATCTATTTATTCTATCTATCTATCTATCTATCTATCTATCTATCCGTCTATCCATCCATCCGTCCATCCATCCATCCATCCATCCATCCATCCATCCATCCATCCGTCGATCCATCCATCCGTCCGTCCGTCCGTCCATCCATCCATCCATCCATCCATCCATCCATCCATCCACCCCTCCGTCCGTCCGTCCGTCCGTCCGTCCACCCGTCCGTCCATCCATCCGTCCGTCCATCCACCCACCCGTCCATCAACCCACCCGTCCATCCACCCATCCATCCATCCACCCATCCATCCATCCATCCACCCATCCATCTATCCATTCATCCATCCACCATTCTATCCATGTATCTACCTATCTATTTATTTATTTATTTATTCATATTGACTTAAATTTTCAATATATTTTTTCCAGGGAGTGTATACGTCTTTGTGAAGGGAGTAACTTAAGAACTCACATCATCAGTAAAGTGGGTAATGCCTCAGAGAAATATGGACCTAATTCGTCCCAGAAATTTGATATTTTGATCACCACACCGAATCGATTAGTGTATATGCTAGAACAAGATCCTCCTGCTGTCTCCTTAAAGAGTGTAGAATGGCTTATTGTTGATGAAGCAGACAAATTGTTCGAAGTTGGACCCAGAGGCTTTCGTGATCAGTTGGCTGCCATTTATGTAGCTTGTGACTCAGACTCAGTGAAACGTGCAATGTTTAGTGCAACATATTCAACTCATGTTGCAAAATGGTGCCGGAGAAATCTCAAGAAAGTCATTTCCGTGACCGTCGGGCACAGGTTAGTTTCCTTTCTGTAAAACGTTAAGGGTTGATCCGTGTCCATTCTGGCGAATAAAGTGCCCCCCTTTTTCACCACCACTATCCTTCTTGGTGTCACTACAATTCATTGCGCAAAATTTACTGTGCGACAATTCATAGGGCAAAATTCAGCGCACGGACAATTCATAGCGGAGCATATTAATGGTGCGTTCGCAAGGACATAAGTGTATCCTTGTATTACGAGTGTAATAGTGTCAGTATTTATTGCCAAGTTTTAATATTTTTAAGCCTAATTTTAATCCTTCTTTAGCCTAGGTTTAATGTTTTTCAATTTCACTCACTACTTTTTTTAAGTCCAAATAAAAAATGGCATTGAAGTTGGTGGCCAGCGAAAAAGGTCAAGAAAAACTCCATCACGATTATTACTTTTATGTTCAAGATAAAGCAGAAAATTCAGCTACTTCCAAAATTATATGGAGATGTCTAGAATATACAACTAAAAAGGAATGTCGAGGACGAGCACACACTTTCCGTGAGGAATGAATCTTCAAAACGACCGAACATAATCAGGAAAGTGTTTAAGATATCTGCAGGCTGATTATTTTCGCGTCGATATCTGAATCGATAACTTGACAAAATTCATTTAACGATCGACAATTCATAGTCGACGTGATTATTTTGCCGCATTTATCGATATCGTTAACAGGATGAACGGTTGCGACGTTGCCGTCGTGCAAACAAATAATCCGCCTATCACAGACCGTCTACCGGTCACGTGATTGGCCGCCAGCGCTGCGGCTTGGAGCCGCTGCGGCGAATTTCAGAACTAACTCTATTTTGAGGTTATGTTTACATTGATGCGGAACGATAGCCCTGGGGGCAACCTTTAGTTAGCGACGCATTTATCGACGTACGTGGCGAAAATAATCACTCGGTTCTTGATCATGGCGATAACATGACTTTTAACGACACGATTCGGATATCGACCCGAAAATAATCGGCCTGCAGAAAGTGTATAAGGATCTGAACATGAGGTGAATCGTTCGACAGGCGTGGTACCAAGGAATATTTTCGAGGTGTAGCCCACAATTTAAGTCCTCATTGTGACTGAAAGATGAGTTCCGCTTAATATTTCTTTTCCTATCTTGTATTTATGTCTATTTGATGAATGGATGCATGACTAATTTTTTTTTCGATGAATTGTCGTATATCTATTTTTCTCAACGTTTTAGTAACCTTTTTACCTTTTCCTAGTAGTAAAACTTGCTTGAAAAAAAGTATAAATTTTAACAAAGCTATTATGAATAGTAGATATTATATTAGAGATGTTAGATTACTCTTTTATAATATAGGTACTATAGGGGAATTATTCCTTAACAGGACCTACAAGGCTGAAAAGTCAACTTTGTCCATGTATGATAAAATTGTATGCACTGAATAGGAAAAGTCTTCAACTTTACGAAATGGGTTTTTTTTCACTCTCAGTTTCTGGATTCGCAAGGTTTTTCAGATTTCCTGAAGGCATGTCTAGACCGGTGATTTTTAGGTCGTGTTTGATGTGCTTTTTATTCACTAAATACGCTGATTATCTGTGGTTAAAATCAGCTGGTGTTGAGGTTATGTTCTTCAACAGTCTCGTACCGTCTCCAGAAAGAAGAAAAGTTAAATTGTAAGTACTTTTCTCCCTCATTTTGTCAAGCCACGTGAAAATGTAATGTCCGTAATGGAAAAGCATCTAAACTTGATGCTGTTCGAAGCAGGAGCCAGTTTAATTGTTCATGTTTGGTAAAGAATAGGTTTTCATCTTTATTGATCCGTCAGTAATGTCAGAATGTATTGAAATATTTCATTTAAAATGTTGCAGCAAATTGAAAAAGTGTAACGTCAAAACGAGCGTCACGCAATGCTCACTCAAACCGGTATCATACATCTAACTAGTAAGATAAGCTCCAAGAGCAGATTCAGTACACTTATAGTAGCCTCACTAGACAACAGAGAGACACAGAAAAGAAAAGGAAATAAAGAAGAGAAAGAGAAGGACTAAAAAACAAAAATCAAAGACATAGTAGGGCGTTCAGACTAGTTTTTTGAGCAAAATCAACTGGAAAATTTTCTTTTCATCTTATAACCAAATCTAAAACCCTCAGCTCATAGCAGTGTGGTAAAACCTGGCATCTGCTCAGGCTCTCAAAAATCAGCTGATAGATCAAGATTGACATGTCGCCCCCTAAAGGGCAGCTCGTTACTGAAAGCAAATTAAACTAGTGCCAAATAATTTCGGTAGAATGAGCTCAGTAGAAAACTCGGTATCAAGCTCTTATCATCCGTACTGAATCACCTATACCGTTGAGATGCTATGTAGTAGTATTAAGAGTAGTAATAGTAGTGGAATTATGACAATGAAGGAAAATACTGAGAATAATGGCTACAAAAATTGATAGCTCTGTTCAATTTTTTTTATTTTCCTTTAATTTCCTTTTTTTTTCTCAGACAAATTATGGAAATCATTATTTTATACTATTTTCAGGAAAGATGAAACCCGTCAAAGAGCGTTCCCAAGATTTCAGAAAGAAACTCAGGACAGATGGAAAAAAGTATCATGCACATTTACAGCGAGACAGAGACAGGAAAAGGAAGAAGTGTGATGAGGAGATGAAGGCCGGATCGTTTACTGAAGAGAAGATGCGAGACATATGCTTGGCAACGAAACTAAGAATAAGGAGACATCGACAAAAGAAGACAGAATCACGTTATGGTAATAAAGAAGATCCTAATTCGCTATTAGGCAGTTTTTCTTCTCAGAGATACCTGAGCAGAGCAGTAAAAAAAGTGAAGAGAAGTCTCCCAGACAGTCCTAGAAGACAGAAAGCCATTTTAGCCAGTCTGGTTCAAGAAAAATGTCGTACATTTATCTTCAAGGATCAGAAGAAGAAAAGGAATCCCAGAAGAAAATCTTTCAGTGAAGAAGTTAGAGATAAGTTTATTGCATTTTATAACCGAGATGACATTTCGTGGACTGCCCCGGGCAGGAAAAATTCCACCTCCGCAAAAGATGCAGAGACAGAAGAAAAAAAGTGGGTTCTAAAGAGGTTTCTGATGATGAGTATTTCGGAGGCTAAGAGTATTTTGGTAAAGAAAATGGAAACAAATTACTTAGTGTGGATATGCTTTTTAAGTTGAGGCCTCAGGAAATTCTAACTTTTTATAAAATCCCTCATGAGGTTTGCATTTGCGAAACTCATGCTGATTTTTCATTTCTGGTCAAAGGGTTGCTCCCTTATCTTGATAATTCCATTTGTTCATATAAAGATATCTCAGTAGAGGCCTGTTGTAATGTTTTAAATGAGCAGTGCATGCTTGATCAGTGTATGAAATGTGAAGACTTCAATGTCAGAGGTCTCGTTAAGTTATTTATGAACAGGGAGAAACAAATAGTTGTGCATAAATGGCAGAAAGAAAACGGTGTTTATAAAGTGGTCTCTGACTCCGAGAGTATTAATTACTACTTAGAATATTTGACGAAGACTACTTCAGTTATTTTTCATTTTGTATTGTATTTTGCAACTAACTTTTTACGTAATCGTGCACCTGCCTAATCAGGCAACCAGCCGTGTAATTGAAAACTTATGTAACCGTGATTACATAACAAGCTAGGGGAGTTACGCAACGACATCACGCCACAATCGGTTTTGTAATCACTCTTATAAATACAGCGGCAGCGGCCACTGCGAGTCAGTCTCTTTTCTACCTTCAAGAGCTCAACTACTCCTCTCCTAGGCTTGCCTGAGTAAGACTGCTTCCTTTTGACTGCATGCTTGGGTAAAGCTGAACTAGTCTCTACTTCTCTTTATGCTGCTTTCTTGAGTAAAGATGCAAACTATTTCACTTCAAATGTATGCTTGAGTAAAGCTACATTCTTCTCTCTACCTTTCCTGTGACTGCTCTCTTCAGTAAAGAAGCACTAGTCGATCGTTTCTAATAATTCTATCTTTATTACACCTTAGTGAAGCTACTTACTTCCTGGACAGCATGCTTGAGTAAAGCTGCTTTTCTCTTGTTCTCATCCAAACATTCTCTAGCTTTCCACGCCTGAGTAAGGCTACTCCAACCTCCTCCTTCTCTACTTTCATATAATTATGTACGCCTGAGTAAGGCTATCTCTACCCTCTCATAACACTTTCCACTCGCGGTAAGATTCATCGGCAAACCAATCAACAGAGAAAGCTAGAGCTCACATCAATTTTGGGGAAATGAAGTGTTATCGGTTAGTCATGTTAGTTTTCAGTAAAAGAGTTGTTTTCTATGATGATAGGACTTATTGAGCCAACTTTTGTGCCAAGTCATAATTCCAACTTTCTGAGAAAACTACCTCTCTTTTGTTTCATGCCGAAAGCTTTGACTCTCTAGCTTTTGTCCCTGATCTACAAGGTCCCTCGAGTCATACAAAAACACTGAGTTTTATACAATATTTTAATAAATCATTTAAGGATTTTAAATTTCATTCCTACGCTAACTTAATGCAGTCCTCTGAATTCAAAAAGCTGAAAGAGTCCTTTAAAGAAAATTAAACTGTGTGCCAAATGGACTATGCAGAAAACGCTTCTCTAATTTCTCAAGACGAGATTCAGAGTGGGCACTGGAATCATACCCAAGTATTGCTTTTCACATGTTTTGTATGGACAGTCGATAATGTTTACTCTTACGTCGTAGTTAGTGATGAGAAAGACCATTCAAAATACTGAACCTGGGTATTTTTTTAAGTAGTGCTCTCTGAAGTTGGGGCTGTGTTGAAAAGTCTGAGGAAGCTTTATTTATTTTCTGATAATTGCTCAGCTCAATTTAGAAGTAAGTAGCTTGTTGCAAATTTCTGTCATCTTCCTGATGACCTACAAATAGAGGAGGTCATCCATGATACCTTTACTGCAGAACACGGGAAGGGCTCCGTTGAGGGCATCGGTGGATTGGTTAAAAGAGCCGTTTGGCAGAAGGTCAAAGCTAGGCAGGTTATAGTGAACGATG